TTTTATAGCCCTAAGGAATGAAAAGAAACGTCGAGTAGCCTCTGCCTTTGGACCTCACAAAAAGCCCCTGCAAGTTAGACCTCTCTTCTGCCTACAATACTCAACAGAGGTTCCAGTGGAAGGCCCATATATGGAAACATGCATGGAAGATTTTACTCTGTGTGCAAACATGGAAACTTCTGGCCCTCTGATAGAAAGGGCAAAGGATGGAAGGCACATTTTATGAGAGAGCTTGTCCACAAGATGTTGGGCAGCTGTGACCAGTGATATTAATAAGACCAGGAAACGGTTAGCATTTGTGTGTGAGGGTATGTACAACATGCACAAAACACAGCAAACTTCAAACAGACTGTGATGAGCCTTGATCCCTAGTGGAGGAATTTCTGGACTCCTTATCGGGAAGTTCCTGGTAAACAATCATTTACTGTGCTTCCCTCTTAATTTGTATGTGTACAAAAACTGCCAAAAGTTCTATTTTCCTAAATCAAAAGCCCCATGGATACATAGATTGACTTTTCCTTTTATTATTCCAACAATCATGCTATGACATGTCTCGCCTTTTGGAAATTTAATTTTACACTAGAATTGAAGCTCGGCATCCCACATCAGTGTGAAATGAATCGTGACAGTTCTCCCCCAAAATGCCATCCTCCCCCCACTTTAGTCTGAGCTGAGTGAGCAGCATCAGATATGGCTCACAATCCTGCCTCTCTGTGCTTCCCATCTGAGGGGGAACACAAACAAACCATCTGGGAGGAGCTCCACAGAGGCCACAAATATTCCTCCATCATGATTGCTACCCACATTTGCAGCACTGGCAGCTTTAATGTTTGGGGTTTTAGCTCAATTGCTTAGCTTGAGTTGTCTGAGTAAGGCGTACATATTGTGGCTTTTCTGCAAACTATCCTCTGTTGGAAAATTATTTCTAAACCTCACATTTAACCATCTGTTCAAAACTTTAAAACTCATCGAAGCGTCGCCTTTTACAGTTGTCATTGTTTTCAAAATAGCACATTTCTTACTCTGTCCCCTTCAGTCAGCCACGTGAATCGCTCAAATATTTCTGCAAAACTAAGGATGCTTGTGACCTAACTCTGGACCCTGTAATAAAGGGATTTATTGCAGGTCTTTGCTGTCAGACTGATGATAGATCTTCTCATTTCACAGCAGCTACTTGTACTGCAGAGCAATCTTGGCTCTGGAAGAAGGCTACCTACCCATCTTTAACAAAGCACCTGCAGGTTGGATAGTTGGCCCTAATACCTGAGGAATTTGACTGAAATTATTAAGAATAGGAGGGGCATTTTGAACAGAGTTTGGATCAGCAGAATTTCCATGAGGCAAAAAGAGTCTAATGGAATATCAACTGACCGAGTATAGTGTGTAATTCACACCCATAATAAGAGATTTATTACCACACAGAGGGGCGGGATTCAAAATGTCACAACCTTATTGCTGTTATCCATCAAGTAAAATACTGTGTGTATCTCTGCGCTCTGACTGTGGTTAGACTTCCACTTGTGCTCACTAATACGCCGGTCTTAAAACTACCAGAATATATCAGGGGGATATTACTGTGAAATAAACTCATCGACTGTGGGTCATCGGCCAGACTTGGGTTACAGCTTGGGTTGCACTGTTCCAGTACCCCTCTCTTTTTTTGCACTCTTAAATGACCATGCCCCTGCATGGAGCTATCTAATCACAGGAGTACCATCCCAAGAAAGAGCCAAGATATTTCTTCTCTCTATATATATCTGGACCATGTCTGCAGAAATCTTGAGATGGTATTTGACCAGGGGGCCTGCCAGCACTGTGCTTCTCAGAGTTTCACTCAGTGCCTTTGCACCCAGCACTGGGGTGAGAGACCCGTCTTTAAAACGTCCTCTCTATTGTGTGTCTGTTTCATGTACTCATGAGAAATAGACATTATTGTCTGAGTGACACAGTGCTGGTTTAGAATATTTTACCAAAATAACTTGGCATTTAACATTAGACAGGCATTGTGATTGAATGCGACAAATAATGTTTCTAATGCAGTGACATTTAAGCCACGAGTATAACTTTAATGTCTCTCCTAAAGGCAGTCTAATGCAAACATGACTTCATGGAACAACAGCCAAGTAAAGCTCAGACCCTCCCACAGCATGTCTGAGGAGAACCGGATACTACATATTCATAATGGACTGTATACAGTATTATAATTAGCTTCAAAGCATTTTGAAAGGCTGCTCTGTGTCATTTCGATGCCGAAACCCACCGAGTGACAAAGTCACCAATGTCATGAGTTTTAAAGAAAATTTTGCCTCCTTTTTTTCATCTATCTATTGTTACTCATTCTATCACTATTAATACTTTTTGACTTCGGAGTTGAATCCAGCATGAGTCTGTATATCACCATTTTCAACAGCCTTGTTTGTAACGATGTCTGCCATAAAATCTTAAAAGGCTGAAAGGTAAAAATAAAGATAGTAAATGGGACTATGAATTCTGATCATCGCTGCACCTGTTGCACTCAGCTGTCGGCTCATGTGGGGAACTGAATTATGATACAGAGGGACGAACAGAATTCCAACCTGACAAAATGACAACAGATGCCTGATGGCATGTAGTCTTTTTTCTTCCTCTTAAAAACTTTGACAAATAAAATTTAGGTTAGTCTGTTTATATTTAATTTTTGCCTTAAGGGTTAAATTTACCCTGTGCAGGGTACACCCTGTCCCGGTTACACCCAGGGTACACCCTGGACAGGTTGCAAGTCCAACGCCTCTGCCACCACCCGGCCACAGAGGCCTAATTACCAGGTGACTTATTTTTCCTCATTAGGTCTTGATTTATTCTGTAGATTATATCAATAGAATCTCCTGTCCCCAGTCAATTCTCCAAAATGTGCATGATCAAGCTTCTACTTGAATCTTTCTTCAATACTTTTATTTGCTGCTCTAGTCAGAGGCTTTGAAGCCCTTGACAACTGATTTTACTTTCCCACAAAATTACATGTCTGGATATGTGGTAGCCCTCCCAAATGCTCAAAGCCTTGCATTTTTGGTGACTTCTTTTTTTTCCTCATAACATGCATATTAAAGAAAAATCAAAGAAAACTTGACTATATAATTGAACTCTCTCTTCAGTGTTGAAATACCTGTAATTTACCAGTGGAATGCTCACTGCAACAAAGTGCATTTTCAATATTATTTGGCCGTCAGTCAAACAAGCACAAAGAACCTTGGGCTATTTCACCAAAGAAAAATAAAGTGGGGCCTATTTTCATTCCCGGGTTGCCACAAGAAATCCTGCATGCTATGTAAATCTACAGGAATACACATATCACTCTCAAAAGTTGAGACATTAATGACTTATTTTACTCATTCCTATTGCAAACTTCTTTCGTCCTGGTGTATAACCCTGGGTGGGGTTTTACCCAGAGCCTGTCCCAGCTGTCATTGGGTGACTGGTGGGTTACGTCATGGACAATGCTATGACTGAGATTCACTAAGATATCGTATGAGACATTTTACTCAAAATACAAACTTGATATAAAAATATATATTTAATAAACTAATCATGCATCAAACCATGTGGTGAAATACACATTGGACACATACGCATTAATGGAAATGTATATTTTATTCACGGAATTTATCCTAATTTATGCAGTAATATATGGGACATTTATGGGTCAAACTGTTTCAAAATGCCTAAAAACAAAGAATCATTTTACAGGGAGCTTTGATTCTAAAGAAACATTTGTAATCTTAAACAACTGACCAATATGGAGGCAACACTACAGCCTGTAAACATAATCTAGTGTAGTCCAATCATAATTATAATATAATAATATATATCTACACTTTGTCTGTCTGTCCAATTTTACAAATAATACTGATTAATAAATTGACAAGAGAGTACCAAAAGCAACATGATCATAACTGCACACCGTCCCCAGCCTGATTAGTTTCTGGTCCTTTGTTATACTGTCTGAAGGGTGGCAGCATATTTGACCCTCTCAGTACCTGAGGCTGCACACTGTAGCAACAATAATGTACAAAACTGACCCAAGCCAGAGCAAGGATTATTTTAAGAGTTATATCTAATGCCATTAGACCTTGGACTCTTGGCACAGTGTGTGGGATCTATATTACAGACCAAGGCAGGTGCAAGAAGGAGAGGGCAATCCTAAAAATATCCCCAAGAATCTTTATGTAGACTAGAAGACACATGGGGTGCCCTCAGTCACCAAAGTTGTTCTGACTCTTGCTTATGTGAAATCAGAAAGGTCTTTTTAGTGAATAACTGACTTTTATTCATCCATTTGTGTGAATCACAAAACACAAAGAAAAGTCAAATACAATTTTTTATCAATTCAGATGTATTAAGATTCTGTATGGAGACAAGAGAAAGTAAAATATTGTCCTTTGGTAGATTTTGGAGCAGTCAACATTTCTCAAATGACAAGCCAATCAGAGACTGAAATGCCATGACAGGATGCTGTGCTGCCACAGAGGCATTAACAGCTTGTGACTGGGATATCTGCTAAATTATCAGATAAACACTTTGTTGTGTCAAGTTTCCTCACTGGGGAGCGAAGCATCAGGGACTTGGTGACCAGAAAAACATCTCTTCTCATGCAACGCTCTCGCTTTGAACTCATCCCTAAAGAAATACTCTCCCACTGAATCAATCACATTAAAAAAGAAATAAGGACTGCCAACCAGAAAAAAGCTTTGTAAAATTGTCATTTAAGATGACTGTTCTTCTGTTTTAAGTCTGCTCAGTTCAAAAAAAAAGAAAAGAAAAAAAGAAAGAAAGAAAGAAACACTTTTAACATGAAGGGATATTTCAAAATGACTTCAGGAAAGTGAAAAACTCAAACAAAATAGATAAGCTGTGGAGAGAGTGAGGAAGGATGTGCTGCTCAGGAAGAAATAGTCCCCTTTGGAGACTTCTGGGAGACTGCTTGCTTGTCAGTCCCCATATAGAGGCGTATCAGAAGTCAAATGTTTGGGAACCACGAATGGCAGAGCTGCTCCTTAAAAAATACCCAAACACCCCGCACACACACACGCACACGCACGCCTCCTCCAGCAGTATTGGGTGTCCGAAGGAATCCAGTCACCCCCCTTGAAAGTACATATTTGACAGGGTAGAGTCAGGCAGAGCCTGCACTCCAGCTCAGCCTTCAGTCCGGGACAGACGCCCCAGCCCCACTCCTACTCTCCTTTTGGACGTTCAGTTGGTGCTGCCAAACAGCAATAAGCAGCCATGGAGGCCATCAAGAAGAAGATGCAGATGCTCAAGCTCGACAAGGAGAATGCCTTGGACAGAGCTGAGCAGGCTGAGTCAGACAAGAAAGCAGCTGAGGACAGAAGCAAACAGGTCGGATGATTTTTTAAAACTTTTTTTCTTTCCTTTGATGGAGCAGATCCGTTTTTAAAAAAAGGCAGGAGAACCGGCAGCAGTAAAAAAGCAGGAAATTTAAATGGATCACCTCTCAAATACGGATTAATTACTATCTTGGACAATAAGGATTTGATTAAAGAATAATCCATGATTTGTTTGATATAATTGAGCTAGTCCCTGTTAAGTTTTAAGTATAATTTGGGAGGATAATCGAGGTCATCCTCTTTCTTAGGACCTTGTGATGTAAAGGTCGTCAAGAAATGCATGTCAATCATTAAACGTAAAACGTTAGAGAAATAATGTTTAAAGTTCACCACCCATGAAATGCATGTATATTTCATACTGTGTTTTTTTTGCATGCATGTGTAGTTAGAGGACGAGCTAAAAGAGTTGGAAAAGAAATTGCGTGTTACAGAGGACGAGAGAGATAAAGTGTTTGAGGAGTTCCAAACTGCCGAGGAAAAACTGTTGACTGCTGAGGAAACCGCCACGAAGGTATCTGACCCTGAAGAGCATGAGCTTTCCTAACTTCTCTCTTTGTCTTTTCCCCCTGTCCTGTCCTGTCCTCTCCGGTCTCCTGACTTTTCCTCCACGCACCCTCGCGCCCCTGCGCGCTCACGCCTTCCCCTCTGTGCGCCCATCACCTCTGAAACTGTCCTGCACTGAAACAAAAATCAGCTTGAGGACGATTTGGTGGCTCTTCAGAAGAAGCTGAAGGGAACTGAGGATGAGCTGGATAAGTACTCCGAGGCTCTTAAAGATGCCCAGGAGAAACTTGAGCTGGCTGAGAAGAAAGCCACCGATGTAAGTAAGAAAGGGAACCACTGTGGCACCGTTCTTCCACCACGCTGCTTCACATTTTCACGCTCCCATTCGCGGAAACGGCAGTTCAATATCACAGAGAAGAACACTTCCATACATCAAAATGCCCTAGTCTGCTGCCTCTAAAGACTTGGCTTTGCAGATGGGTACTCTTGGCACTGTTGCCTCTTTGACTATTGAACTGTCGTTCCGTGTATTCTCATGACTATTTCCGTCACTTTACAATACAAGTCAGCCCAAAGAATGCCAAATTAGGAAATTGATAAGAAAACACAGCAGCTTAAGCATTTTGAATCAAACAATCCACCACGAAGCCTATTTCAGACCACATTTTTTCTCGTACATATTTTCCATTCCAGTTTTGTGGATCTTTTACAGAGTGATGAGTATAGCCTGTAATGTGCAGACTTTCCAAAAGCTGAGAGGGACAGCGCCTGGATAAATATAACCCACTGCTTTATATGGTCAAGATAGAGCTCACAGCGAGCTGCGCTCTTGGCTTACCACAGAGAAAAGCACAGTTTCCCATCAAAAAGCCTCAGGCAACAGGCTACTACATTTACAAAAAAAGTGAGGAAGACAGAAAAGAACATTAAAAAAGAAAGCCATTCATTTAGTCAGAATTTCTAACAAATCCCCTTTTAACTTTCTTTGCATTCTTTGCATTCTTTATATACATATGAATAGAAACATGTCTATATATATATGGAACATTGTCTATTATAGGCCTATATATATATATAAATCCGTTTGGATAAACATCTTTTAGAAAAACTATGTAAAGAATTTTCAGTTTAAGCTTTAAAGGGCGCAGCCTGGTGGAGAAAAAGTAGCTTTGAGACCTCAGAAGCATGCTCTTAGGCCGAAAGCCCCCTTAATAACAGAAGTGGGGGCCAAGTTCACATGCAGCAGCCCGAGCTGTTTACTTTGTTTACGTAGAAAAAGTCAATCGGGCTTCAGAGAAGCTGTGAGAAAAATCCGTTGTAATAATCCTTTAATTGGATTTCAACGACCCGGTTAGGTCAAAGTCTGTCTGAGTCCTGTGAGTTTTAGCGGTTTGCACTTGAGGGTGGATTTTATCCTTAATAGTACTTAAAACGTTACAAGAGAGATATTTGAGGACATCAAACAAATCCAAATGAAATTTAGCGTTTTACTGGCTTGTTTTTTTAGGTTTCATATTTTAGTTCGGTCGTTCCGTCATATTTGCAAAGCTCCAAACCCAGCCTGTAATTACCGGACTTGAAAAGTCTTTGGTCTCAAATGATTTAGCTGCCACGTATGTGCTTCTCCCAGTTGACCCGCAGAGGGCGCTGTGGCTCCGTTATTTGCTTTAGACATGATCCCTGCAAAGCCCGCAGTGTTGGGTATCCTCATGCAGATAAGATGCAATTCGCTTCCACTACATTTTATTTATTTATTCATTTATTTATTGTTTTTTTCCCCCATATGGGCAGCGGAACATAGTGCGGTACTATCCGGCATTGCAAAGCCATGCAAATGACTCCTTTTTTTGAGAGCCAAATTGAAAGCGGCGTACTTCCTGGATAAAAATCAGACATTGCCCACTACGTCTCCAGAAAGCTTGCGCACCGCCAGATCTGTCTTAGCGCGGCTTTCAGCGGCGTTTAGCGCGTCATCTCGCCTCTCGGAGGAGCAGCTGCCGGGCACCGCGCGTTCTCCTGCGTTAAAAGAGCGAACAATGGCCGGAGTTACGTCGGTGGATGCGGTCAAACGAAAGATCAAATCTTTGCAAGACCAAGCTGACTGCGCTGAGGAAAGAGCCGAGAGGTTTCAGAGGGAGTTGCTCGAGCAGCGGAAAGCCAGAGAGCAAGTGAGCATGTTTCCAGCCGCACAAACGCGCACCGAGCGCCAAAAACATTTCGGCCGCAGTTTGAGCGGCCGCTGAGATTAATTGAGAGGTTTTTCTGTAGATGCACGGAGCAGGAAGTACATTTCTAGGGCTGGATAGTCCACGGCCCCTGCGGAGAACGTTTAATTGGCGACGTTAGCGGTTGCGTTAGCAGTTGGGTAATGTGGCACATAGTAATTGTGTCGCCTCATCCCAACTCTACTGTCCGCCTGCATCTCCTCTACTGGGAGGTCCCGGTCCCAGTCAAAGAAGTCTTTTTTTTTATTTCCAACACGCAAAAATAGTTTTTTTTTTAATTATACCAGGAAGTAAAATTTAAACCGCGGTAATATTGAAGATGCCAGCCTGCACTGACAGCTTGCGCTCTTTGATTTGCCCTTATAAGGACAGCAGGCTTGCACAGCTCTCGGCGGTTCCTTAGACGGGAAATGGGTCTTGCAGCACAGGCTTAGCTGTCAGTGTTCATCCTGACACGTCCTTGTGCATGCGAACTGTAGCTGTATTAGATAAAGCTCCCGATTAACTTGAGGTGCACTTTGGTCCCGTGTAATCTTTAACAGGAGCAGTGGGAAGGAGAGCCTGGCATTGATAGATAGATATATACCTGCTGGGCTCTCTGCAGAAAGCAGAAGCAGCAGCAAGTCTGAGTAAACACAGAAACAGGCAGCTCTCTTTTGCCTTTGACATTTGTTTTCCTCCAAAGATTATGTGGGGGGGTATTACACTTGCAAGCCTCAGACACTAGGTAACTTCTCGGGGAGCTATGTAACCGTGTCAGGGCCTTTGGCTTCAGCCTTGATAATACACTCTAGGGGTTTGGTAATGAGCCACAGCTTTGTTAGTCTGGTACACATCATTATGCAAAGTCAGTGAGGAGCAAAGGGGAACCTGCTGGGAGCACTTTTCCCAACAGGTGGCACACAGAAACACTTAGGAACAAGCATCATAGTACTCCCTCTGGGCTTTTGGAGTAGCCCACACGTGCACCCAGAGGGCACTCACTTCCTACATACAATTGAATGACTTTCCCAGATCTTTGGGCTGACTTATGTTCGAAGGCGTGTAATTTCGAGGGGCTTATGTTAAAGATGGTGATGTCTGAAGTCTCCTGATGAGCTGCTGTTCCTCTCCTAGGCCGAGGCAGATGTCGCTTCTCTTAACAGACGTATCCAGCTGGTTGAGGAGGAGTTGGATCGTGCTCAGGAGCGTCTGGCCACTGCCCTGACCAAGCTGGAGGAGGCTGAGAAGGCCGCTGATGAGAGTGAGAGGTGGGTTTTTGGTTCCGAGCTGAAGAAGATTGAAGCTCTCGTCTTTGCCAGTTCACTTCTTCCCTGACATCTGAAGCCAGGTGGTTTATGTCAGAGTCCTTTCCTTCCCTGTGTATAGCATTTATGTGTCTGTTAATTATTAAAACAATTAGCCATTCACCTTTTGACATACATGAAAGGCCAGATAAATGCATATTTCGGGAGGATCAAGGAAATCTACTGGATCTCAACCCCCTGGGTCTTAACGTGCCTCGACTGTTGTGTTTGTTCCGTCACACAGAGGCATGAAGGTCATTGAGAACAGGGCCATGAAGGATGAGGAGAAAATGGAGCTGCAGGAGATCCAGCTGAAGGAGGCCAAACACATCGCTGAGGAGGCTGACCGCAAATATGAGGAGGCGAGTTTTTCCTGTCAGGGCTCCTGTGACAGACTCTAGCGCCTACAGATGTCACCGTTCCTTTAATGCCACCACAGTTTCCTGGACACATTAACCAGCAGACATTTGCACCAGGGATTAGTAAGGTGTATGTTACTTAGGCACTTTTCAGTCCAAAGTTTTTAGTCCATATGCTTTCCACACCCGTAGCTGCCGGCAGAAATTGACATTTATGAAGTATTCTTATCAGCTAATGTCCCTTTTTCCGTGTGACAATGGTAGGCACGGTTGTAAATGTCTTTATCCTGTCAGGTAGACTTTAAAAATGGTTAACGGCTCACTGATAGATGCTATCAGTCTACCTCTAGCCTAATCCCAGCAGGCCGTAAGTACTTGTGATGTAACCTTTTATTGTGCTACACGTTCAGGTGGCCCGTAAGCTGGTCATCATTGAGGGTGAGCTGGAGCGCACAGAGGAGCGTGCTGAGCTCTCAGAAGGGTAGGAGGTTTCACCTGTACGCACAATTAATCTGCCTCACATTTGCATGGATGCTCCAACGTAAGCGCGTTCTGGAGGCTTTCAGCACTAATGCACAGAGTTTGGTAGTTGTTTCCATTTGGACAGTGTGTACTGTGTCCTTACTGTCTGTGCTGGTTATTTGCATGCTCACCCCGGCTTGAATGGTTTTGGCTTGCACGTGTGCACCACACCCACTAACAGGCGTGGTCGGAGAGTGGAGGAGGAGCTCAGGGGTTTGGAGCAAAGCCTGAAATCACTAAACTCCTTAACGACACAGGTACCACAAAGCAGAACTAACACACACTGGTTATTTTTGCGTGGCTCTTCTCGCTGTAACCCCACCGCGCACACACACACACACACACACACAAACTCACCCCCACTGCCTTTGCTTTCCCCGCTGTGTTTGTTCTTTTCCGACTTTTTTATTTTGGGTATACTTGATTACTTGATGCCTAACACAACACGGAGCTGAGCCAGAATAACACCCTGCTTTTATAAAAAAGCATCATGGCATAATTAGAATGAGCCCCCCCCAAAACAAAATCCCTAATTTTATTTTTTTATTTCCTCGTAACACGCTAAAAACTCACATTCCTGCTGTGTTAAGGTATTTAAAAGTGGACTGGGAAACTCACCTGTTTCATCCCTGTAGTACTCATTTGTTTCCTCTCTCCTTTTTTTTCCACTTCCCATCTTCCTGTTTTGTGTCCACCTTTGCCTGTGTCCATCCTCGTTCCCCCCTATTTCCTCCGACAACCACTTTGCATCTTTGGCAACCTTATCCCCTTGTCTGAAACGACAGCAAATGCTCTGAGCTTGAGGAAGAGTTGAAAACTGTGACAAACAACCTCAAGTCACTGGAGGCCCAGGCTGAGAAGGTGAGTGTAACCTCCTGGGCCAGTGCATGCTGTTAAATCCCCTCCCCAAGCTTGCTAGTGGACTCGATGGTCCAAAAACAAAAGGCCAGGCGGTCAAATCTCTTCAATTATGCTGTTTACACCATATACATCATTTTTTTTATACATTAGTACCTTTGTGTTCAGCCCAAGTTTAATGCTTTTCGCCGTTGTCTTTGTCACACAGTACTCACTGAAGGAAGACAAGTATGAGGAGGAGATCAAGGTCCTCACCGACAAGCTGAAGGAGGTATGGTTTCATGAGGCGTATTTGGGGTTTTCGCTGCATCTGTGTCACAGTTCCTGTGTGACCTACATCTGTCTCCGTACCACAGGCTGAGACTCGTGCTGAGTTTGCTGAGAGATCAGTAGCCAAGCTTGAGAAGACCATTGATGACCTGGAGGGTGAGTTTTCTTTGATATTTCTGTCTGTTATTCTAGTGGAAGTATTTGGGTACGTGCTTTCTCGTTCAGATCTCACCTGGCTTCTGTCACGGGGACTCCTGTCTTCTATAAAAGGCAGTTTGAGTTCAGATGTTGGGGGTTCTGGTTTTGATGCTTACAGAAAACAGACTTGTGTGTGGACACATTGTTCACACAGACATAGAGAGACATATAGGGACTGAGTGAGTGAGTCATTGTGAGGAATTCACTCTGAAACTGTGTTGCACGTCCATTGTATCATTTTAGTTAGAGCAACACTGTATCCCTGTCTTTTTCCTTGTTTTCAACTGGTTTGTTTTCTTTTCCTATCTTGCCTATGGTTTGGATGCCTCACCTTTCACCTCCTTGTCATGCACTCCACCACCTTTTCTCTCTTCCACTGCGCCCTCCCCTCTCCTACCTCACTTCACACCTGGCCCACCAATAGATGAGTTGTATGCCCAGAAACTGAAGTACAAGGCCATCAGCGAGGAGCTGGACCACGCCCTCAACGACATGACTTCCATGTAATTTTTGTCTTGCCGCACCCGCTTGTTTCACCATCACCTTCCTGTCCCCTGCACTTCTGTTCCTGGTTACACTGTTTGCCCCATCATGTCTTCTTGTACCCAGTTGCACTGTAACATGCACCTTAATTCAGGCATTGGAGTGCTCTTGGTCTGTGTAATTTCAGGCCCCTTCCTGTTATTAGATGTTTCATTTGTGTGATTTTTCACAGATACCGAGCAGTATTTATAGAATAGATTACTTTATTCATCCGTGACGGGAAATTTGGTTGCCGTAGCAGTCCGGTGGTAAAATACAATACCATACAATAGAATAAAAAATAAATACTGTGCAGTTCTGTGATTGAGGCTATGACAGAGGCAGATGAGTTGTAGTTTCATTGCGGTAGGAAGGAATGATTTCCTCTATCGTTCCTTAGAGCAGTCCGTAGCTGAAGCCAAATAAAGGTGCATGAGTTGCATGGATTCAATTTTGAATGTGAAAAGTAATCATTGTTCATGTATTTTCATGGATGCCTCATTTTTCAAATATTCATGGTAATTTCACATGTCATATGACATCTTAATCTAAGCATGACATTTTTAATGGAAATGTCAGGAGTTGCACTGAGGAGGCACATGATTTTATGTCATTTCACTGTTTCTCCTACTAATATGGTCTACTTCTGTGTAGAAGAGAGGCCTCATACATGTCGGTTAGATTCCCCTCGATTCTGTCTGTATCCCAGCCGAAAGTGTCGTCCTTTCACCCCCAGTTCCTGTTTTTGAGTGTGTTTGACATGTACAATGCATTTGTCATTGTGCATTCAGCCCCTGTCGTGTGTTGCCATGACTCCTGTGGATCTGGTGTGTTGTGATGCGCATCCCGTTTCTTCGTCGGTCCCACAGCAACCCTCTGGTTCACTGTACCTCTTCTCTCCCAAACAGATAAATTGCTTACACCTCATCAAAGACGCCTCCTGCCGGCTGAGCAGCCTTTGTCTGCTCTCTCCAGCCTCCTCTCCCTTTTCCCTTCCCTCTCTGTCTTTGCTTTACTCTTCTGTTTTCTCCCCAGTCGCATCCCATCATTTGTACAGAATCCTAGAATCTTTCTGCATTGTGTAAAAAAATAAACCTCCTTCCTTCTATGTGAGCTCTATCTCTTTACTCTGTCCCTTTTTTCATTATTTTCTTTATGTTCTTAAACTATGTGGCTCCTATATTGTAGTTTTATGGACTTGATTGATGCTTTTTGTCTTCATACATTGTTCCATAAAGCAGAGGCTTAAGGAATTTCTGAATAGGGAAATGAATGTCAAAATCCAGAGCAACTAAGAGTGCCTGACTGAAGGCTGAGCTGAACTTTGCACTGATGTATGCGAGCATGTTTAGTACATTTAGTACAGTGAAAGAGGTAACTGGATGGAAAGCGGTAGTAGTTGGTGAGCATTAGTGCTGGATTGTTAACTGGAAGATTGTGGTATAGTGGGATGGGTGGAATGCAGAGCAGCATGTAAGACTTGTGAAACTACATCTAGTGCTGGATGAAAAATGGGATGAAACTAATATGGGTTTATGACAAATTGGCTTTGTATGAATGAATCACGGTCTCCTGCCTAAAATCTAAATAAAATCACAATGGCATATTTTGCGTCCTTTTATTAAAGTCGTAAACTTGCATTCAAACGTTAAAAAGACAAAGTGAGAAGTCTTCAGTGGTTTAGAATTCAAATGGTTCATCTTATTGATGTAATTGAGAGTAGTCATTTAAAAAGTTTCAAACAAAGCAACACAGGTCTTATTTTTCAATTACCTTACATGCAATTGTCTCCTTTTTTCTTCCTTTTTTTGTTCTGGGTTTGCTCAACTCGCACTCTGCTTATTCAACACACTAAAGTGGCTTATATTAACGTAAGCTAACCAGAATGCTCACAAAGAGCAAAAATCTTCTCAAACATAAAAATTAGCATTGGTATTTTTGTTTTTGCTTTTTGAAATTTAAAAAAAAAAATCCAAAAAGCAGAATGTGCAGAAGATAAGACTCATATGATATTCCACCTCCCCTTTTCCCCTTAACCCCTGTCCTTTTTACAAACTAAAAAGGACTAACCTCTGTGAATGGATTGGTGTTTTTGGAGTTGTATGGTCTTCACTCGTTCAGTTAGCCCTGTCCGTGTGTGGCACCTGCATCATTTGTGTCACTGCTGGTTGAGGTGTATTTGTATTAAGACTAATGATTTAAGGATAATCATCTTAACTTAAGTTTCTAACATTATTCAATATTTTTTCCCTGTAGGTCATTGGCTGTGTTTATTTGTACAAGACTGATGCTTTCTGACTTGCATGGTTGCCAGCAGATGATAACAATGTCCTTTTTTCTGTTTTCATCATGCTGTGTTGATTGAGTTTTGAGTTGGAGCTGACCTGAATGATATATTCACTTTGATTATTAATGCAGGCTAACAAACTGACTGATTTGTGCTTGCTTGTGTGCGATTTAAAATGTCTTTGTTTGATGTTCTAACAGAGAAACTGTCTCAAGCTAAAGAAGAGAACCTCGACATGCACCAGATGCTGGACCAGACCCTAATGGAACTGAATAACTTGTGAAAGCACAATTTGACGCCCACACACACTGTGGTTTTGGCTTTTTTTTTTTTTTTTACTTGCACCTTGCTTTCCATAAACCCCTCTTTTTGTACCTTGCCAACGGTGGAGATGAAACAGCCATATGCTGTTGCACAGTCCTGAACTCCAGCAAGGAGCCAGACAAAGGGGGGACAAAGCTTAACCATTCCATTAGAAGCCCAAAATGAAGTAATTGCAATTCTTTTTCTAAGCTAGTTTTTATGCTTGAGTTTTCCGTCCTTGAAATAGTTTAGTGTTTAATTACATATATTTTTCAACACATCATCTGCTGACATGTGCCATTAGTCACAAATATTGCTTACAACATCTGTATTAGCGTTGAACAGGTATGTTCAGCTCCATCATGATCATGCACACACCAAAGAACAAGAAGAGAAAACTTGCACTTAATAAAAATCATTATGCAATTTATAAACTCAGAAGACGTGCCCCAGGTTTAAGTATACACATGTTGTGCCTGACGGCGTGTGTACTGGTGCTACTGTATTGTTGATTTTATGCATTACAGTGTATTGATTTTACGTTTTCTTAACAACCATGGTCCAATTTTTTTTTCGTAGCATTTCAGTCAGCTAGTTTTGTTTTAATATAGACGTTTCAAATGTTTCAAACATACCTGAAATGTACAAATTATGAATATAAATAAAAGCACGTTTTGAAAGTTTTCTAACTTTATTGTGTTCTGTTTGCTGCCTTGTTCTCTTATAATGTGCATTTAGCTAAAAGGACTCTAAACCTATCAAAAAGAAAAATATTTATTTTGAGTCCAGTGCAACAGAGACGTCGTCTGTGTGAGTTCATGTTTCAACACTGCTGAGTTTAGGGTGTGCATTTTTTTCCATGCCAGGTGAGAGATTTAAGGCTTTAAGGATAGGTGTTTTACATTCAGTTATCCTGGTGATTAAAACGCTGAGCTTCCGCTCGATGTGGTCAGGATCGTGATTTGATTAATTTGGTCTAGTTGGAGGACGTAAACAGGAAGTAACTAACTTAACGGTTACCGGACTGATAAAGACGGCTGCTGGCAATACTTGCAGCCTTTGTTTTGTTTGTTTGAATCATGTCGCTGTTTTATTCACATCGCTTTTGTACCAAATGTGTCCTGCTTGCAGCGCGCGAGCCGCTCTCGATGACAGCGCGAGCCGGCGCGCGTGTCAGGCCGAACGGTGTTTTCACCCAGCCGCCGAGGCGTTATGCCGGGGGTCACTCATTTAGTAAACACCGGTCAAAAGCTAGGCTTTGGGTGTGTGGGATAGGCGCCGGGGTCGCGTTGGCTGTCGGACTGAAATACGGCTCGGACCCTGGTAACAGTTCGTGTGACGATAAAGTTGGAAAAGAAGTGAAGGCCGACCCATACTGTGCTGCCATTAAAGTAAGCAGAGACCTTTTGGAGCGGATAAAGGTAGGAACGGAGGTAGGCCTGTAAACTGCTGGGTTTGTGTTTTGAATACTTTCTGTTGTATGCATTACTTCACCTACCCCATGTGTGTGTGTGTGTGTGTGTGTTGTCAGGCTGAGGTCGGAGCCCCTGGGCTGGTAGTTGGGGTTTCTGTGGACGGTGCTCAGGTCTGGTGTGAAGGTTGGTAAGAGTCATTTGCATGTAAGCTGTCAAACGTGTCGTTTTTAAATATGAAGGTAAATTCAGGCATGAATTAATTGCCATGGCCCAGGTTGTCCTAAGTCCAGCTGCTGGTTGAAAGCTTAGCTACAATAGAGCCACAGTCCTCGTGGACATTGTGTCCAGTGTTAAAATGTTTGTGGAAACTGTTACAGCCATGCACCAAGGTCATGTTTGTTTTCAAGATTGACTTTAACTAAATACACTACATGTTAGTTCTCAATGTTAATCCCTGATGGGGCCTATTTATGCTTTTATCTTTCAAAGTCAGACATTTATACATATTTTCAAGCACAAATTATTCTGATTTCTGTTAGTATATATATATATATATTTGAGAGGAGTGAAGGGAAACGTTGATCATTTGCAACAACCTATCACAAAAGAAATGATGTGGCTAGTTTATACAGAGACTAGGGAACAAAAGGTTCAGGAAGGACTAAAATGATACCATAAAACTCACCAGTTTTACATACAAAACAAAATGTGGGATTTAAAGAGTTCCTTGAACGTCATTCTTTAAAAACTTTAGTCATACCAAGTGTGGGGCAGAAATGGCAGATAGCCTTAATGTGTATTATTCCTATGCTCACTATTTAGTGTGAAAGATCGGACAGAAAAACCAAACATACTCATTTTAAAGCATGTCCTCTTGACATAGGTTGCTCATGGGGGAGCAAAGCACTGTCTCCAATGTAAATGTTTAACTTGCAACTCTCAGTACAACGCCATGTGTCCATAATGAAAGGGTCCTGGGTCCTAAACTGGTTGTCCTGTGGTTCAAACTGTGACCCGTTAAACACTGTGGGCATTGTTAAGCCATAATTATGGGCATGAAGGAACCTGAGTAAGCTAACTCAGTGGCTCACATGTCATGATGATTATGTAAATCTCAAGAGACTCCAGCTTCCTGAGAGGTAAGCTAAACTGCACAACAGTTTCTGTAAACAAAGAAGTATAAACATTTGCAAATTCATTCAAATTTTTCTCCTGACATGGTGTATAGTTTTGGGATATACTGATGAAATGGGGATTATTTTCCTGTGCCATTACTAACATTTAACGCAAAAGTATGATCTAACCCTTTTTTATGATTCTATTTTTTTTGTTGTTGTATTATTTCATTAAAAATATCCCCTCATTGAAACTGTTGATGCGATTTAGGGATCGGCTACGCTGACTTGGAGAACCGTGTTCCCTGCACGTCGGCAACGGTGATGCGTATTGCCAGCATCAGTAAGCCGCTCACATCTGCAGCCGCCGCTCGACTTTATGAGGAAGGGAAACTCGATCTGGACGCCCCGGTCCAGAAATATGTCCCAGAGTTTCCCCAAAAACAGTTTGATGGAAAAGATGTAAGTCCATTTTAGAGTGCTGTGGCATGCTGTTCTCATCAGAGCGCCCCTGCCCCGGTCACTGCTGCGCTTAGCTCACGCGCATGCTGTCCCCTCCCTGCTTTTTTCAGGTCACAATAACGCCTCGCATGATTCTGTCCCACCTAAGTGGGATACGGCACTATGAGAAGGATGCAAAGAAGGTGAAGGAGGACAAAGAGAAAGCTAAGCGACTTTTAAAACCACCAGGTAAAGAAAAAGAAGAGAAGAAGAGCTCAGCTGAAGACGAGGATAAACCCTCAACAGATCCAAACATTAAAGGGAGAGAGTCCAGCCGGGCTCAGAAGAAAAAAGAGTTTGAGCACGAGGAGTACTACTTAAAGGAGAACTTTGAAAGTGTCACTCATGCCTTGGACCTCTTTAAGAACGACCCTCTCATTTTCAAACCTGGTAAAAAAAAAGAATTAAACTTTTTTTTTTACTTACAGAGCAATTGAAGTTACCATCCAGTTACCTCTTTAAAAGTACCAGTTTTTATGCCCTGAAAAGTCAAGTTGCTGTTTTCCTGCATGCAGGCACAACTTTTCTGTACTCCACTCATGCCTTCACATTGCTCAGCGCTGCGATAGAGCGGGCAGCCGACCAGCGCTTCCTGGATGTTATGATGACCATGTTTCGTGAGCTGGGGATGCTCAATACAGTCCCCGATGAGAATGACCCGATAATTTACCACCGCTCCAGGTAGTGTGACGTGTCCGTGTTACTGTCTGACACATCAGCTTAGTGCAGGGAGAGATACTGCAGCAGAAACTCAATTTATGAGTACTTATTCCTTGAAGTTGATGAAAAAGCTTATTCTCGTATTTTGATTGCTTAATGTAAATTCAACAATGAGTCCATAGTACTTCTTGATCATTTTCCACAGATTTTATCATGTCAACAAGAGAGGACGTGTTGTGAACTGCCCCTATGTAGATAACTCCTACAAATGGGCCGGAGGGGGCTTCCTGTCCACGGTGGGAGACCTGCTGCTGTTTGGTAACGCTCTGCTCTACAGCTACCAGCTGGCCAACCTCAAGGACACTGAGGGCTTGCTCCCCGGTTTCCTCAAACCCAAAACGGCCTTAGAGCTGTGGGCGCCCGTCGATAAGACAGAGGCCAGCTGGGATAAGGACGGACTGTACGCCCAGGGCTGGCTGGTGGTGGAAAAACTCCAGAAGTACGGCCAGTGCAGGAAGCGCAGGCACTACGTGTCGCACACAGGAGGCGCCGTGGGGGCCAGCAGCGTCCTCCTGGTGCTACCCAGCCAGGAGGGACAAAGCCATCCACCCCCACATGGGGTGGTGGTCACCATCATCAGTAACATGCAGTCCGTGGGGCTGAACAGCCTGGCGCTGAAAATTGCCCTGGAGTTTGACAAAGCCAGAGGTATGTGTGCATAAGCCGTTTACAGGAGCGTCTCCAGTTCACTGAGGCGTTTCAGATGAGTCTTGTTCACCGTGTAATTTTGAAACATTCTATTTAATCTGTCTGTTTTGAGGCAAAATAAATCTTTGAAAGGATGTTTTTATCAAAAGGCAGACTCAGTTTTTTGCATTTAAATTTCAGCACCATGATGTGTAGATAAAAACACTATAACGCTCCCAAACACATGCTGACACTTATAAAGGAAGACTGTGAGGAGGGAGCATGCTTCATGCATAACAGGTATGCACATTCATTCCTGACTTGCATGCCTCAAGTGCATGTTGCACGTGCACATTTATTTTCCTCTTCACTTATTAAGTTAAAAAGAAACAAATCAACACAGCACCACCACGTAACAGCTTGCTTCCCATGTTTTTGATACCCACCGTTTTTAATAGTGAAGTATGACTTTTGGCATTGTTGAAGAACCTCTCAACTATTGTGTTTTTAAAGTTTGGAGTTTGGTCGGCTTCCTCCCCCCCCACAACTGGGACCACAAAACTGGCAAGTTTAATCACATCTGTAGCCAAAGGTTTTTTGTTAATATTCAGTGTTTTCAATTCAGTTGTAGAGCCACTCATGTGTCAGACTCAATTGGAGATTTTAGTTGTAATGGTATTATTTGTGAACCAAGATAAGTCTCTTTTTGCTCTTTTTGTAGGAAAGCCATTGTGCCACTAGGTGGAAGTAGTTAACTGCATTTGGAAAACAAACGCATCATCTGACAACCAGTTTACAGGTTTTATACAATTCAAAATCTTCTACATTTAAAGGAGAATTATACCAGTTTGAGCACAATAAGAGCCTGACTGCTAATTGCTGTTATTGCACAATAGTTTCTACACCTTTTAGTTTTGCCCTGAAACATTTCCTGATAGCGCGATGGCTTTTGGAAATTGAGAAAAAAGAATGCGGATTGACCTGGTACTGTCAATCTGTTACCAAAACATGTTTCAAAGTCCTCATTTGTCTGTAGCTTTTTTTTAAGGATTGCCTAGTTTCACACTCATTCAAGCCTGAAGGCAGGCTTGAATGAGTGTGAAAATAATGATTAACTGGGTCTGTTTATCTGTAACAAAGCAAGCCATCTTTCCGATTTCCCTTTCAAACTACCGTCATTTTTCACATTTTTTTCCCTTCTTTTTATGAGTGATACTCGCAAACATTTTTTGCAAGTGTGGTCTGGTTAGTTTTATGTTTGAAGGTCATTGGATTACAAGCAAAAAAACGGTCATCACTTTTGTTTGTTTAACTTTGCAAGAGCATTTTTGGAAAGAGAGGTGACTTTTTTGGAATGAGAGGTGACCGACTCGTCCAGACGTCTTCAAGATGCATTTGTAGTTTCGGTTGAGATTGAATACTCAGAGTTTCACAGGCATACAAATGTACATGTTTATATGTTTTTGGTCCAGAAATCACACACACAATTCAGAAGGAATCAAGATGTGTCCATACACACTTACAAGAGGTAATATATCCATATATTGTTCCAGTGGGTAGTTTTTAATGATTACATTATTTTTTTACATAGTTCAACTACACTTTTTAAATACATTTGCTAAAAATAAACGTAAATACAATTTAGAAACTAACTCTAGTTATATAGTTGTGTTAAATAAGATACCAAACATGGTGAAATTCAGCTCCCAACACATCAAACATGTTGTACAACCTGCTCTTTACAACTGGCGAAACATGGAATGTAGCCTGAGAATTCATGAGCTCTCCCTATTTCATTCTTTTAAAACCAGTGCATATATATTTTTTTTTCATATTCCCCTTTTGGGTCATATCCAAAATTCCACTCAAACGCAAGTGAGATGTTGACACTCATTAACATACTTGCTTCTTAATGTCCAAAAAACACACAAATATGAAGATTCCACCGATGTACATCTGAAGGTAAGATCATACCCTGGGTTTTACTCTCCAATACTCTTGTCGATTGTTTGTTTGGTTTTGGTTCTTGGCTTTCCACATCCTATGTGTACAAAGAAAAAAAAATGTTTTGATTATGCGTATCAGTGCTAAAAATGGATAATGCCTGACACTAAAACATAGAATATTTCGAAGACTGCATCGTTTCTACTTACTTGTGCACATAGTAAATAACGACTGCCAGCACCACTAAGAGCAGGATGACTACAATAACCACAGCTGCAATCAGTCCGGCCTCCTGCCCGTTTGGAGAGCTTATTAAGAGTTGGAAGTGCTCACATCTGCTGCCTTTGTAATTATCATTGCACCTAAAGTGAGAGTATGACAAAAGGAAGGGAATTTATCACCACTACATTTGTAAGACTGTGTTCTCATATTAAACAACCTAAATATGATAAAGAAAAAAAGGGTTTTGGTCAGACTTACACGCAGGAGAGTGTGTCCATGGAAGGTATTTTATAGCATGTTCCTCCATTCATGCAATAAGTTACTTCCTGCCCATTACAAGGCTCTCCATGATCTTCAGAGGCAAAACATTCCCGGGAAAATTATTTGTTGAACTTTATAAAAACTATTCTAACATATCAATCTTTATGAAGTTCTTCTGTTCATAATTACCTGCCATCATTTGGAATTTTTCTCCTGCTGTCTCCTGAGACCAAAAAGGGACATTTTAAGAAGGTTATCTTTCACCCACTGAGGAAAGCATGACCAAAGTTTAGTAAAATAAAAACACAAGTGAAAATAAACCCATAAATGACAGTTTTTCATATAGCTACTTTCTAGTGATATCACTAGCATTCAGTTGTTGCTTGGAAATATATCAATATCTTAATTTAAAGTGTTTTGTTTTATGAAAAAAACAAAACTTTGCCCTTACCAGCACATTCAATCTCAGGTGCTGCTGCTGTGGTTTGTACAAGTCCCCAAGGTAAGTCAAGTGACGCTTAAATCCCTGAATGCTCTTGTGTGGGCGTGTTATGGCTCAAAGAATGTAGTGATTGCAGTTTGTCCACTTTATAAATGGCAAGTTAAATGTCAGGATCCTAACCCTTAATGGCTCGCAATTCTTCAGTGTGTTGTAAATGGAATAATCTGTTGGTGCACTGACAGATGACAAATAAGAGGACATTCCGCCATAATCTCGACCTCTGCCAAATGCTTCCCACGACGGCTAAGCGGCATGATGACGTTTTGTTTTTGTTCTCAGAGGGTCATTTGCATCAAACAGAAGATGGGAAAGGAAAGTACCTGGGTTCGGTATAGAGGCATGAATGACTGGTATGCGAGGATGGCATGAATGGAATTGTGAGAACTTTCTGTCGTCTGAGGAAACCTCACCGCACATCCGTCAGACTAGTAATTACATGTCTTTACTCAGAACCGTTAGGTGATTCATCGTTAGGCTATTTTCATTGTGTACTGTGTTTATTTTTAGACTAGAAGTACCATTGCTTTTATTGTTTTCACAGTTTATGCAGGCCACAGTCATTCAGGATTAAGAGATTTCTTTCTCTGAAGTGTTTAAAACCAATAATAACTTGATGTTTTTTTCACAATGTAACTCTTCAAGTTTTGAGGAGCTCTCCAATTTAGAGTTTCTTTATTTAAACCTCGTGTAATTTAAGATTAGAGGTAAAATCCCTTATGTGCCAAGACAATCTTGGCCTCATTAGAGGAAAATATCTTTCTTTAAACTCCATTAAGAACAAATCAAACAGAACTTGTGGTGCAACTTATTATCTCAGACTTTAGCTATATGTGGATTTATTATTTAAAGTTTTTAGAAGTTATATAGTAGTGTAAACCTGTAAATTCATTGACAGACACATTTAGTAGCTTTGGACTGCCTTTTCTGGTGTGTCTCCATTTTAGGATGCAGATACCAGCGGTTGCACTGTAGGGATATGAAAGTGGCTGCAAGGTGATAAACTACATTAAACAGGCCGTTTATAGCCGCGGGGACAGTTGTAATGACTCAGTATTAATGATTTTCTTTCTTTTCCTTTTTTTTTTCCTCCTGTGCGGGTGGGTTGTTATCGCGAGGAGCTCTGGAGCTCAAGAGGTGAAGTGAAGCGAGAGCGTTTTTTCTACGTCGACGCTTCCAGGGTGGCACAGAAACAGGGACGTACGCAGCCTCCGAAGACTTTCCGAAGGCGAACTACATTTTATTTTCTGTCTCTCGGCGTTACGGATGCCCGTTTTCCATCCTACTCGGCTTTCTCCGCGCTGACGGTGCCGCTCATCACACACATCTGGAACTGTTGGAATCCCGTTTTCAGCACCTGGACAGCTCCCGGTGGCGAACCTCCTCTTATTATCGGGCACATGGAGTCCCTGATGTGATTGTGGGGAAAGCCCTGCAAGCACATCATGCCTCCCCCCCCCCCCCCCCCCCCCCCCCCCCCGAAGATGTCGTTATCTCACTGATTCGGTGTCAGCCTCGTCGGATCCGCTGAAGGATGGTGCTTAGAGACGAGGGGAAGTGTTTTCATCGCGCGCTATCCTCGGAGAGGCGATACGGGTGCGTGGCCAACGCAAACGTACAGCTAATCGCAGCCTACACACAACGAGAGCCCAGCTTCCCTCACATTGATCATCATCATCATCATCATCATCAGCGAGAAGGGGAGATATTACCATCATCACCACTGCGAGAGGGCAAAGGAGTCACGATCATACTTTACACTATGTAGAGCAGCAACACAAGAGGTTAGTGCAAGCGTGTGGACTGAATCTATCTATCTGTATACTCAGTGTGTTTGTGTGTATGTGTTATATGTGTTGTATATCTATATATATATAGTCAAGTATGTATGTACACACACATTCTTCAAGATAATTCAGAGGCCAAAATTGTGGTTTAACCCAATTAAGAGTGAGGTTGTATGTTCTCTCTACACAGTGCAAAAAATGAAGATGCTAATAGCCTCATAAGTGTTTATGCAGCTCGTGGGAAATGATTGCAATTGCCTCCTTATTGCGTTAAATGGACAGAAAGCACGGGCAGAAATGGCCCACAGTGATTGTAGCCCGGAACGAAACAGCCCAGTAAATTTAGCTGCCTTTGTGGACAATCATCTCCACTAATGAAACCCTTCCTGTAGGCGGCTGTTGTTGTAATCAAGGGCAACTTAAGATGCTCCTTGTGAAATCTCATATCTCAGTTAAATGACGATTTAGTCGAGTGTAGAAATGTTTTGCCAGAGGTGGGCTCGTCACGTCAAGTTTTTCCAAATGTTTTTGGCAATGTGTTAACCTCTTTGACTTTCAGCACATCTCAAACCGATATAATCTGTTTTTTCTTTTCTTTTCTGCAAGCACTAATATCCAAAGTGTCTGAGGTTTGTGTGCTGCAGTGAAGCAATATCATTCTCAGCCTTTTCATGACCTGTGTTGATTTGTCCTGAGTAGCATTTAATCTGCTTTGCTTCACCACATTACTCGGCTGTGAATGCTGACTCCTCACCCCTGAATCTCTACAGCAAGGAGTTGTGCTTTGTGTCACACACCACCTCAAACTAATTATGCCAAGACCACAAAGGCATATAAAACCTCTACAGTAATTTGAGTCATACCCCCTATAAATATAAGCAGATTTAACACTGATGTTTCAGTTGCAACATGTATGTTAAGTAAATGGATTAAGCTTTGACCAGAACTGATGCGGTCATCAATGGCTCTCTGTGCTGTGGCACAAAGAGTTAGCATCCTGCTGCACTTGCTATGCACGAGGTGTGATGTTCCTCAGCCCCAGATGCACGGAGCGGAGCACGTATTGGAAGATATTTCAAATCTATTACAGTTTAGTGCATCCCAGGAAAATAGTTGAACAGTGCACAGCTAGAGCCACTCTTAGGATAGTATGCCTTCCGGAAAAGCACAAGCACTGATATTTCACTGATCACTCTGAGTGGGTCTGTGCTTTGCTGAGGCAAAATGCATATATGTTTAAATGTTTTGAGCAAGTGTTTATTTCTTTAACGATTGGAAATGTCAACTAGTGAAACAATCTCCCCACAAGATCTCTCAGCTGCTGTTCTGGAGCTTTTTAGTTTTAATTACCTTGTACTTTTGCATTTTCTGTTTCTCCAGGTGTGGTAGGAGCCAGGTTTCTGCAGCGGTGAAATCATATTTCACACCACGGGTCATTTAGAGTGGACATTTGCTGCGACAAGATCTTGACATGAGCAACATGCAGTAAGTATAGCTGCTGTAGTCCTGTTTACAACCGAGTGTGAGAATATGACATTTTAAATCTCTGCTCATGAACATGCAGACTTATTCTAAAGGAATCTCAGCAAGGCAGGATCTGATTAGCGGAATGCGACCTGCATTTTTTCCATTCCCTTCCTGCAAGTTAATCTGAACAGAAATCAGCTGGAAACCATTTCTGATAGTGTGAGTGCAGTCGGCCACCTCCTGTCTCTGTTGGTTACACTTAGCATTCAGGAGAGATGCTCACATGTCATCTTCTCTTATTAATAATTACTCTGTGTGTGGTCCTCCAGACAGGTCCCGCATTCTGATTACAGTAGGAGCGGGGTTGGGGCTAGGAGAAGGGGAAGGGGGAGGGAGCTGAGCTGAGAAGGAGGAAGTGAAGTGAAGTGGAGTATTGTGGAGTGGAGTGAGAGGTGAATGCAAAGTGTGTTCAGTCAGCTGCATCTTCTGCAACGCAAAGGATGCGGCTCGCAACCAACGGGGACTTTTGTCTGGGCCTCGGTCCAGCGGATTAGTGCAGCTAATGGTTTATAACTGGAACATTTTTTAAGAGTAAAAATGATGCAAATAATCTGCACCCAAATAATAGAATGTGTTGACTGTCTGGTAATACAGAAGCACAATTTAATGCTGCTGAGTGCTGGTGACTCGCTACAAAGTGACAGATGGGAAACTCTCATGCAGAAAAAGGTTTTTGGAATTTATTTGTCACTCGCATTCTGTTAGAGCTGATGCTCCCAAAAACCCTCATCTTTTTGCCTGTTGCACTGTAACATGTCTACACTGGTATTAGACTGGCAGCAGGATGGGAAAATATTAGATGCTCTACTAAAACAAACTTAAGAGGGAAACATTTACACAGCACACAAGCATAAGTCGAAACAAAAAAAACTAAAAGAAAGCCCAGTGTTAGAAATTCTGTGAGTTCACTGAATCCTTTCTTAAAATGTGCTGGTATTTTTAGAGTTGTGCACACAGTCAAATTCTGTACATTAAAAACTTAGTTTGAAGAATCAGTCAATGTCCCAGTTGTTTCTCACCTAAGAAAAGAGAGACCATCGGTTGGTGTTGGTTATAAAAGGAAATATCTGTTTGGATGTCTCTTCATCAAATTATAATTGTATCATCCTGCTCCACACTGAGAAAGTCCAACAAAAAATTTTCTGTGTTGGTGCAGTCAGTAAATATCTGATTGTCCCCTCATACCTTAAAGTTCTGTGCACCAAACAGTGACTAAGTGTTGCAAATAAACCTGTTGTGTTTGACAGAGCAGCTAGATTACAGACAGCTAGCCAGAAATATCACGGCAGTGAGCACTTAGAATGACAATGATACCGATGCCCTTCGCAAACCAACGGTTCATGCTGAGGCAGCACTTTAAAATCCATTTAAATGATAGGCACAAAATTCTGTGCTCAGAATAGGTGATTTATCGTGTTCCCCCATTGTCACCTTGACAGAATATCAAACTGCATATGTGATCATTTTTGCTTTTATGTTTAGAGACAAAAAGGTGATTTAGTTCATGACAGGGTTTAGTTTGATTTTTGTTTTAATCAACAGTTGTTCATCTATAAAATGCTGAGAATTTAACGTAAATACCTCTTATTAACAGGTGAAAATGATAAGCCCTGTTAGCAAAGGTATGGGAATTTGAAGTAATACCAGTTAATTGAAAATATCAAAAGTTGTGTTATTATCTTCCAACGGAGAAGTTGGATATAAATATCTTTAATCTCAAACCTCACCAATATTTTTAGGGTAGAGTCCACATGTCCATGTGAACATGGCACAGATAAGAAGAAAAACAGTAATACGAATGCATACATGAGTCAAAGAGTTTTAAAATTAGCTATAGCGTTTTAAAATGTTCTAACATATGGACTACTAGTCCAGCCGGATTTAGTATTCATTTTATCTTCACTTTTTTTTGGCCTTACAGACTAAAGCTTCACTTACATAAACATATCCGAGCAATGTAATCCCTCATAATATCAGCATTACAAACATCCTCATATATACTGGTGCATATGCTGAGAGGAAGAAATATTTAAACAATTTTCTTTCTTTCGAGCAAAAGGCTGAAGATAACACACCAGTTTACGTCAAACCCCAAAATATCTAAATAGTCATATAGATATTGAATTACTCAGTAGGAGAAAGACTGTGAGTAAGACAACCTTGTGTGTTTTTTGGCTTTAGATTGATGGTTATCCATCTGAAAATGCTGTAGCAAGCATCACCACACAACCACACAAATGACATGAAGCCTTTCTGTCAATCACAGCAGAGTTATAATGATGTCATGAAAAATGCTGGTGAGATAAAAATGAATTCCTGGCAGTAATTACTCAAAGTAAGATTTATTTTGAAACGACAGCAGATTTTAGAAAAAGGAAGAAATTCAGTTACCCTTCCTTTTCACGCCTTATTCCTGCAGCTATACGTGCTCTGTGTTAACCTTTTTACTTCCTCATTTTGTTCTTTATTCCTGAGAAAATAGCTTAGCTGGAAGCTGCTGGCTGGCGTACTCTGTATTGTTGAAAAGTGTTCAAATGTACAGTCTCCACTCCCTCCCTGGGTTGGCATCTGGCCACTTCTCTGGAATCCACACGTAATGGCTCCTGGCCCGCTTCGTGATAGTCTGGAAATGTGATTTTGATGCACTAAACAGTTTGTGTCTGTCGTGAATGATCAGTGTCCTTGTTGGATTTTGGTCGAAGGTGCCAATTCCACAGAAAACACTGGAATGCTAACATGCATATTTCAGTGAGTACAGCACAACTACAGCTGCACTGCTAGACCAGAAAAGTAAGAAAGAGCTAGGACCTTTATCTGGTGCCATTTTAAGAACAGGAAAAGTTTCAAATTAAGAAAAAGAGTCTTGTCATTGCACAATTGTACATAGTGCACAAGCATGACGGAATTGGGGCACAGTTCTCTCTTCAGTGCAAATGTGTCAGATAAACAATGAGTTACTAAAAGAAAGTTTAACCTGTGATGTTAAGTATGTAGTTTTAATTCTTGGTTTCCCGTGTGAATAACAAGAAAGCTTTTCACTGAAGTTCCTGAAGAAGATATTATCTAAAAAGTAAATGAGGGCACAAAAATACTTTTTACCTGTTCAGACGTGCCTATATTAATATTTGCCTGAAAGGCAGTATACCCAGTGGCTTCCTGCTCACTGGTTTTTCCCATCTCCAGCTCAGAACTGGTCAAAATTCCCCATCGCTGTGGCTTTTGTTCTCCCTGTCTCGTAATCAATGCCTTCCTCTACTGATAAGTACTTTGGTTATTGATGTCTCCACGCTGGCTGCACTGGGACCGCAGCCAAGCAATGTGAGCCTCCTGTTCCAGGGTGACTTCTCCTTGTCCACTATTGGCTGAGCCCGTGGGATAGCAGGCCTCCCTACACAATCAAGTTCAAAGGCAGATGATACCTCCGCTGGCTCTGCCAAATATAGCTAACGTCACAGTGAGGAGTGGAGAATGATTTTTTTTATAATTATTTGACCTTACACTGACATTTATCAGTTTAGGCAATAAACTGATAAATAGCTAAATCTGGAGTACACTGAAGATTTACCAGATTTATTCTATTCAGTATCATTCAAACACAGATTGGCCGAGCATGTATTTAAGATCTTCATATGGGTTTTACATTTGACCTTGTGATTACTAGCCAGTACTATTGTTGGCTAAATCCATTTGGTAGAAATGTGAAAAAAAAAATTGAACATCAACCTCTAGATCTCTGATTTGTTTATGGTGTGTGACAGGGCTCCTCCCCAGGCTGGAGCCTCAGAGCTCGAGGTCATATCCCAGCAGGTGGAGGAGGACAACCAATGTGTGGCCCCAGTCCAGCTGGTCAGTTTTGCCTACAGAGACTTGCCTTTGGCAGCCCTGGACATATCTCTCGCTGGATCCCAGCTCATCTCTAACCCAGACGAGGAGGACAACAGAGAGGGGTAAGCACCATCAGGTTCACCTTCACTTCCATTAACTGAGGCAATGAGAGTTTGTGGCTGCCGCCTCAGCAGCAACCTTACAGTAGAGATACTGAGAGGGAGGCTCTGCATTCAAATAATCTAAAATGACATGAGAAAAAGACTCTTTTTGTCATTTGTAATATTTATCATTAATCAAAAAGTATGTGAATTTGAGGAAACTGGAAAAACATAGTATTATGATTATCAATACAATATTTCCATAATTAATTTAAACACTACAAAGACCCCAAATCTAATTACAAATTGATTGATGTTCTGGATATTTCCCGACATAGTTAAGAAGATACTAAATCCATTGTGTCTGCTTTTTGAGTCAAAGTGCTACGTTCCTAATTAAGGCAGAATTGCAATTACTGCAATCTATAATCTACCCTGCCAGCAAAAGCTCTGCCGTCACTCCTTTCATTGCTCTTTATTGCACATGGTAATTATACCTGGTGTATTGAATCAGGCCTCGTTTAATATTGGAGTCTGTAAAATCAGGATATTTGGTGATAAATTTATTAGTGTCATCATATTAAATGGGAATTGCCGCCACTCATTTCAGCTCAGCGACGCAGCACTTGGTCTCCACCATGCAGCTCTCCGCTCACAATGTTGATTACCAGCGGAAAGCAAAGAGTGTTGTTTGTACCCTAACTTCTATGAAATGTCAGAGCCTTGTGGCAGTACTGTCTCTCCCATGAGGCCATGAGTTTGCCATTGGCTTGTAGTCTTTTTTTGTTGTGTATGTGAGTTTTGTTTTTTTTATTTAATTTTTTATTTTCTAATTACCATTGCACCATGCTGTAGCTCCTGTGTTCTCAGGACAGGACACACCCCTCCCAGAGCACCCCTGTAGCAAGTGTCCATAGCTCTCTACTCAGGAAGTGTGACTCACAATGCTCTTGGCATGCTGCGATGCTGGCACCCATGCAGAAAAAGTAGACAAACAGCATAAGCTTAATTAAAGCATGCGGCATGTCGCCATCCAAACCCCGGTGTGTCAGCTGACCGTGTCCGGCTGGACGTTGCCTGATTTGGCCTGGTTCAGGCTGATGGCTCTGTGGGATGGACGGCAGGGACAGATGGGTCCTTTCCCCCAACGTGAACTCTGTCAGCCGTCCTCGTCTTTCTCACTCTCTTGTTCTTAAAGCAAACAAAAGTGCACATTCAAAGCAGTGCAGCAGGAATGGGCAGGATCTGACCCCCCAAAATATTACTACCACAGTGGGCTCCTCAATATGACACTATGAGGCACCTTTGTCTCCTGAGATTTGGCTTTATGCAGCAGAAAATTCCTAAAGTGTTAAGACTGGGAAGTATAAAAGTCAGCAATGTAAACATAGCATATCTTATAAAAAATGTTCTGTGGTCACTTGTTCTCCAAAGAGACAAAGAGGGATGGGTATCTTAAGAAAAATGTGAACGGATGTGCCGTTTCCCACACATCAGTGCGAAAGCACTTTCGATGAGCTCGTCTGATTGAAATTCCTGATTTTCAGGTCAGAGGTATTCAAAAATGCAGTTGTCACCATAGTTTTGCTCCCTCGTTTGTCATTTGGCTCAGCCTCGTGTTGCAGATTCCTTTGTTGACTCATCTATCAAACATCTAAGCAGAGACGCTACGGTATTACTGTCTGGTATAAATTGTTCAGTTTTAAACAAGCCGTAGTGTAGGCTAACTTTTGCAGTTTGATTTTGAATCACTGGAGCTGTAACAGTGGCCTTATGCTTCAGTTCTGGTGGTGATTTTAAAATAGTATGATGACCTGCATGTAATTTATTTACAGTAACTTTGATTAATTTGGTTGTAGATTAATGATTTGATGGGATTTTTCTCATTTAGTTTTTGAAATTCACTCTGGTTTCTGGTGGTAACAGAATAGAGTGCTTTTGTACTTTTGTACATCAGACACAGGAGGACATTTTTCTGTCGTACACAATGAAAGTATTTGCAGAAAAAGATCATTTTGGTTTGTTAAATGTTCATGTTAAAAAATAATGGGAAGGAAAACACTTCAGAGAGGCTCGTTTTGTCTTCCATAGAAGCTTTGCGTGGTTCTTTATTAGGATACGTGGGTGACTATGTAGGAGGTGGATGTTCTTGTGGACTACAAGGAGTACACACAGTTCTTGCAGATTCTCTGCAGTGATGAGCTGGATGGGATTATTAATAGAAAGGTGAGGGTGTTGGCTTGTGGTTGAAAACGTGTACAGAGCATGCAGATTTAAACCTGAGAAATCTGGGACATCTTGGGACTAATTTGGAACAATAGGTCCTTAAAAGCTGACTTCTGCTGAATTTGGTGGAATGAAACTGAAAAACAATTGAAAAAAAATTAGCAGGGGCACTTTATGTAAGTATGTTTCAGATAGAAAATTATACATTTGTTGTTTCGAAGGATCCCAAGCATACGTTTGTACTAACAGTTTAATGAAAGACTCACAGGAATCTGTCATTGCTGAGAACATAAAATAAATTAAACTTTAGACTTTTCTTACTTAAATCTGTTCATTTACATTGTAATGAGGTAACTTTTATCTCACTGTGTTCTTAGATGATCACGATAAATTGTGAATATTTAATTAGATCATGGAGAATTTAATCGATATGTTGAACTGTAATTACAAAATTCATGACTTGCATGCATAATGTAATGTTGTAATGCTAACAACTGTAAACATCTTGCTCACAGGGACCTTTTCTCTGAAAGTAAGAATATTTGCTGAATTTAAATTCAGTTCCCCAATAATACCAATACTTTTGCTGTAGTGGCATTTTCTTGCATGGCTATTATGTGTGACAGTAAAAAAATTGAGGGAATTGCAAAGTGCTGCAGTTGAAATGAACATGAATCCTATACTGTGGCTTCTCTCTAATTTAAATATGCAGTATATCCCAACATGACTAAGAGACATACTGAATGTCGAGGTTGTATTGATCAAACTTTGCTTCGATAAAGCTCCTGCTAATCTTCATTTCACAAATACATGAGGATTGACTTAATTGTTAATTAAGAGTTATAATCACATCAAGTCATCATATGAAATCCTTCTCACTAGTTACTATGCTGAGCTCAGACTTAATTTGCTTTATATTATATTCAAACAGGCCATTAGAGCCACCAACAGTTTACTCTCTGTTTGGGTGAAATACAGCCACAAACAGTCAGCGTTCGAGGAACGTGTTTTTAAGTTTTGTTACTGAGCAGCTAACAAGGAGCATCATTAGGAAATTAGTGGATATTCAGGGCAGCAGCTGGCTTAGATTGTGCCTGTGATTTTCCAAATCCATTAAGTCAAAAAACAAAGAGCCTGATATACTTATAGCGATATGGTTTTAGTCATAGCTGAAAGCTGTGATGTTTAACGGTCAGGGAGTCATGGTGAACAGTCAGGGAATGCATGTAGCCAGTAGTGGTTCACCACAAAGACAGAAAAACAAATGATTGTGTTTGTGTGTAAAGCATGCGCCACTGGTGCTTGATTAGAATAAGCAAGTTTTCGAACACTGCTACAGCATTGCAGAATTTGGATCAGTTTATTCAGAAGTCACTTTGGGTTGCCAACACAAAGATCAACTTCCAAAGTGTGTCATTGCCACTCCCCACATGAACAAATTTCACAGGACCCCGTGTCACTCAGGGCGCTTTATTTAGTGCGGTGATAAGTAAAAGGAGACCTGGAGTTTTCCCTGACCACCAGGTCTACTCGGATCAGCATGCTGTCCACAGCAGCAGTAACTTATGCCGCTGATCTCCAGGGCCAGGCTGAGGGCTGTGAGATGACAGATGGTTCACAGGGGTCAACCTGCTGCCCTGACCGAGGAGGAGTTAGAGGCCAGTGTGAGGAGGAATGGAACGGATGACCTTCCTCAACAGTTTCATTCACAAAGCCGCCATCTGTGGGTTGAAAATAATGATCTGGTCAGTTTTTTTTGTTTTCAGGCTGCACTGGAGAAAGAAATTAAAACTGTGCCATGCTGCAATGGGGAAATTACTATTTCTGGCAGATAACAGTCCTTGGAGAAATAATGGCTATTAAAGATCATTTGAGCCAACCTGGATTTATTATATTGTTCAAGATAGTGATTTTATTTGATCCAATGATTTAATGACAAGTACATAAGCATAACTGTGGGTTGGGAATGCTCAAGGTTGAAGTAAGCCGTATAATTAGAAACTGTAGAAAACGGCTGAGCCAGATTGCTGATGTATAATAGGAATTGTGGCAACAGCAGCATTTCATCTAGTTTTTAGAACCAGAGCCACACTGTACCTGTTTTGTGCTGATGGATGCCTGAAAAGAGAGCAGGATTTCTTTTTTCCTCTCCCTTGACTCCTTTTCAAACAAGCACACAGAAACAGTCCTCTCCATCAAATTGGCTCTCCTGCCTGGCACCCCGTGCGACACAATAGATGCCATTTGAGTGCAGGGTTTGAGGGTTTGTTAATATTTACAGACATGCAAAGTGTGAGATTGCTTTTTAGGCTGAGAGCAAAGGAGATCAAGTGTCCTGGTGAAATCCTATTTATCAGGGACAGCTTGTCTGCTGCTCTGCACATGGAGCCCCCATCCATCTCCATTTGTTTAATACATGTGGCCCTTTTCTCTGGCAAAGGCTAGAGCTGTTCTCTGTTTCATTCCAGTGAAAGATGAGAAGATTTTAGAGGTGATGGCTAATTACATTTAAGGGTGGATAGAATAGTTATATTGAGTGGTGGCTATTAAAAAAAACTTGAAGGACCAAGGAGCAACTCTGGAAAGTTTACTTTATTCACTTTACTTTATTATTTATTACTCCACTCCTCTACAGTAATGCAGAAAATAAGTCGTTTAGTTGGCTTCTTACTTTTTTCATGCAGTCGGGGCTGAAACCCCAAGTTGTACTCTCAGAAAATTGAAGCTCTCAAGGTAGAAAAAACATGTATAATAGATTAAATAGCTCTTCAAAAGTATAAAGTATGTTAAGGAACAGGTTTAAGAGAGAGTGCATGAACAGCCTGAATGAGATGAAATGTTCTAACCTCTGCTCTTCAGTAGCCTGCAGGTGCCCAGTTGTGGTCCATTTTCCTCTGCCCGAGCCTGCTGAGTTCAGCAGATTGGTGTGAATCGGTTGAAGTTTATAAGGGAGGAACCACCGGGCTTTATAGTTATCAGAACAGAGGGAGAAAAAATGAGAGCAGGCAGAAATAAAGAGACAACTTCAATGCAAAGACTTTCAAAAAGACTGTCAGGATTCTTACTTTCATCATATCAAGGAAATCCTGTGCTGAAGATTCTCTCAAGAAAAGACTAAAGAAATGTGTCAAAGTACTGGTACTGGCCCTCCAATACTCTGACAAAATAAGATGCTTTTTTTATTGTTTTAGATAAACTGGGCTCCAGACTGACCCTTCTGATAAGTAGCACCGGTGGTCTGAACTAAACTAAAAAACCTAAATGAAGCGAGTGATCATTGTATTATTTTCTAATAATACTAGGAAGAAGTAATGATTTGTTATTGGTCTTTATTTATTCAGCTTTTACTCAGCTTAAGTGATAGCCTTTCACTCATTACTTAAGAATCATCTTACCCCCATTTGCAGCCTTATTTTCGTCTCCTGTAAACCCACAAACACGTACACAAACAAGCACCACCTCTCTGATTTAATTTCCATTTAACACATAGCTGCCTAATACGTTTACCCTGTATTTTATCCTGTCTCAATTACAGGAGACAGTCTGATTAAGGAGATGCTTCTCAAGATCGAATCCACAGTGGACGTTGGAGCCAAGTCTCCGTCGTGTTTGTGTGAATGGGCCCCCACAGGGCAACCACACTCTTTAGTCCGTGCCAGTCATCCTGCTTAATGTCTTTGTCCACTTTGTCTGGCTGGGCTAGCCATTCTGCAGACGGCATTATTTATGGCATGCCATCACTTCCATCACAGGTCGCTATTGATCAGTCTCGTGATCCAATCCTCTGCCAGACACACTTCCACCCCCCTTTAACGTGTTACCGTCGCATGCTACCCCTCTTCTCTTCATGAATGTGTCCACAGCATGTGCTTACCCCATAGCTTTCATTCCCCTGAAATGCAATGTTCCTTTACATTTGAGTGTTTGTGTAAAAGATTTGCCTGTCCACTTGCATATCTGTGCGTCAGGTCTCTGAGGCATTGCCCATTTGATTTGAACTTGCTTTGACCCTCCGCCTCCTAGCTTTACTCTACCAATGGAGCAATCTCATTTCTTCATAAATACTTCAGGTCCTCTGTGTTCAGGGTTTAAATTGATTTGCCTAAAATTAAGTTTCTCAGCTTGGAGTAATCCATCTTTGCCATTTATTCTGCCTCCAGACAGGACTTTTCTTTACGGGTTTATTAAATTAATACCTTTTCTGCCGGGTTTGTGGGAAATGTCTGAATGGATTATGATTTCACGCAGTATAAGTCAAATTAGACTTTTCAAACCTGAAGGTGCGGTAAGTGAGCCATCCCTCTCTGTATGTGGGGTGTGCTGCTCACTTGATCTTTTAACTGTCCACAAATGTCCCGTGACTGGGTGTTAAACGTCTCACTGGGCAAGTGTTTCTTTTTCCTTTGCTCTTCTCCGTCAGCGGATGGGGTTTGACATTCCAGAAAAATAGATTAGCGCTGGGGAGTTTCTCTTCCTTATATGCTGGTGAAACCATTACCCTTCACCTCCTTTTCATCACCCCAGGTGTTGGGCTCCTAATCTGCTGCCTTTGACAGGTCACAAGAGTCGGAGTGAGCTGAGTGAGAGTTGACACAGTTTGGGCAAACTGTAGCCCCTCTGTTGTGTGTGCATTTCACAAGTACCACCATAACACACACTTCCCAACTCTTATACAAGGAAATTAAGTGAGTTTTATGCTGCACACTGATGTGATTATGTCTAATTCAAGTTTCATATTCAGACAGCCAATGCATTTAGAGTTACACCAAACTTAGTTGTAGAGATTTCAAACAACACACAGCACTGCTGCCTGGAACATTTAGGCATTTATAAGACAAAAGAACAGCCTAAATAAACAAGGCCTTCAGGTAAGAAGCTGCCCTTTAAATTCCTGTTAGGTTTTCTGTGGAGAAAAGCAAGAATCTGCATGGCAGGCAGTGTTTTTTTTTTCAGACAGCTGTGGGGGTTTTTTTTCTCACAAAACAAAGTAAACTGCACCACCTAGTGCCTGCTGTCAGGTATATCTCAGTCACTCACACCCCAAAAAAAGTTTTTTGTCAGATCTCTTTGATCAAAAACTTTTCAGGTGTGGTGACACAGACAGATTAAAACAAAGAAAACTAACAGAACATGGTGGCAAAGAATCTAACAAAATTACGCACCCGAACTTAACTGAATATGACAACTTTGAAGTACATCTTGAACAAAGTGGAAACAAGTACATTTTAAATTCTGGCAGGGTCACGTCGCTGGTATTAACCCGGACAGTTATTAAAGACAGAAACACATGGCTTTATCACTAGGATTTAAAAGCATCTTTAACATTTGCAGAGTGATGCTTGTCTTACAGTTGTTTTTCGTCTTGGTACCTGAACTTTTTTCATTTTACATCATTGCTTTTTTAAGCTTGACTTGATGCGCACAGCAAGGCTTTGCACTTATTTCTTTTGGCCTCTGCAAAGTCTTCTACTTAAGTCACTTTTCTGCAACAAACTAGCATGCTATGTCAATGTACTAATAGACACAGCTTCATTTGAGCCTGCTGGATGTGCCTGCCCTCTCCTTTAGGTTTTTCTGCCTGCTCTGGCTTCAACAGTGGCGTGTTCAGTAAAGGTATCTGGCTGGCTTCTTCTCTTTCCTGAGCTGGTTGTATCTGTCAGATGTCCCTGCAGAGGCATGGCTCAGTCAGTGCAGCTTCATTGCCTGTTCCTTTTCTTGCTGTCCCTCTCCTAAGGTGTGTCTGACAGGCGATGGACTTATTTGTGCTCCTGTATCAGCATCACTCTCATTGGCATCCTTCCTCTGGCTCCCCGATCCTGATGAATAAATTTTTAACTGTAATAAAAATGGCCTCCTGGTGACATTTGCAAAAGTATGTGAGATTCATAGTACGTTCACCTGAACTGGCTGATAACACACACCCTGTGTGATCCCCTCTATTGGTCAATCATTATTTCATTCTGATGAAAATAAGGAATAATCTGTGGATGCCAGCAGTGAGAGAAGGAGGAGACATTTTGGGATTGACTATCTTCCACGAGGGATTCTGAGGGTGGTGCTGAAGTGTATGGGGTCCGGAATCGCTTTTGCAAGCTATTTGATCCTTGTAGAACCTAAGCAAGAGCTGTGTCCATATTCTCGACACCAAGTGGAACCTGCTCTTATCCCGCACAGCTGGGAGCGGAATCAAACACAAATGATAGCAGAACATCTTCTGAACCATCCATCACCCCCACCCTGCTATGAATGTTCTGATATTACAAGCGTTAAACAAATTATTGCCGTTTATGCTCATGTTCTGGTGCGAGAAAAACTAATTAAAGCTTGAACGTGGATTAAGGCAGATGTCATGTAATCTGCTTCCAGGAATAGACACAAACAAACTACAACGCTGCCTGATCATAACATGAAAGGATGGCTTTATTTCGGGGAATGTTTTTTTTTTTAAAAAGGCAAGAATGAGCTTTAAAAAGAGATGTGGAAAAAAGGAGAAGAAGAAATTAAACCAATGTATTCATATATTCAGTTTGTATTATTATTTCAGCACTAACTGAGCTTCACATTAAACATAAAAGTGAATTCATCTCTGCGTGCCTGGCCAGTATTTTTCTGTTTTCCACACAGAAAACCATCCAGTTCAGATGAAAATGTAGATTTCCAATAGATCTGTGAATCTTTACATTCACGTGTTTGTCAGATCTGCATTCTGTTCTAGTGTTATATTTGAAATGGCCCCACTCCGAGACCCACTGTTTATCTCTGAAACGTCCTCCTGTTTCTCTTCCAACCCAGGTCGAACTGGCTGAAGCCGTGCTGTGGACGAAGGGCAGCGCTGTGGCAGGTCTGCCTGCTGTCAGCGGGGTTCAACTGTTTCCTGGTGGCCTGTGTCATCCTGGTAGTGGTGCTGCTGATGCTGGAGCTCCTCATAGACATCAAGCTGTTGCAGTGTGAGTGGCAGAATCGGAAATAATGTAGTGAAGTGGTTGTTTTTTTGTTTTTCGTGTTTTGCGGTTTTGAGGATGTATGATCTGTTTAGGTTTCACTCATTTAAGACAAACAAAAAATAGCAATCTTGAAGGCAAAGTATAGATCTGATACATGAAATAAAAGATAAAGTTTCCTGATTAGAATAGAGGCTAAGCAGCCAGAAGCCCATGCTCTAAAATAACTTTATTTTGATACTGCTAATTTTAATGTTAATGCTGTTAGGTTTTAGTAATAGAAAATGACCATTCATGAATGTCCTCTCCATAGTTACAGAGTTACATCTCAGTATTGATTACATAATAGTATAATATGTTGAATGTAATGCAGTGTCTCTTTTACCTAAAACAGGTTACATTAAACCAGCAAAACTTACTTCAGCTTAAATAAAACTTATTTGAAACAGTTATGTTATGGTTTTTTTGCCTAAAAAAGGACCAACTTGATATGGGCATCACATGTATGGCAGCACGAATTGTTATGGCATCATATTACATCATATAACATCATATACTTCAGAATCATAGATAATTGCTGTAATGGATTAGGCAGACACCGTGGTTCAGTGGTCAACAAGGTCAACTCGGGTTTCTCAGTATAATGAAATCACAATGTCAACATGGATATTGTCATCGTGTTTGAGTTTCCTCAAATCTTAAATCAATTATTGAAGCGGAGTGAGTATAAGTATATATGTCTGTCTTGCTCAGTGCTGATCCAGTGATGGAACAACAACCAGGCAGGGTGTTACTCAACAGAAATCAAAGCACAGCATAAACGTAACTATGTGCAGATCAGTGTTAATACTAACCGCTAGCACAGTCTCCCATTTCTGATGTACGAGTAATGAAAGAAAAAGAAATCAAAGGCCCTCTTACAGTTAACTGAAACTGTCAGAATGTCCTAATTCATCATCCTGCACAATAGACTGCTCCTCATCTATCATGAGGTGACGATCTGGGGGCGATCGCCTATTTGGTGTCAAGCTGCTGACAGGAGCTGTCGTGCTCTCCCAAAAACATTCAACTATTTACCGACTGACTGACCAGATAAAAAGAGAAGTAAGACAAATGTGTGAGGAGAAATAGCAGAGAGAGAAATCAGGCAAGGCGCAGTTGGCTGCAGGAGGACTGTCGGGAGGAAGAATATGGATGAAGATGAATAGACTGATAGACAGATCATTGAACACAGCAAACAAAGACAGATGGAGGGAGATGTGTCGCTTGAGGACAAATATCTCAGCTCACAGCGGGTGCTGTTTCATGCTGTCCACAATTGGCCTGATGAATTGTGGAAAATATGGACAAACATGCCTGTTGGTATGTGTTGAATTTATATATTGGATCTTACTTCATGCTCCATCCAACGTGTTTATGCAAGTCAAAAAACATAAAAAACTACCCATAAAAACAATCAGCTATTCTGTTTTATTCCCACAGTTAACAATGCCTTCCAGTTTGCCAGCATCATCCACTGGATCAGTCTGGCTATTCTTTCCGTGTTCTTCACTGAGGTGAGTCCACACACAAACAGTCTCACTTACAGCTGAGTCAGCAGCTTGATGATTAATGCTATGTTGTGCAGTACGTGAGGCCAGTGAAAATCACTGGCAGAGTCACTGCAATAGGAGGGCCATGGCATGCCCTGTGCCCTCTGTCACTTAAGGAGAGGACTGGCTAAAAAGATCTACATCTAAAGACATTAACGGTTGTTGTTAAAGGTGGCACAGTCCCTGCCAACCAGGCTTTCCCAGTGATCGATAGCACAGACACAGCAGATGGTGGTTTCACGTGCTGCTAATTTTAAATAAACCCAAAGCCTCAAGGCACCTTATCTTCAAATCTGTTATCTTCACAGCTGGCCATATTTGGATTTTACGTCATTGCCCAAAACATTGAAAAATGATTAATTAGTTATTCTCCATAATGAAACACAAGCCAAACTACATGTAAAATATAATTGGCTTATTTATTAAAAGAATATAATGAATTATTGTCACACTGATGAGAATGTTCTGTCTTAAATGTTTTCCACCCTATTTTTCCTAAAACAAAGTGGCAGAGTTGTGTTCCAAGCACAGAGAAAATTGTTTTCGTTTTTTTTAACTGTGTCTACTTTTAATTGAGAAATTGTTGTAATCAGAGTGTAGCCATCTATACTTCCTCCATTTTCATGGGCACATGTACAGTTGCACTTTAAACAGCCAATACTTGCATATCACAGAGTAGTGAAGTGTAACCTATTGCATTTGTAGTAAGGTTTCATACAAAATGTCCCACTTGGTTTCACTGTAATAATCTAAATGTTGGTGTGTCTCCACCTCTGTCCTGTTGCTGTCACAGACGGTGTTCAGGATTGTGGTGCTGGGGATATGGGATTACATAGAGAACAAAGTAGAGGTAAGCTCTTATGGGTCCCATTAGTCCTCTTTTCACCGCAATGTCATTTCCTCAATGACAAATTTCAGTGTGATGACAATTAAAGCTTGTTTCTGAAATCCCACTGGTACCTTCCCAGGTGTTTGACGGGGCTGTCATCGTGCTCTCTCTGGCCCCCATGGTGGCCTCCACAGTTGCCAACGGTCCCAGCAGCCCATGGGATGCTATCGGTCTCATCATCACGTTGCGCATCTGGAGGGTCAAGAGGATCATAGATGGTAACCCTGGGGGGCTGATTCTCCTCACTCCCTGTCCTTTACTGTCAGGGTAGAGACAGATCCTACTCTGTGCTTTACGCACCAGCTGCAGCTTGCTCAATTTCCAACTTTTGCCAGCAATGATGGAATTATATAATGGTAATTACATGTGGTGCTTGTAAAATGCTGCATAAAGACCCTTTTGTGAGACTTATTTTTTTTAAACTAGAAATGAGAGGCTCCCCCATGTGGCTTCTTAGTTTAGTGCAGGCCACGTTCAAAGACATGATTAGCAAACCTGAGCATGGTTTAATTCAATCTCTGCTGTCAGCTCCTGCACTGACTGTTCATGAAGTGTTGCTAAATGGAACACAGTTTATTTTGACCTCAACCTGATGTTTGGGCTCAAAGCCTGCCCTGGAAAAGGTCTTCTTTATTTCACAGTTTGTTAGAAGCAGATCCAGTGCCATTGGGCAAACGTGCTTTTGTTAAACTGAACAACAAAACAACCCCAGGTCTATCTGTTTTAGTTAAACTATCAATATAAAATGGTGTGACACACCAAGTTTTCTTTTTGGGGAAATGTCAAGCACAATATTTCTCTCTGTTCCAGCATATGTGCTGCAAGTGAAGGTGGAAATGGAGCTGGAGATCCAGCAGTACGAGAAGGCCAAAGCAGTGAGGGAGGAACAGCTTGACCGTCTCACCCAAATCTGCCAAGAACAAGCTGCAAGTCCTTTCTCTGTTTCCCATCGCATCACACTTCATTGCTGCTTGTCACCAGCAGAGGGATGTTAAGTGCCATGATAGAAATAACACTGTCTGTGGTCCAGAATCCATGAAACCACTTCAAATATTGATCCTATAACATTTGGAGATTAGACCTTTACAGGAATGCCAACACTGAAAATTAAGTTATAGTTAATTTTGTTTTACAGTCTGAAAAATGTAACTGGAGCGTTCTCTGTTCTCCAACTAGAAGTGGGGAGCATTTTTCCCTGAAACTAATAGACAGATTTGAAATAATGCAGCAGGTAAAATAAGTGGCTTGAGGGTAGGTTAGTACATTATACTGTAAATTGTTCCCAGTGCCCTGAAGGGTTCTGTGTTTTGGGAGAAAGCCGGCACTGTCTTTGTTTACTCAATTTCTCTTCCTCTCTTTCAGTTTGAAATCCGGCAGCTGAGGGCTCACCTGGCCCAGCAGGATCTGGATCTGGTGGCAGAGCGTGAAGCGGCTATGCAGATTCACCACATGTGGGGCAAACAGAGCAGCAGCTTCCAGGAGGTAGACGGACTCGGCCCTGGCACATCAGCGCATCAGAGTCCGGGCAAAGCCAGAGGGCCTGGGGGCCCTGCAGGTAACAACTATATTTAGAGCTCCCTTCTGCATTTTACTGCAGGTTACCAAAGATGCATGTGCACAAAAGAGGGACCTCAGGCGGTGCTTTGTGAGATAAATCATGTCCACACTTGCACATGGTTAGTAGAGAAATGGCAAAGTCTCAAAAGCTGACTTCAAGTCTTCTGGAAAAGGCTTGAGTGACATTAAACTTCAAGTCAAATAAGGACATTCTGTTTCAAACGGGTTGCTCATGTTGTGTTTTTAAGATTAATCCACGTACTGGGGGTAAGAATAGAACTGTTGATTAATAGTGGGAAAAGTAGTTTTTTCAAAGGAAAGTTCGAAGAGGGTGAAAATTCCCAAAAGTATCAAAGCAGAAAAAAAACACATGACCAAAAAAATCTAATTTTCAAATCAATTAATTTCCTCCAGTCATACTGGAATAAAGAGGCTGAGAGAGCAGCCTGTAACAACAGAATTGTTGACTTTGGCTAATAGGGATTTTCAAAGAGGTCATGGAAAAGAGCTTTAGAAAATATGACATGTCATCATTTCTTTTCTAATGCAATCAGAACTACAGAATGGTGTGCGTCACCAGCCTCATTAAATCTGTGAGGCCACAGAGTTACAGCCCATAACTGAACACCTAATACAACAAAGCACCGTCACAACAGGTGATATTAGGGCTCCACGCACACCAGGTTTTTCTTTATCAAAGCCATAAATCCACACGTGGCCGACACATATCCACTCCACTTTGTTTGTTTTCCTACAAGCCTCTAAATTGGACGTGCAGTAGAATGTTTTTTTACTCCTGTTGTTCCACATGTAAGAAATTAAGAGGCATCAGCAAAAATTGTTTAGAGTTATTAGTAATTCCATGACCTTTACCCCGAGGTAATGTTCAATTTGAAATCACATAATCAGCATTTATTAGTAGTATACGAACACGTAGCACAGTATGTTGTCACAGTAAACAGCAGTAAGCCCATTCTTAAAGGATCTGAAGACAGAACAAGAGGCTTTAGGAAATTAATAGATGGGTACTTGGTTTGACCTCTCATTCATATCTTGAATACTTTGCATGAATTTCAGAGAGATGTATGCTATACTTCATGAACTGACCTGTAAAAATAGTTTGGCCCACAGCTGATTCCTGCTGGACTTACTTTTTCCAGATCACCACGGCCAGGATGACATGAACAACTACATCAGTCAGTATTACAGTGAGCTGAGCAGCGGTGAGCATCAGGAAACTCCTGCTTTCAGTCTCATGGACGTTGTTACACGTCAAGGCCCGTGAGCATTGTGTGTTGTTTCTGTAGATATGGGGATCCCGGACCCGGCCCGCGTCATCACCACGGCGGCCATTGACGTCCACCTGCCCAACAACCCCAGCCAGCTCCCCTCCTCTCTGGTGAGCGCGGACGCGGCGCCGTCCAGCCACCTGCAGCGCACCGGCAGCCTGGTCAGCGAGGCGTCCAGCACCACCGCGTCCCGCCGCAGCTTCAGCGCCCGCCAGCACAGCGTCAGCAGCCACACGCTGGGCTCCAGCATGGACTGCAGCTCCACCGTGCGCGAGGCCTCCACCTCCACGGACTACAGCGACCAGCGCTGCTACCCCCCGCCGTACAGCAGCCCCCTGGCCCTGGGCACGCAGCCGCGGGGCAGCCCCAGCGCCGTGGTGCAGGAGCTGCTCTCCTCCCTCTCCGAGGACTCGTGCCTCGCCCAGAAGGGCCTGGACCCCGTCAACCTGAAGCCGCCCAGCCCCACAGGCTCCACAAAAACCAGCCCAGAGCTGGAGCACAGGGTCAACATTTACAACAAGAGGAACCAGGAGAGCCGGATCAGGCTCCACAGTAAGACGGTCATCCATCTGCAGGGTAACGAGCCTCTCCTAGAGGAGAAATACAGGATGATGGGGCGAGTAGACACTCCTATTAACCGCCTTTCCGAGACATAAAACTCTGCCAACTTTGCAGGAATGGGTCTGTAGAAGAGATGCAAAAAATGAATGCAAACCTCCTAACTCCTATGTTGTTGGGAGTCTCTGGGACTCTAACTGTGCTTTTGTTATCCTCTTCATACTGTGAGGATGAACTTTCCAGAGCAGCAAAAACAAAGCTTGAGACAACAGACGAACAGAGACTTATGTGGCAACACCTTTCAGGAATTTACACTTTCTTACTTTTCCTAAAACAAACCAGCGATGATGCAGAAGCCTGATATTACAAAACAGGCTTGTGCTTAATTTCTGGCTTGTAAAGGGTTGTAGTTTGAATTTCTAGAAACTCGAACAGAAGAGATGATGGTGCTGAGGCCACTGGTCTGCACAAGCTCAGTCATCATCAAACTGGTAGGAATCAGACCAGTGTCAAACTTGTCATGGCAGTCAGAAACAAAGTCCATGTTCTGATGGACTACTGCAGGGTACATTGGATCTGTCTGAGCTTCTTTCCATCATTGGAGTTTCTACCTTATTAGCATTTGAGTCTAGACTGAATGGAGAGAAAGCGATTGAGATGAGTCCAGCATGGCCCTCACGTGAAATGAAACAGTCCTCCTCATGACACATTCACGTGATTCAGGTCTAAAATGTTTTTATTTTAAAATTTGACAGTTGTGTAAATACTAACATATGGGTCGTTTTGTGCCATGCCCAAAATGGTGAGGGACTTGAGAGGCCAAATAAAAATGACAAAAGTAAACCTCAAGCATGAACCTTTAGGATTTGTGACCATAATACAAAGCAACCCTTTTCAGTGTGGTATCGACTGGCACCGTCTCCGATTATGGAGAATGAACACAGCAACAAAAAAACAATCAACCCAATAAAAGGTAAAACGTGGTGGCAAATTTCACATAGTTTATCAGTTTATTACACTTCTTACTAAAAGCATCACCGACTTAAAATCCTTTGAGTTAACATGAAGAGCTTTATCTAACAATTAACAGTCAGTTAAAAGTCCCAAAAGATTTACTGGCTTAGGGTGTTAAATACAAATTACATGTACCACCAAAAGCAAAAAGATAATGCTGCCAAACGCAAGGACAGCTTATGCTTTAAACAGTTTACATTTGCAGAGTACATATAAATTGGAATTTTTTGTATTCTGATATTGGTTCCAATCACAGAGGGTGTTGACAGTGACTCTATTAGCATGCAGCGACACGCAGCTTAGAAATTTTAAGGCAGTCTGTGTTTCCTGTGGTCACTCCAGATCTTGCAGCATGCCTCAGCAGTGCCCTCCAGCGTTGGTTAAAGTTGTTTTTCTCCTCCTCATTTGTTCAGAGCTTCTGTCATCTCAGGAACAGCCTGCAGAGAAAAAGTGCAGCATCTTTCAGACCAATATGAGGATGTTTCTGTGAAAAGTGTTCACTGCCATCTGCTTTTATACCTATCATTTGTGTTCATGTTAATAACCCTCTGAAATTATTAATGCATAAATCTGAGCCATTCAATCTTGTATTAGCAACGAATGGGACCATCTGACTTCTTTCCGGGATTTATAGGAGGACAAATATCCCCCAGCAGCTGTGTTTTCATCTGAAGCACATTTCAAAACCCAATATTAATGAGTCCATTTTGCAAACAGTCATGCAGGCTGGTGTTTGCTGAACAAATGAGCACAATGATCCACAGAGACCACAGCAGGCTTCAGGTATGCAAACATTCATCAGTGTTTCAGAGTTTGATAAATAACGAGCAACATTTGGAGGGGACATCTGGTCCGTAAATCAACAAAGTTGTGGAGTTTAAGAGACTACAGATTCAAAAGCCTTTGAGGTAAATGGGAGAGTAAAATTATTCAAATTGAGTTGAGGAATCAGTCACAGCCTGCATTGTTATGGGGTATCAACTGTCCATTTGGGGAAAAAGTGCAGAGCCCATCCATTTTAATCAGTTATCTGAGGAGTGATCACATGTAAGATGATCCCGGCCAGCAGGTCACAGCTCTGCTGCCACCAGTTTATTACTGATCACTTCTACAGAGTTTATCAGGACACCTGTGCTGCTCAGGCACCACTGACAGGCTAAATAAAACATGACCAACAGGACGCATGAAAATATAACCTACTAGACTTTCACAGGCTGCGTGGGACCGCAGCGCTAGTCATGCCGATACATTTGGCTCCATGTCCCCAAACACCAGCAGGACAAAAGAACGGAACTGAGCGTATAAGAGGCCTGGCAAGCAGGGCCCGGTTACCAATCCCAGGTCAACTATTATCCAACTATCGATCCATTTTTATATCTTCCAAAATGATAATGTATGCCTCTATTAGCAGTGTAATAGCAGAGCCAGAGCTCACCGTAGATTAATTCAGGGACTTAATAATTCAGCAGTTGCACATTTCCATTAGGTGGAAAAAGGCATCTTGCAAAATTTATAAGTGAGAAAACAAATGTTATATTCTTACTGGCACTCAAGATGAAAAGCTAACATTTAAAGTAAGTCTATTAGCTACCAGGATGTTGCCTAATACAAGATCTTCTTTTTTTTTATTTTTTTTTTCCTGTAATGGCAATCCCAAACACTTACCTTGAAAAGATCAGCTACCAAACCATAGTCAGCCACCTGGAAAATGGGAGCCTCTGGATCCTTGTTGATAGCAACAATCGTCTGAATAACAAAATGAAACATAAAAAACAGGTCATTGAAAAATTCTTTATACGCCAAAATATTTGTTATGTGAATCTGATGTCACATTTCACATCAAACTGTAAAAGAACTTGGGGACAATTTCAGTCCTAAATTGCCCGGAAAGGAAAGTCAACAAACCCGGAGAGCCAAAGTTCAGCTCTTCTCATGATTATGGTTAATGTCACAAACAAATAAAGAGAAATGCACAAATAAATGAAAAGATGTGGCCCCTGCAACTTTACCTTGCTGTCCTTCATTCCAGCCAGGTGCTGGATGGCTCCAGAGATGCCAACTGCAATGTACAATTCCTACAGACACAAAACAGCGGAGGGTCAATCATTTCCACTTCTCAAAGTTTGAGAACACCACGTCATCCTTCTGCCTTACTGCAAGAAAACCACACACTAAATATTTCAGTGTGGTCAAACAATAGTTCATCACAACTGTAGAGGGAAGTCAAAGGCTGTTTCCATGAGTCAGACAGTGATAGGGATTCCATTTCTATAGACCAGAGGAGAGATTTCAGGGGAGGAAAAAAAAAAAAGAAAAAGAAATTGGGGGGGAAAATCGCTTTTCAAAATAAAACCCTGATCTTTAGATGCTGTAAAAAATAAAAATAAAAAAAAATCGATCAAGTTATATCAGAGAGATTCCACCATCTTTTCATAACATAGAAAATCTAGTGTGCAAAGTCTGGCCTGGACTGGTCAGATGTCCCATATATTCTGTATTAATGGATCAGCTAAGTCTTTCAGGGCCATCATGTCGATTCTGCAGGCTTAATGTGTGGATAATCACAGTTAGGATGTCCCAGCTGCAGCCATTATGAGCTGACCCTAAAAAGATGAGGTCACTGGAATGAAACTGAACTGCTGAATGAAAGCTAATGAATATTTGCCACATTCACACACATGTCAACAATGACATGGAGCATAAGTTTTATCTTTACACTTTTCGTGCAGCCATTAATCTTTTGTCATTTGTCAGAAAAGATGAGGCTTATAATAAAGCCTCATAATGATAGTGAAAAACCTACCGGTGCAACAATCTTGCCGGTCTGTCCAACCTGCATGTCGTTGGGAACAAACCCAGCGTCCACCGCGGCTCTGGACGCACCCACTGGAAAAGTGGAGATTGTTCCATTTAGTAGGAGGCAAAAACAGTCAAACCGACTGTCATGAAAATGACATGAGCCTTTTCAAAGCACCTGCAGCATTCATTTTGTCAGCAAGGTCATAAAGCAGCTTGAAGTTCTCCCCATTCTTCAAGCCCCTTCCTGGAAAAAAAAAAAAAAAAACTGCAGTTAGTAAAATGTTGTTTTTCCACATACTGCTTTGGTCAAAGAAAGAAGACACGCAGAAAGTCTGACTATGAGCCTCCTCAGACAGTGATGCACAATGTCTGCATACCTCCTGACACCACCACCTTTGCGCTGGTCAGCTCTGGACGGTCGCTCTTTGTCAGATTCTGTTCCAGCCACTCAGAAACTCCAGTTGCGGGAGCCACAGCCACTGCAGGTCAGAGAGCCACCAGTGAGGGGGAAGAATGACCACTTGTTATGTCTCCCCCTAATCTAATTTTTCACTTCTTAGCTTGTATGAAAGAAGAGCAAGATGAACCTTCTTCTGAAGTAGCACCTCCTCCCTCTGATGGAGCCGCCTCAAAAGCCGTCCCTCTGACAGTGAAGACTTTGACCGCCTCGTTACATTTCACAGTGCTGAGGGCATTTCCTACACATTTCAGGCATAGCCAATATCAGAATTAAAAACTTAAATGTATATAATTACAGTCTCACTTTCATTTGAAGAAGCTGAAATTGTTCAATGAAACTTAGAATAATGTAATTACTAAACAAACTAAGTCACGCAATTAACAAAAAGGATTCAGATGTTAATGTCAGATGGGGGATAAACATTCTTTACCTGCATAAATGGTCCTGACAAATGTATCGGGAGATTTAATCTCAATAATGTCTGAAACTGGGGCGACATCCAACTTGGCAGCAACTCTGGGAAGCAGGTTCTGTTTAAAAACACACAGAATGTAGTCAAGGAAAACTCTGGGAGAACCAGAGAGCGGATGTGCAAACAAATAATGTCATTCATAGACTTATGGATAAGAGTTCCTGTGCACTTTTCAACAGAGATACCATCTGACGCAAACACATTTGACTGAAAATTACAGGAGATTCACTAAGAGAGCAAAAGGCAAACCGACTTTAAATTAAATCAATGTTTTTCTTTTGTGTTATGGGGCTGTGACAAACCTTTCCGAATGCGGACGCTCCGGCACAGATGTGACTGAACTTGAACTGCTTCTGTGTTTCAAGGATAAGAGGAGTCAGCTCCTCTAACAAAATCAGAAAGCAGAAACAAAGTCAGAATGATGAAATGTAACCTTGCATTGTCAGTGCAGGTCATAATACTTTCTTTTTTTTTGTAAGTCTGAGCAAAGCATTCAGTTAAATAAATCTTCCCTCTGCTATTATTCAAGACAAGATCTCTTTACAGCACAAACATGTCACCCCTCTCTGAATGTCTAAAGCAGGGCAAATATGAAAATATTCCCAAAGGCAGAATCAAGTTTCACATACCTGGCAAAGCACCTTTGTACGCTTCATGTTGGGCAACGAGAACCTTCTTCACACCCTGTACTTTCGTGAGTTCCTCCACAACCTGAATAAAAAACATTCTGAGTTTCCTGTAACCTTCAATTTTCTCTTGTTTGCAGGTATTCAAAGTTCATTGCAATACATTGCTTCATTTTCTGCATTTTAACTGTGTTTGCACAATGTGTTAGCCAGGAAACAGAGAGAGAACACACACAATTATCTCAATAATACGGCACCTGAACAGCTTTACTTACAGTTGCACAGTTTGTTCCAACAACCAGACAAGACACATCACCCCCCACTTTACTGGCAGCAGTGATGGCGCTGAGCGTGATGGGGGTCAGCTTTTCATTGTTGTGTTCTGCGACAACCAAGGTGCTCTGGAACCTCTGGATGAGACCACTCTGTGGGAGGACACTACCAGTCAAAACCAGCGGCATATCAGTGCAACAGCTATTTTGGAACAAATGGCAGCCTTTTTCAGACAGCCTGATAAACATGGAAATGCTGCTCCATGTTGATTTGTTTGTGAGGAAAAGAAAATCTTTTAGGGTGGAGAAGTTGTAATAAACCAACGCTGCTGATTCAAAGACAGTTTCATGTTTAAAATCAAGAGACAGAACACTGTCAAATCTCTTCAGCGACTGTAAGTAAGCAGTAAAAAGAACTAATTTAGAACGTCATGAATTTTCCTTTTGTTTAGATCGTTCTTTTAAAAACAAACATTAGAAATGGAACACATTTTTAGTTTTGAAATCAAACTCTAGGAAAGTACACAGCTAACACTATGATATAACATTATGATAGCAAGTAAACAAACTTTAGCTCAGCCTGCGGAGCAGCTGGTTCTAGATCTGTCAACATGAAACAAGATGATACCAGCCTCATCTGGTACCATGGATGTAACACTTTCAGATAAAGGTCATTCAGATAGAGATAAGCAGAAAGAAAACATACAAATATGAAATCCTACTTTCTAACTCACTTAAAGCTGATACAAATCCAACAAGAGAAATTTGTTGGTAAGAAAAATATCATTTTATGTTGGTTGAAATAAAGATGGATAAAGCGATTAAAATTAAGTATGTGTATATATATATATATATATAATACTTTGCTTTAATCGCTTCATCCATCTTTGTTTATTTAATTTGTTTTCAAACTGAACCTCAGCTGACATTGCGCTTTGAGAAACAAAAACTTAAGGAAAAACATTCCCCGTGGCAAATATCTCAAAACAAACCAATTTCGAATTATATATTGAAAGATAAAAGGAATAAAGAATTATGAGTCACCGGGAAATGTAAAGACTTTGTTTTGTTGACGCTTTGGTCTCAGCTGCCACTGACATTGTTACTGTTTCATAACTCACATTGTGAGGTTTCATAATCGCTATGCTAACGATTATTAGCTTTAAGTTACAACTGGTATGACAATCCTTTCAGCACTGAACATATATGCAGAAGTATTTTCAAATCAAGTCACTCAACAGTATTTTTTCTGACAATTCAACAAACTCAACTTCAGAATGATTAGATAAGACTAGCTCAATGAGCTAGCCAACTAGCAGCTGCTGCAAAAACAACATAGGTTATTTGGTATATTCGTGTTTCTAAAAGCTATTGCACAATGATAAAACCAACGCATACATTTCGGGACAGTCGTGCTCTTACCAAATTCTTGAGGGTTGTTTTATTTAATGCTCTGTTCATGTTGAGCTTCTAAAGTTGCTCCTTGCAGCTGCGACTGACACAGATCTGGGCTAAAGGTCTCCTGACGTTCAGGACGTGTTCTCGCGATATATAGCGACAGAGTTTTGTAACTTCCGGCCATCGTGTCACGACTATCTTTGTCTCTCAAACATTGCAAAACATTAACTCAATGCTTCACGGTGAAGTAAGACACCTTGTCTCCCATTCTCCCATAACATTCCCTGGAGGCAAATGTAGGTTAGCTTTCACTTAGACACCAAAAAGAAAAGAAAATATGTCATTAATATCCACCCTGATATATTATCAGAAACTGATTATTCTTTGTTTTTTTGCTTCTTGGCATCCACGTTTTGCATAAGATTTTGTAACACTGGTCCCAATTATGTAATTTATTATTTGTTTGTTTTTTGTCGAGCTTTTGCACCATTTTCGTAATTCGATAGCGTTTTGTGGTCGCTTTGGTTGTTTAGCATTTCATCCTGACATTTTCAATTGAAAAAGGTCCTCTTTGACAGTTACACCTCTTTAGAAGCCCAGTCATATTTATTGTACCTTTAAGATGACCGATTTAAATAGCTGATTTTTAGCTTGGTAATAACTCAGAATTCAAATTATGCCAATCGTTTCCTTCATTAAATCAAATGTTGAGCTTTAAGGGGGAAATTGTAGAAGTTGGGGTAGGTTTTGCTTTACAACCTAAGGTTGAAAACTTGCTTTTTGTCATTTAACAAATTGATTTTTAAACATGTGTTGTGAATGTCTGAATTGGTTAAATCGCCTAAAGTCAGTCGTGTTGTTGGATAATAAGTTGAAGACAAGAATGATTGCATCAGAGATGCAGAAAAGAACTACAAAATGTACGGTTTAAATAGAGACACGAATGAAGTAAGCTGCTCCAAATTCATGACAACAAAACTTGAGTGGATGTTTATCATTCCACCAAATTTTATTTCTCCATTTAATTTAACTGTAGAGACAGTGTACTGTTTCACATACACTTCGTATCGATCTCAGACAAAAAACATGTATTTGGAGTAAACAAATTCATCATAAATTCCACATATTCTCAATTATTAATGCACATGTGCCTGAAGATGAGCCAGGATTTTAACCTTCAACTTCTGTTTCCAGCAAAATATGGGTAGCTATTCAGTTACCTTTAATTTATTTTTTTATAGCTGAAAAATAAAGAAATTGGCGACTAACCCAACAAATGTATATCTGCAAAAGAAATAGGCTAAAAAGAGAAGGAAAACTGATCCACGCAAATTGCACACTGATTCATATAGGCGTAGGCTATATGATAAAATACAGAAGACCTGCATTTGGAAAGTTTTTCAGCAGCCTTTTAAACAGAGCAGGTATTCATAGATCGTGTATGAAATTTCACCCAGTAGAGGGCTCCCTGCAGCGGTGGGAATGAAGACGTGTGAATTATGGATTCAAATAAATAAAAAAACATGATCACGACAAAACAATAGAGTAACTAAACAGCAATGAAAAATAACCATTTAAATTAGGTAAATATCATAAGTATCATAAGTACATTTTCTACCTTTTTTCAACCTGTTTTCAAAAGCATGACTTGTTGGCTTCTGGGGGGGGACCCAAAAAGTATAAGATCAGGATGGAGATCGCCATAAACAGCTGTGAAACTGTGAAAATGTATCATATAAGACCAAGTGCATCTTAAATAGCACATTCTTACCGTTGAACGTGTAAAAGCAAGCTTTAGACTCTCATATATGAACAGAGATTGGCGTGCTGTGGGGCAGAAAGATAAACACACACGCTCTCAGAGCCAGCCCATGTCAATCCCAGAGGACAAAAAGAGCAGGGATCCAGGAGGAGATTTGCATGGCACCCTCTCCCCGGACCCACAGAGGTCCAGGTTTTTGCAGACGTCACTCGTCGATGATCTTTGTTTTCTCTCCACCTCTCGGAGGAGGACTACAAGTTTATCGTCCAGCCACAGGGACGGGACGGTCTGCTCTGCCGCTCCTCTCCTCCATCCGTCGGCTTGCACTCGGCTTTCCGTCCCGTATGGTGGACATCCTGCTCAACACTTCTTTCTTGGATGATATGGGGGATCATTCAAAAAGTAAGACAGCTACTCCTCGTCTGCTTGCTTTCATTTGGATTTATGACAGCTTTTTAGATCCATTTTCATGTCATTGCTGGTCTTCTCTTTTTAAGATCATTCCGCATAGCAAACTGCAAATAATAAGCCCAATCCAAAACAAAAAACAAAAACAAACAAACACAAAAATTCGTGCAACAAAACTGACCCCAACTTACACCAACTGCAGAACCATCTTGCCTTAAAAGTAAAAGGTGCCAACGGTGATATTTTTAGCTCCCGTGCACTTAATATAGGGAAATAATTTCGAGTATTCTGGAAGGACCTGTTTGTTGTGCTTTAACAGTCTCTGTGCTTAAGGTGAAGGTGGGTTTAGCGGGACTGGGGTGAGGATTTAAAAGAGCGCACGCAAAAACAACCTTATTATTGCATTTCTACTCGCAGAGAAGTCGGGAATCGCCATGTGTGTGGGCTGTGGAAGTCAGATACACGACCAGTATATCCTGAGAGTTTCCCCGGACCTGGAGTGGCACGCAGCCTGCCTCAAGTGTGCAGAGTGCCACCAGTATCTGGACGAGACGTGCACTTGCTTTGTCCGGGACGGAAAGACTTACTGTAAAAGAGATTATGCGAGGTATGGAATGGTGTTTTAGACATTTGAAACTTTTCCTGAATTTTAGATCCGTTTCCCACTTTTGTGGAAAGGAAAATAAAATATGATTCGTAAATTAAGGTAAGAAAAAAAGGCAATTCTCGCGCTCTGAAAAACATCCAAAAAAGGAGCAAAGACGTTTATTTTCCGCTGACCTGAAACGTATTAGGACCGTCATTATTTCTCCCCGTTTTTTTTTTATTATTTTTTCCCCCCGTGACAGTTATCAGTTCGCCTACTGTGTCGGTGCATGAAACTATTGCATTACAAAGCCCCCTCTGACACAAAGCTCATCTCCGGACTCCGTCTCAGGTTGTTTGGCATCAAGTGCGCAAAGTGTAACATGGGCTTCTGCAGCAGCGACCTGGTGATGAGGGCCCGGGACCGCGTGTACCACATGGAGTGCTTTCGGTGCTCGGTGTGCAGCAGACACCTCCTGCCGGGGGACGAGTTCTCCCTGCGGGACGACGAGCTGCTGTGCCGGGCTGACCACGGACTGCTGGCGGAGCGGGCCTCCGCCGGGAGCCCGCTGAGCCCGGGGAGCGTCCACTCCAGACCCCTGCACATCTCAGGTCAGACCGGTCACCTCCCAAACCCTCAAACTACCTTTATATTAAAAAAAAAAATCATATTTCTATTTATTTCCAAAAGTTTAAAAATCATCTCGGATATTATTTCTCTTTCACTCTCCAAGAAGGCCTGCGTCTTTGCGCATCGGGAAGAATAAAAAAAAAGGATATTTTTTTTTACTGATTTTACAATCTGCTTCGCTTAGACCCAATTACGGTTCGGCACCCGCCCCACCACCGGAACCACGTCCACAAGCAGTCGGAGAAGACCACCCGCGTCCGGACGGTGCTGAACGAGAAGCAGCTGCACACGCTGCGGACCTGCTACAACGCCAACCCGCGGCCGGACGCGCTCATGAAGGAGCAGCTGGTGGAGATGACCGGCCTCAGCCCCCGGGTCATCCGCGTCTGGTTCCAGAACAAGCGCTGCAAGGACAAGAAGAAGTCCATCCTGATGAAGCAGCTCCAGCAGCAGCAGCACAGCGACAAAACCGTGAGGGGGGCTTTTTGTTTTCTGCTTAAATTCGGCATTAGATCCTCGTGGGAAAGGCTGCTTTATCCTCTGTTGCTAAACTGAGAAATTTACCTCAAAACCCATAATTTAAAAGGAAAATGTTATGTGTGTAAACATTGAGCATGAAAGTGTTTTGCCACGTTTTTCTTTTTTTTGCAAAAAAATGGAATCAAATAATTTGACCAATTTAATTTGACCTAAGTGTTAATGCTGTTGTAGGAAATACATGACAGAACATGCAAAAACTTCAGTGTTACAGTCATGTGATAATGATAATAATTTTTTTAAATTCTCTTTTTCTGTTTTATTTCTCTGCCAGAATTAGATGTGAAATTAAACATCGTCTAAATCCTCGTAAACCTAATTGGATATAAAATACAGATTTTTTACATAAAGCAGATGAACTCAGTAATTTTCTTTAAATGTTTGTACATTTGTTGAATTTCCCCATAACGACCAAAATTAGGTATTCATCAATATAGATTTGTGAAAACTACAAAACTCAAAATCTTCCATTCTGCAGTGACTCGCTGTGTAACATCAAAACTAACTGTTTACCCCCCCCCCCCCCCCCCTTTCCCCCCCATGTAGAATCTACAGGGCCTGACAGGCACACCTCTGGTCGCAGGAAGTCCAATCCGGCACGACCCCGCGGTTCAGGGGAACCCTGTGGAGGTGCAGACCTACCAGCCTCCCTGGAAAACTCTCAGCGACTTCGCCCTGCAGACGGATTTGGACCAACCTGCCTTCCAACAACTGGTAGGCCACAATAAATTAAGGAAACAAACAAGAGAGGCCCACAATTTTCCCCCAATGAATTTAAGAGAAAAAATAAATTCAATAACCATATAAGTGGTGTTGTAGTGTTGTGATCAAAATCCCAGGAGGAAAAAGGGCATTTTTTGTACAAGCTTGGCTCTTTTAAGTTTCTCTAGAAGCTCATCACATCAGTTATATGATGAACCCTGATCCTGTTAAGAACATTAGATCACACTCTGAAAGTTGAAGTTAGTCAGAAATAAGGATCAAATCTGTTTCAACTTGATCTCATTCAAATCAACTTTTCTCCTCTTCCTCCTGCAGGTGTCTTTCTCTGAGTCGGGCTCTTTGGGGAACTCCTCGGGCAGCGACGTGACCTCCCTCTCGTCCCAGTTGCCGGACACGCCGAACAGCATGGTGCCCAGTCCCGTGGACACGTGAGGCCGCGGCGGGGTCCGCTGGAAGCCCCGGACTCTTTTCCGTTGGGGATGGATTATTATACACACCGCAGGATGCACTCAGGCCCCGACCGGAGAGCTGGAGCTCTAACTGTTTCCTGTGCATCTACCGCACTGTATCTGCCTCTGACGGATACACAGCTATAGATGGACAAAACGGGCCCCTGGCCGAAGAAAAACCCCAGTGCCAGAGCTGGGTTGGACAGAACTGGAGTGTGTGTTGGGATTGACCCACGCGAGCCTGTGCTGGACGTCCGAGCGTCACAGGCAGTGTGTGTTTGTCAGGAAAATACCACCTGTGTAGATGTGCATGATCTGTAAGTTTCACTATCGACTCTTGTAAATTATTGGAACACATGAGAGATGCGCACTCCTAAAAAAAAAAGAATAACTTATTATTATTTATTATAAGGCAGACGTAGCTGATCCAATCAATAAAAACAACTGATTATTGCATGCATAATCCATCTGTTCCATAAACCTTCAGGAAACGTTTAACTATTGCCAGTAAAATAAGCCACATTATGCTTTAAATGCTGTTTCTAGTGGAGAGCCGACAAAGGGAAAAAAATCCCACAGTTGAATCTTTCTATGAGGAAAGAAAGAGAATCCTAACGCAAATGAATAAATAAATATAAACTTTGGGGAAAAATTGGAAATTCAGTGTTTCAGTGTTACAAACAACTTTTCCAAACCTCCTGCGGTTTGTTCGTTTTCGACAGCTCCGGCCAAGATAATCTGATTATATATGTATCCCCGCTCCGTTTCTGAGCCAAGTGGATCACTGACAAGATATTATGGAGCGTTTGGCCCATGTGGCACGGGTCAGCGAACCAGACACAATAGGTTGCGGCCTGTGTAATTTGCCTGTTTGTATGCTTTGGGCTTTTGACTGTTTGGATTAGCTCTGATTTCTGTTATCATGCCCTCTCAAAAGCGATTCATATCAAACTAATGTTGCTCAAGATAACCGGGGAAAAAAGAAAAAAGAAATCCGGTCTTCTTTTGGACGCACGAAGCTCATAGTTGTGCTGCAAGTCCAGACAGGGGCCAGGCAGGGTCCAGACAGCGGTGGGCCCTTATCTGAATCTGGCATCACCTGCAGAGGACACAGAGTGGACACTGAGTGGACCCACAACAAAACGTGCCGCAGCGCATGCGGTGCGCAGCGGAGCGGCCCTCCCGGCCCGCGGACGCATCCCGGCCTGTCCTCAGTTTATTTTCATTCCACTAAGAACCCCTGACCGACAAATCGCCGCTGGACAAGAGAGCGATCGGGTCAAGCCGGGACTGACACACTACACCTCAGCAATTTGTTGGGGAGGATCGGCTTGTACCAGTTGAGGAAGTGGAGCCTCATTGAAATTAAAAATCCCGTGAAGACCTTAAGACATGCTGATACCAAGACTAAATATTTAAACTATGGCTAAGATTACACGGTAGTGGCAACACATTTAAAAGGAAATGTAAACAGTTGCAGTAACAGACAGGATGGTCTTTTTTTTTTTGTAGAGTATTTGATGTACTCTCCACAATCCCCCAAAAGAGGAAGAATATGGATATTTTTAGTAATATCTAATCTGACTTGTCCAGCAACACTTTAAAGCATGGAGGAGGACCCAGATTTCACCAGTCAGAGCAGCCTTTTCAGATGATTGTTCCAGCTGTTTCAGTGTGCTGGAGTAGAAAAAGGGCAATTTGTGATTTTTCCTTCACTTTGTGTTCTTCTTTCGGCACCTTAAAAAAACTGGAGGTGTCCAAGGAATTCTCAGATTTTCCTCTGAAATGGGAAATGTGGAAAGGGATGTGTATTTTCTGTTCAGCGCTCAGCAAATCTCAGATAAGTGTCGAACATGGCAGCACCCTCCAAATTTCCCTTTTTCTGTTACTTTATAGCCGCTGCTGAAGTCATATAAGAAGAAATTCTTAAGGCAAATAATACTTGAATATAGAGTTATAATTAATAGAAGAAAACACAAAAACAAAGTGTAACACATAAGTATTTTATTTAATATCCTCACAACTGGTCATTCTGTGCTACCAACACAACGGAAAGACAAAAAGAACAGGACCTGTTTGCAATTTATTACAGTCATTATCAGAACTCACACTACTGTTCAAATTACTAGTAACACAATAAGTGAACAAAAACAAACAGTATTTTTAAACTTGTTTGGCAAATAAATTACAGTACAAGTAAATATTACTGGTTTAAGACCATTGCTACTGCCTGTCTGACTAACTCAGACACTAAATGGAAAAGTTGTGCATGTATTTGCTGCAATAAACAAATAAGACTTATGTGCAAATTCTTCTTCAGCATCAATAAGATTTACATGAAATCGGCAGATGAAACAACATATAATAATGGTTCAGAATATTTACATTGGACAGTCTGAGGAAAGTCTATGCAAGTGCAGACGAGGTCACAAAGAGGAAAATAAAATAAAATAACATCTATACAATCTCATAGTGTTTTGAAATTGTTATGGTGTGCTTTTTTTTAAATAAGTGGAATTAGTCCTCCTGCTTCTGGAGAAAAAACTGCAGAGCCGAATCCCACTGATCTCTTGGGAAGCGGTTGGACAGTTCACAGTAATCCAAAAGCCACTTGGAAACTGTAAAGACAAAAAAAAAAAGAAAACAGGAAAAAAGACAATCTCAGAAACTGCAAAAACAAAACTACAATCCTTAAAGACTGAGAGGAGGAAATAAATAAAAATCAAACAGAATTAAAAAAAAAGAAAAGAAACAACTAAAAAATAGAAATGACAAAGCAGACAAAAGCAACAACTTTTAACTTATGTTAAAAAAAAAGTAACAATATAATAATTTATCCAACTGATGGATGCATCGGGATGCTCACCGGTTTTATTCATTTTAGTGTCTGAATCCTTCTCATTTGAGGAAAAGTCCTGGGGGAAAAAAAGAACAGATTTTAGAAAACACTGCAGATTATAATACAGACAGAGGTAATATTTTTATTATTTGTATTATATTTGCCTTAGCTGAGGTATAGAGCAAAAGCCTTCCTGCTAAATCTGCCATATGAAGCCAAAATCTAAAGCTGCTTCAACTGTTCCACCTCACTGTGATTTACTCAGCAAACACGACCATCCAGGATTAAGTTGCTCCACTCAAAGGAATGCTCCCAAGCTTAACTTAAGACGAGGGCAGTGGGGCAAGACGCCATGCATTATTGCTTTGTTTGAAAGAAATGACAATAGCTTGTCTAGCGTTGAATGGAAGTTAATCGGTGTCTAAACAGTGGTGCTTGCAGGGTGGTGAGGAGGGCTTGTTGTCAGAGGAAGATGAAGGAGACGGGCTGTTTACTGGGAGCTGAACCAGTGGCAGGTAAATCCACCGTGAAGGAATCCATTTATCTCTGCCGAAGCCTGCAGGTAACTGATTCTACGGTGGCCATGACGAGCGCTTGTCAATTAGCTAATGCACAGCTAATGGCGTTTAAGGGTGTAATGCGTGTAAAACGAACTGAATTTGGACATTTTACTTGAAAACCACGAAGCTCTGGGGGTCAAAGAGGAATGCCTCTGCTTCTTTTTTCTTTCTTTCCCTTCTTCTTTCCTAACAACCTTTGGAGGGAAGCGCAGGCATACCTGAATGAAGGTGGCCAGCAGCACGCAGCTCATCTCCTGCTGCAGGATGACCTTGTTCTGGGCGTTGTTGTAGCAGGCGGAGATGAGCGACGGGAACAGCACTCTGATGAGGCGCGGGTGGCTGAAGTACTTGAAGGGCAGCTGACACAGTTTCTGCAACACGCTGGGCTGCCGGCCAGACTGCACTATCACCTGGAACACACAGCGAGCGGGGAGCGGTCAGCCGCCGAGCCGGGCGCTGGCACTGCCACCCGTAAATCACCCCCCCCCCCCCCCCCCCCCCCCCCCCCCCCCCCCCAGCTGCCCCTCCCACATGTAAATCTGCCACTAAAACAACACACAAACAGCCATTAGGAGGAGACCCGGGGGGCAGAGCCTCTCCGGCACAATTACGGGCTATAAAACAAAGTAATGGGATGTTTTGTTGCAAAACAGCAACAGCCGAGGTTTCACAGAGGGAAGAGGAGAAATATGAATTGATGTCATCATTAGCACTTTAAAGTTCACTTTCAAGTTTTGTGTTAAGCTCTTTAGCCAACGCTTCGTCGGAGGGAGGGAGGGAAGAAAGCTCGGGTTGAGAGGGCATTTACAGTGCAAGCAGGGTATGGGGGGGTGGAGTCGGGGGTGAGAGGGTGGGTGTGCAAACCTCCTCCAACGTCGCTGCCACCCCCCACTCTGAGAAATGAGCAATACCATTATCATTATTCTCACCCTGCTCAAACGCAGACCATCGCATCCGGGCCACCGGCATTAAAACCAAACTGCGTGGTCACCTCCCCTGAGCTTAAGAGGACCATCAACAAACATCTGAGAGCCAGAGGGTCATCATGCTGCTTCACAGGAACAGAGAGCAGGCCCAGGCTCAATGGAAACCAGAAGGCTGAGGTGAGGTCCCAAAGTCACAGTGACATAAATTCCCGAGATTTACAAGATTTTAAAAATACACACTTTAATACTCTTCCATTGGCTCCCCCTTTGATAATGCACTCCAAGTTTGAGCAGCAGGATAAACAAAGTGATAAGTCACTGCTTTTATCGGTTCAAGGTGAAGCCTCTCAGAGCTGCTCTCTTCAGTGAAGTTCAAAAGGACGGTTTCATTTCCGATCATCATTTGTTTAAAAAAAAAAAAAAAAAAAAAGGAGAAAAAAAAAAGTCAAACAGCGTGAGCAGAAACGACTCACAAACGCTTGAAGAAGTGAAGAGCAGTAGACGTGTGAGTCTGAGAGGTGCTTTGTTGTCATTACTGAAGATTAGGCAATGGGAATAATCACGGCTCTGTTTGTGTCCTTCAGGCAAATGACTAGTTTGTTAAAAAATATATAAATGCAATATGCTTATCAATCACAAAACAAAACCAAGGAGTTTCACTCAGTGATCCCTTTTCCCCCCTCTTTTTTCCCTAAAGGAATTTTGGACTCGGACAAATCTATCCACTGGGGGGAGGGGGGAGGGGTAAGGGGGGGTCTGGTTGTTTTCAAATGTAGAACTGCCTTTTTTCAGAATGTGTAGTTTTAGCATTTTCCTACTACTTTTCCCTCCCAAATCCTACACCATGATCTTTTATCTTTTCTGTTGAAATGCTGCCCTAAGACGTGCTAGCGAAGGGAGCGCAGACACGTCTGCAGTCGAATTCATCAGGGGGGGGACAACAGGGACTCTCCAAAAGCTGGAGGGTCTCCTCTTTCTTGGGTTTTATTCTGGAGCATTTATGTATCATAATTTAACACCACAGCAAGTAGTTGATGTTTGAGCTGGGGCTCTAGGATGATCCGAGCCACAAATCACCCAGCAATCTCATAATCCTCCACCATGTATCTTCATTCCATCTTCAGCTGCTTAAACAAATTGTCCACCCTCAAGTGCCTGATGCAGAGAGACATAAAACAAAGGCTGGTGGCAGACGCAGTCTGGAGCGAGATGCAGAGGAGTCTGGCGCGTTTCCATGCCTCTGCCAGCCCAAGAGCAACGCCAGAGTCACAAACGGCCTCCAAATCGAGACTAGGCCATGGCATTGCTGTTTCCCGAGCCGGCTGAAGGATCTGCAGCCCCAAGCTCAGCGTCATAAAACTCAGGAGGAGCATCTGAATCTCTTCATCTGGCGCGTGTTTAACAGACGCCGAGCAAACTCAAGTGTCTCGCTGCTCTGTTCTTTTTTAAGTTCACAGACCTGGCTTTTTCAAACAGCTTTATGGCGGTTCCATTACATAACTTCCTCTTCATCTGCAGTAACAACAAAGAGCGTATAAAAGGGAATGCTCTGAAACAAACAAACCCCTGGGAAAACCAAGTGTGGAGGCACAGAGCCAAAGCTGACAGACGGGCGTCACTCACCCGTGCGTTAAACAACCTAAATTAAGTCACGAAATTTGACTTGCTCCCAATTCCTGCCAGAAACATTCTTCTAATTCTGTTGACAATTATAAATATAGATAATAAAATAAACTAAAGAGTGGACATATTTTCAGGTGTTATGTTGCTTGGACAGCCTAAACACCTCAGGATGAACCAGAAGCAGAGCAGAGCCATACATCAGACACTCAAATCCAAGATATAAACCAGATCCAGTGATTCTGATAAGACAAGCAGCAAAACAAACAGCACCATGCAAAGTTTGGCAAAAAAGCTTTAGTGCTTTTTACGGCTTCTTGAGATGTGCACGGTGTGTACATGTGTAAACTGCCTTTGGACAACCGGATTTAGCCACACAGACGTTGACAGAGAAACCCCGACTACACGTTAAAGGTGACTGTCAGTCGTTTGTAAATCCCACTCTTCACAAAATTTAAATCAATAAGCTTTTACTCATCTTTAGGGGCTGACTCTGTCATTCCAGCCCAGATTTAAGTGCTGATAATTCTGCTCTAAACTTAACCTGACGACAATGTTACAGACAAAGGCAAACTCCTCACTAAAAGCTTTGCGAAGATAAAACTGTGCTCGCCTTCCCTTAAAGCCTGTTGGACCAGCGTTTAACCTTAAGGAAGAGTGTAAATCATCCATTGAGCTAACAATCACATACTCTCCTGCTAGTCGGTGGGGTGTGTGTGCATGCCAGTGTTTTTCTGCTTCCGTTTACTCTGCTGGTGGATGCAGAGTGTGTATTCCCCACTGCTGGCTCCCAGTGGTCTGCGCGAGCTGCACTTACCCTGCAGGCAGTGGGGCTCGGTTGTCTTGGTTGTAATGGACTGCTGAAGGAAGAGTTTCACGTCAGGTTAACAGGAATTACAGACCTCAAGCTTGACTTGGGCCCGCGGGGAGGAGGAAACGCCCTCAAAGAGAATGGGAAGAAGAAGACTGACCCCACAGATAAGGCTGAACCCTGGAGATGTGTGTGTGTGTGTGTGTGTGTAGGATGTGCCGTCTACAGGCGATCCATAGCTCATGGGACGGTTACTGGCATAAGGCAAAACTCTTTATGACTTCTGAGCACAAAGAAGTCAGGTGTTTCCAGACTGGTTGCAGGGAAACCGATTCGGCAGCAGAAAAACATCCGGACACAACGGTGTGCTAGACTTGTGTCAATTTGTTTGAGAGACATAAAGGGCTCCCTCTGCGAAAAGCTCCAGTGTTTTCTTAAGATTTCCACACTTGGAAATTGTTCGTGTCTTCTCAAAAAGCAAGCAGGAATCAAGTGGGTTAACATGTCACCAGCTTACAATTACAGCGCCGTCAGCTAAAAGATCCAACCGATCATCACTGAGGATGAATCATGAATGAATCACTGCCCTTAAATAAAGGGAGATTACCGGCACTTCTCTCCTCAGGGAGAAGAGGGAAGTACAGTTACATGTCAGTGACAAAATAGATTTCATTTGCTTTGTTTGTTTGTCGGAAGGACTCCACAGACACACTCAGTGGACAAAGAAACATATGGCTACATGGCTCAGTGGGCCCCCGTAAGCACAGATGCACTTACAAAAAAAGACCCAAAAGAAACAACACAAGCCTACATATGTCACTCTCCCAATGGCTTTTTGTATGACAAGGTGAATTATTCATGCCCTAAGAGCTGAGGGAATACATCACTATGTATAGAGTGGCTTCAAAGTTTAGCTTTTTATGAGCAGCCTTAGTTCTAAAGCATATATATATAAACAAAGGCTGGTGTGCCGACAGTGAATCAGCAGTCTCAGCGACCGCACAGGCCTCGGGTCGGCCCGCTTTTGTGTCCTGCCAATGCTTACATTAGGTTCAGAAAAGCTCAAGCTGCTCTAAATATTCTCCTTGACGCCATCCATCTTGGTGCAAAACAGAATGGATGCATTCCAGGAACTGGACCACTGGCTAGGATCAACTGTGTAAAGTTGTGTGGGATCTTGTTTCCTGACAATCTAGACTCAAATATATATGTTTTTTCCAAACCCAAAGTAAAGTGAGCAGAGTTTTGTTTTTTGGATCCTGACTGTGGTGAAACAACAGATATTTCATCAAATTAGCAACAATCCAGTGCTAAATTTTCACAGCTGCTCTCCGTGATGGTAACCGTAGGTGTACAACAGAATGGGAATTATTTGAATTCATAAGCTCATTTTGCACATCAGAATAACTAAGTTGGGTATTGGAAGAGGAAAGAGTGGCATAAATAAACTACAGGAGCCATTTTTTATCTGAATTACAAAAAAAAAAGGCTATTTAAAATCAAAAGTAAGCCCAGAAAAGGTTGCGATGGGGTTTGACTGTGAGTGTGTGGGCATTAAATGGGATATCCCTAACTGAAGCTGTGGCTCGTGTGGGTCAGGCTTAGCTTGATCAAAGCCCAGCCAACTGTAGCGCTGCTAATCAGGGGCCCGTTAGACGGGCCATGCATGACGGTCAGCGACACAGCAGCCAGGTCTGCTCCATCACATCCTGCTCACTTCCACAGAGCCTCCTAAGTAGTTGTAACACCGGGGCAAGCACACTGCCCTGCTTTACAAGCAGGGAACAATGGCTCACTCTGTGGGACAATACACAACACACAGCCCCAAAGCAGGAAGGTGCCAAGGTATGAATCTTTAAACAGGTGCTTTTTGTTACAATTACAAAACTAAATCTATATCCTTTTTCCAACAAATAATACATGAAGAGAACAATAGTAAGATGATATCACCATTCCCTTCTCATTCAACAGACAACTTTACACAAGAGAAAATGTGTAACTGAACTTCTTCCATAAGAACTCAACAATTAGATGAAAGAAAAAAAAGCAACTGAGGTACTACAGTGAGATTTAAAACCCCAAATGGATTTTTCAATCCAACAGTCTCATGTTTTTAGAGTTAATTACTTATTTTGTTATTTTTCCACTTGTACAGCAAATCCCAAGATTACATCTCATATGGATTTTAATCTATTTAAAGCAATCATTTATTCCTTTCTCGTAGTTTTAGTTGCATTTATACAGTCACTATTCAAATATGTTATTGTATACATCAAAATCTAAACAAGCTTCAAACAGTACACGTCACTTCAGTGTCTGGGCGGATGGTTTACCTGGTTGTCTGGGTGATTCACGGTAAAATATCCCACACAGATGATGACTTCATGCAGCAGCTCCTCAGAGGAATGCTGGGTACAGTACCAGAGCAGGGAGCTGACAATGTGTCGGAAAGCCAGAGACAGGCCCTCGGCTCCTAGAACAGACTGGCCGGTCACAGACAAACTATGTCAGAAGGTAGGAACAGTAATTGGAACATAAATCGTGACTGATTGTGATTACAAAGAGCTCTACAAAAGAACGATGCAGCAATAAAAGGTTATGCGTTTATCTGGTGAGAATGGACATGGTGTAAGTGTATAAACATATCAAACAGAACCATAGCATCAGACAACCAAATTGTACTTAAAGTGAGATGCTAGGAGGAGCTCAAAGAAAGTATTTATTAAACATGTCAGTGTGACAGAGCACCATCAGAACATTGCAATTTGCACGGCAAATTTGGGTGCGGCAACGTTTTAACAACCATAAACACAATACCTGCGGAGCCAAATGACGGTTTCCTCCCCCCCATCTTATTCTTTAAAATGATTCACTTAGTTTAATTGCAAATGAATAAATGGACATTAAAAATGACTATTATAAAAAGAATCAAACAAAAAAACAAAGTATGCTCTCACTACCATTTTCTCCAACTGGTTCTCAAAGATGTTTTTCAGCTTCTTACACAGAAAATGCAATCACACAGATGCTCCTGTGCTTTTATACAGCACAGGAGCCTCTAGTATTTGCATCCAAACCCCTCATGTGGAGCTGATGCGGCAGAGCAGCGGGTTAATGGGCTGAATTTTGATCAACCAACCACTGCAAATGTGAGTTAGCTGCTCCAGTGAAGTAATGTGAAACACAAGGTGATTACAACTCTCAGCCAAAAGAAGCAGCATAATTTAAAATGTTCATAAAACTCTGGCAGTGAAACGCTTTCATTTCCAGCTGTTTCGAGTTGCCTGAATGTGGCGGGTCAGTGACAGGAAGCTGCTTCAAAGTAATTACCCCAAGGCATTAAAATAATTAACAGCATTTTGGCTTGCCTCTGTGGCTTTCAGTCTTCACCGTGACTTAGCAGTGAAGCTGTCGCCCTCTCCTCCCCGGCTGAGTAATGTATTGCCCTGAATACAGTGATAATCACTTGAGCTCCATCCTAACTGCTGACCCAGTGGGGCTATATCCAACCCCAAAAAATAACCTCAGGTCAAAGGGCACTTGTGTTTATGTCCACAGGTCAGCTCAGTCATGGGGAGAACAACTCCCTTTCAAATGGCTCTGAACAAAGGAGCTGAACATAAAAACAGGTTTGTAAAATTCCGAAACCATGATTAAGCTGAATCAATCTGAAGAGAGCCCAGGTATAAGTGTGAGTAACATGTCTAGTTTATCCATTCTCTGCAGTTTAGACACCATGTTCAAACAAACACCAGATACATGAAAACCGATAACAAAATGCATTTTGGAAAATTTCGACATTATTAGAAATACCTGGAAGGCAGATAGGTCAAGAAGGGCAAAACTGTTGAGGAAGCGGATGCCCTGCAAAGCCACCTGGATGACCCCAGGGCCATAGGGCTCTTGACTCTGAGAAGCAGACTCAGGCAAGAAACTGTGCAGCAGAATACAATAGAGGGTGTGCACCACTCCCACCAGGTCGGTGGACTGCAGAAGGGCCGTCAGACCGGTCGGGTCCTGGCGTTTATTGTCAAATATACTGGGAGCACTAAAGGTGAAGACGGGGAAAATGTATAAATCAGCTTAATCAAGGAAAAAAAGATAACTCCATTCACAAACAGAAATAGAATGCAGGGAAACAACAATTACCTGAGCAGGGGGATGCTTTGGAAAGTTTAGAATATTTTTGTGGTTGGGTGCATGATGGCCGAGGTCACAAATAACAGTCTTTATTAGGGAGGCTTGGAAATTCCACCAGCCCGAAGCTTGTTGGGGACTAGCCTTTAGATAGGAAGTATCAGCCTGCTATTTTGTCTCATCGGCTTAAATGACTGCTGAAAGAGCAGCAGCACTGATTTGGAAGAGTGGCACACATGAACATTTTTGTGCACATCAGCTCTGAGGAGTGGAGCTCATGTGGTTGTGGTTAATCAAACAGTTTGTGTGTGTGTGTTTTTGCACGAAGCCATCGAAATTTTAGATTTTGACTTAAGTGCAATTAACCTCCAGCCGGACTACTTGAGCGACGGAACCTCTACGATTCCAGATCAGCCCTTCCTCTCTCACTCCCCAAACGGTAAACATAGTAATGCCACGACATGAAGCTCTTGACAGTAATTTCAGGCTGGTAGCTTGTCTAGTTACCTGACAAGGTGCTGAGGGTTCTAGTTTTTTTTATTTATTTAAAACATGTCAAAGGGGATTCAAAGCGATATGTATGTTTGACTCTGACAAGATGCCACCCTGTTGGTTAAAGGGATTGCCAACACTTGGGATTAAGCTACCAGGAGGGGAAGCAAAGGTTCATTTAGGTATTTATATTTTCAGAGTGATCTAGTTGAATTAGGAATTTCTAAATAAACACATTTTAATGGCTAATCCAAAAACATAAAATTGGCATCTTGCTACTGTTTAAGGAGAAAATGAAATGCAATAACTGTCTACAGTTATGGGGAATTCTCTGAGGCAACGCAGATTCTGGTGAAAAAAATTCTTAGCTAATGCAGACAGACAATTTAAGACTACTGCAGCAGCCATCTATGATTTGCAGCTAAGAAGAGTGGAGGGTGTGTGACCTCGAGATGGAACCTACAGTGCATGCTGATACTTGATGTTAGCCAACAGGCTTTGTGTGAAATATGCTGCTAGGCAAGGCCCTCTAATACCATTATAATCCCCTGACACAGCAACTGGCATGGTCCAGATATTCTTCTGACCCACTGAGTGCTCCTTTATATGAAAGTTAAAAAGTCTCAGCAGAAAAAAAGCTCACCTGATGCTACATCGACAACAATGTCATTCCGGACTAGATTTACACATTTAAAAACACTGTTTGAATTGTGAGTCAGTTCAGACTCAGGTAAATGGCCGGGCAGATTCAGTACTGCGGGGCATACAGAAGAATACCTGCTCTTTTATTAGGCTCACTGTTTCTTTTCCTTTGCAGTTAGGAATTGTAAAGCTGATGTCCCTTGGTGTGACTGTGTGCTTAGCCTCTGTCAGCGGCGCCACTGAACCTCTCTGAGTGGAGGTCACCGTAACGCACGTGGGTGGGCTCCCCCTACGCTGCAGGCTGGGGTTTATGGTGAGTGACAGAGCGCTGGGTCAAGTAGATGCCTATCTCTATCTGTACTAACCACAGCTTACCCAGCTTGCTGGCTGGAGTAAATTACCTGCTGGCTTATTGTGGAGGAGCCATAGTCTTTGTTTGAGTAACCATAAGCTCACCTTTATGGTACTTCTGACAGTAAAGTGACTCAGTCTCTGTCATTACAGACACAGAGAGAGGTATGCGTGTTTGTCAGAGGAAGATCAAGAGATCACAGAGCAGTTTAAGATGGGTAATAAGTGACAGGCTCACCGTCCGGTTATGGCAAAGCACAGCTTACACATGCTGTGCAGCAGAGCCGAGGCTTGCTGGAGGAAAGCAGACATCTTGGGGTGCTCATCGACGGGACTTTGGACCGACAAGAAGCACCCATACAGCTTGTCGATCAAACCCATGTTTACCACATAGCTGGAAAGGACAAAAAGAGAAAGAGGCGGTAGAAAAAAACATTACATGCTTTATCGCATTGGAGCCTAAAACAGTTTTTTTTTTTTCTTTGTAAAAGGCTCATCTCAGATGACCAAACAAAGGCTCTCACTGTGCATACTCCCACAGCACTGCAGCTGAAAGCCAATACCTCACCTAAGCCCTCCACCCCCCTGCTATTACTGTGATATCTTCAATTTGTCTTTGCCAATGACAGGACTCATGATCATGTTCCCTGCACTCTTTCAGCCACAAATCACTCCTAATAGTGTCATTAGAGGGCTGTTGTGGCCCCTGTGCCAGCCCAGCTTTGGGCCCTTGACAGTCTGCTGACCCGGGGCAAGTCTTCTAGAAGTCTCTGGTATGTAAAAAAAAAAAAAAAAAAAAAAACTTTTAAGCATCAGCAGCTTATTAAAAAAATCTTGAAAGCATCAACGAAGTCCCATTTTTGGACGGCTTTACTGGGACTGAGTTTCCATTACAGATACCCCAAAGCCAAGCTAAAGACCAGCTGAAATTGTTGCTAATCCTTTTTACCCAAAGTGACTGCAGCGTTGCTTCAGGGCTGGTGCTAAATCCAGTTGTAAGTTGGTTCAATAGAACAACCAAATAACTGGTTTGGAGAAGCACATCATTCTAAACATCCCTTCCACCATGTTTGAACCGCCCTCTGTAGAGGACCTCAGAGAAGGAAGATGGATTATCTTCATATATCAGTCAGAAAAAGCTTGATCTTGCTTGCAAAATGATTTTTTGCATCTAGTTAATCAAGTCCTGGCATTTCTAAATGCTAATCATCTTGAGTGGGACATATAAACACCTGCTGCTGGCTCTGTGTGGCACAAGGAGTGCCATTAACAAACAAACGTCTGAATTGAAACCTAAAACAGAGGCATAATTGCAGAAGGAACACATGTTCTTCCACTGCTGCATTGGCTTCAACAACACTTAGAAGTTCTCTTCTTTTTATTGTTCCTTTCTGAATTAGAATAAAATCTACACAGAGTCTGGCTCTAGATTTTAAAAATTTAGTTTTTTGTCGGGTTTTAGTTTGGTCTCCACCTGCTGAGGCCTCTTTTTCTTCTTGGCTAATGAAGAGTTGGCACAATCATCGTCCCAGTTTCTTGATTTCAGTGTAAAAACACTGATTTGTCACTCAAAATAAAAACTCAATGCTCTTCACCTGAGCGAGCACAGGACACCCTTTGGACTGGTCAGGCTAGTCGATTAATATTTACATGTGATTTGTGGAGCCCAGTAGGACTACGGCCTTCACAGAAATTAGATTCCTCAAAAAAATAAAAAGTGAATCAGAAATGTACTGAATCCTAATTTTACATCTCTGCCAATGGGCACAAACTGAAAACACAACAAGAGCAGGGGACACTGGTAATGAACACAAAGTGAACGGTCATCTTCTATCTAAGTGATATGTCGCTTGTGATAATGGAGGAGACCTGCAAAAGCTGAAAATGTTTTAATCTTTTGTCCTTCCTCGCATATGCATTAAAGGACAGTAGATGTAAATCTTGGGTCTGTACTTGGGATTATCAGTCTGACGACACAATTTTTCTCAGACACCCCCCTCTGTCTTTGGGGGTTACGACTGGGTCAGTGGATGAGATTGGTGGGCCTGTGCAGCTGCCCTGTCCAGATGAATCATAGCTTGTGGGAGGGATAGTGGAAAGCCTACACTAGTCCAACAAGCTTGATGGTGCCGGGCCTGCCTTTCCTCACCGTCCAGATTTCTCCATCACAGGCCCGACTCCTACCGTGCAGACCTACACAGCCATCGTAAACGCCAGGTTCAAGGGGACCTTTCAAAAGCTTTGGAAGTGCTCCTTGTTTATGCTACCTTGTGAACCTCTCCCTCGGAAACCAATTTTTGCTTAAAATGTGGTTCTGAATGTGTGGAAAAAAATACAAGCTGGACGGATGCCAGTGTACACCTCATTCTCACACTACTCCCATTCTAACAAGACACCACTTGGGCCGTTTCCAAGGGAACTGACATTTCGTCAGACTATTCTTAGCACACGGCATGCTCTTGAGGAAATCTGAGGTTGAACCAACTCTCAATATGGTAAAAAGAGTAGACATATGAAAACAGGCACAAAACAAAAAAAGGCACAGAGATGAGGAAAAGAGGTCGCATGTAGGAGTGTCAGAGGCAGCGTGAGCGGTGCGCAGCATTGGAGGGAAAATACCTGATTAGATCTTGTGCACGAGTGTTGAAGGAATCTAACGCAGAGCTCTTGACCTTGGCATCTGGGGAGGATATCCATGCGTTGTCGGCTTGCCCCGAATCTGAGATGTGCGGCCATAGGGACTCCAAGATGGTAGCAATGGTCTGGAGCAGACCCGTTGTCAAACCCTCAAAGACTTGCTTGTTCACACTTCGTCCAAATATGGACTTGTCTTCATCGGGAACATAAAGCTGTTGGGAAATAAAAATATATAAATATTTATATTTTTTAATTTATTTTAATATATTTCAATTAGCAGTTGATACAATCAAAACTGTACTGTGAACTGGATTAATACCACTTAATGAATAACACTGGATTTTAAATTGCCACATTCTCTGTTCATTAATAAGGCCTGAGGGGAAAGGCAGGAGAAATCTATCAGGCATTTACATTAATTGTACAGAGAAATAAAATTAATAGCGGCCAACTTTCTTTTGTGTAGTAATTGGAAAAGTAACACAAAAAAAGAGAGAAATTCTCATTTTATGTCATGTTTTTAGAAAAAAGTTTTTACAGCTTTGACAGCAAATTATCACTGTTTTATTTAAGGTTTTATTACTGACAAGCTTTAGGGCACTAAAAGAGTAAGTAACTCCACTGTAAAACCTGCAATTATGGCATTAAGTGGCTATTACAAACATTTCCCCAGCCACACAGACAAATAAAGATGTTATCTAAAGCGTCTACAAGCTGGAAGCACAATGAAAACAAGCTTTTTCAGAATTTTCTTTTTTTTTTTTTTTTTTAACATGGAACGCATTCTTTTGTATTTTGGAACTTTGTGTGACAATGAGCAGGGTTTCACATTTGAAATACGGTGCCTCTGTTTTGTGTGAAAGCTGAAAAGGTGAAACATTGCCATTCGGTCTAATAGTTGGGGTGAATGCTGACAGCATAGGTAAATCCACCGACATTCTCCACAAATCTAATTAAACGGGGGCATGCTCATATAGCAGGCCAACCCCCACTGCTGCACTCTATTGCTCAACCACACGCATACCAGAACGTGAATACGCACACAAATACGTGCATGTCTATAAATAGGATAAAGGAGGCAGAGCTGTGCTAAAATCCCAACTTGTAAACTACATCAGAACCCATCCCGAAGAACAAACAGTTGGGCTCAATTTTTTATTTGCTCACAATACAAGGAGAGGACTAAGTTCGTCTCTTGTGGTGCTGTTGGATATGTCCGTCAGCAGAGCAGCTGCTGGGATATGTTTTATATAAACTGGAGCAAACAGGCTAACCTCTCCCTCTGCGCCCTAAGGAAATATGACTGCTTCGGATTGGAACTCGACCGAAGACGGAAGGCCCAGTAGAGTTCATGCATGCGCTATAGCCCTGCGCCTGTGCCTTGTCCTGTCTGTGTTGTAAGTGTAGGCGGCCCCAGTGAGCCGCCACTGTTGGATGTTTGGAGTGAGCTGATGTTTACAGTCCTTCTAACAGAGTGCTGAGGGATGTGGGCTGACATGTCGCCGCAATGCAGCCTGCCTGCCTGCCTGCCTGCCTGCGCTCTCACATTCCCGCTGTCAGGAGGCATCTGTGGAGAGGTTGGGCAACGTCTTGTGACTCAGTTTGCATCTGTACTCCGTCTTTCATTAACACTGTAGCCGTAACAGACGCCAATGAAAAGGCAAGGCGTTTTCTTTGGTCACATCAGTGTAAGTCAACTGATAAACATAAAGAAAACAACAAACTGCAGGCGAAAGGGCTACGTTGAGATGTGAACAAGTTGCCGGCAATGTCTGATCCATCACACCCCAAGTAGATTTAACTTTGCATATGCTGCCTGTACTTTATACAAACCGCACAAGTTGCATCCTCATGTAAATAAAACCAAATTCATTTAAACCTTGTATTTAGAGGGGAGGGAGATCATTAATTTTATTTATTTGCTTTTTTTCCCCAAATCAGTGTTAACCTGAAAGTCCATTAGTTTAACTAAAAGATCTGTTATTATTTCAATGCTGACCGAGGAGCTCAAGATAAGATTTAGTTTGCTTCAGCCTCATGCTGTTTGGCCACATCAATTTCTTTGGATCCTCTTAACCTTTAAATGAAAAATTTGAACCAGAGAGATGATGATATCTTCTGATTTATTTATAGTGAATTAACCTTGAGAATTAAAATGTGCAATCTTTTGAGTTTTGAACCTCATACCCTCTTTATTTTTTTCAGTCTCTATTCAAATCAATTATACCCCTGTTATTATTATATATGTCAAAGGCAAAATAATTTTTTTAAAATAAAATAAAACTGCTCTGTGATGTGGTAAATTAACATTTGACAGTCTTATCCATTTGATAACTTTTTTCAACAGAGCTGAAAAACTGAATGAACAACAGCACGACTGTGCGGTGGAAAAAAAACGCACCACAAAAATATGTTGGCAGGAAGAAAAGGGAAAGGTTTAAGTAGTTAGCACATCTGAGCATTTTGCAGTTATGTCGATTTTAAACTGCCTACAGACTTTTATGTGGGGTGAAACGGCCTGCAGATAAAAGTGCAGTTAATGCGCTGGGATTCAGTGACTTACTGTCAGCTGGTGCAGCAGCAGGTCCATGAGCAGGACTATCTTGTTGCTAAAGAGCACGTAGGAGCAGTTGAATGCACAGCAGGAACACGCCAGACAGTAGATATCTACAGCAGCACAGAGAGATCTAACAAGAAAGATGACAAAGAGTTATTAATGACTGGTTTAAAATAAACAAACAAACCTCAGGGCAACCTGCGTCTCCTCTTTCATTTCTGTTAAGAAATGCTGCCACTGGGATGCAAATGTGCCCTGGGCACTGACAAGACTATCTGCAGGCATCAGGAAGCCAAACACACTCTTCTCTATTTGTGGTTCCTTAAGGGTGCAGTTTGTCTTCACAAGTCAAATGCATATCTGACAGCCCAAGGAATGAAGCCGATTTGAGGAATAAAACACTCATATCTGCTACTTAATGTGTAGACTCCCCTCCGAAGCCACCTTCAGAGGTGCTGAGTGCAATCTCAGTCCCATCTTGGCAAAGATGGTGAAACATTTACACTGGAGAGATAAAATAAATTTCCCTTAGCAGCTCCTCACAGCAGTCAGGCAGCCCCAGGCAGCAGCCAACACTGCGCCAGTCGGCGTGCCTCTGTATTTCGTCTGCTCTAAAACAAGCCCCAGAGAAGATTAATGCTCCAGATAACTGACCAATCATTCTGCTGTGACTGCTACTCCCCCTCGCCCCGTTTCATCAGTTAATATTTTCTGACAACTGTATATTTTAGCCATTGGAGGAATAGCGTGTCCTATCTGCTCTCTGGAAGAATGGAATCCCCCTCTCCAGTGCCTAAAGTAGGCCATGTTTACTTGAACTGGTAAACATTTTGATATCTACCGAACCTTCACATCTGCTGTGCATTTTTAGTCTAACCACGTTGGCATAGCAGAGGAAAATACATTAGGTATGGGTTTACCAAAGGCAGTCTATAGTCTCTATTTTTTGCTTAGCCTCTCTAACGGGTGGATCAGTCATTTTACCGAAACACATGGCTGTGTAAAGCTGTCAGATGAGGTACATAGCGGTACTGAGACACACAACTTCTTGAGGGACAGTATTTAAAGCTTGCACGAAAGCAAAATTCAGTCCAAATAAAATAAACAAATATGCATAAAGAGCAAAGAAGAAATAAATCAGAAGACCTTTCCAATCAGCTGTTAGACTTGTGTAAGGAAACAACCTCTTCAGAAGGAATAAATAAAGCTTATAGTGGTACAGCACAGCTTTAAGATAAAACCAAGGGTTTTTTCTGCACATGCTCTCGAGAAAAATAAATATCTTCAAAAAAATTTGAATCCTTTTTTAATCTTGAACTGGTATTGTGTGAAGGAATACGGCTATTTTTAAAGCTCCGGTAAAAATCCTGTGAGAGGCATCTCTTCTTTTTATCCATCCTTGCTGTGAATCATCAAATGAGATACGTTGTTAAGTCGGCACATTGCATCAAAATTCCCACTTTCAGGGCATCCTTTAATTGTTTTGGTTATCTAAAAAAAAGGACTGTTACATTTCTAATCCGGAGGAGGTTGAAATACCTGAAAAATGCTTTTAGTGTATTACAAAATTCTCATGAATGAAAAGGAAATGTTTCTGACCTTAACAGCTCCCATTTTCCTGCTTTATGGACATGTACATTTTGATTCATTTGGTAAAAGGACCTCTTAACTGCTGTTCTGTGGGTCAACTTTATGAATACAGTATGTGTACATTTAGCATATGGTGGTATGATTGTCAGCACTGTTCTTTTTCTTCCATATAAATGAATTCCAATGTTGGCGTACACTGTGTTCTTGTTGGCTGAAATATTCTGAGATCTTGAGACTGACTCTCCTGGATGTGCCCAGCATATGCTATGGTGGGCACAGCTGTGTATTTCAACTGCTAAACCTGATTTATAGAACAGAAAGACAAAGCACTCAAAAAATTAAAAATAATGTTAAACATTCTTAATACAACAGGCAAAACCGATTTTAAAAATTAATTCTCAGCATGGCTCCATTTTCTCCCCCTGACCTGACTAGCTTGTCTTAATTAAATCACTTGACATCTGGCAAGACGGATTGGGCTCTCAGCTCACATGTAATGAGCATGCAATTGCTTTGTAACATGGCTAATCGGGCTTGTCTTTGGTCATCTTTGAACAAATGAGGAGGCTGTCAAAGGCATGTCTGAGTTATGCCCTTACACCAACTTGTACAATGAGCCATCACAGTGATCTGTCTTTGGTTTCCTCCCACCTAATTGAGCTTGATGAGCATGACACCTGATAGTACAACCTCTCTGGGAATCTCACTATCAAAAGGCCCTTAAATGACAGCTCTGGTCAAAGATTTTAAGGAACAATTTGGTTAAGTGCCACACCAGCCCCTCTCATGTTGCACAAAAACTTACTGTGTGCCAGTTTATCTAAGCAGGCTGCATTCCTCCACCAACGCCTCTGGTTTCACACTGTGGAAAGTTGTCCCCAAAATTAAGATAATCACTATGTGACTCAACTCACCTAATGCTGGGTGACTTTTACAACTGCTATGAAATCGGAAGCAACCGACTATTGTGATGAGAAGGCGCCACATTATTAGTCAACGTAACGTGCTCTCCAGCACCACACCACCAGGGCCTGTAAATATCTCCAGGTAGACACAGAAATGAGGGCAGTAGGTGAAGGATTGGAGCACACCTGATCCTGTCTAACGCGCCTCCACATGAAGACGAAGACGTTTGGAGGTCAGGGGAGTGTGTCTGACCGCTGAATCTAAATCCTGACGTTTGAAAAGAGGGGCAACTGCACTTGAGGTAAATGAGTTTTCTGTATAGTACTTTACAAAAAATAGGGCCTCAGACATAAGTGGCTTTTTAACTCTCTGGAATAAATCAAAAGTTAAAAATCATAAACAACGTTTCCACCCAACTTATATGTGTATGTTTATAGACTGTGCAGGCCATTTATTAAGGTAAACGGCCAACTCTCTGTCCTGTTGACAACAGGACAACAAGCATGTGAAGGGCTCTTTATGCTTTTTGTCACTGCCTTGTGTTATCTGACCAAAGATCTGTGCTCCTCAACCCGAGTCTCACATTCCTCTGCCTTTTCTGTGTGTTTCCTATGTGTGCAGTCAAGCCTGATGGGAGCAGCGCTGAAGAAATCTGACCAACTTCCAGATCAGGTTGAGCCCCCACCTCTTAAACGGGGGAAGAAAAAGAATCCTAAGCCAAAATAAAAGGTGAGGAGCAAATCCATTTCCTTGTGCTGTCAAACAATCCCTTCATTCAGTGCTATCTAAATGACATTTAATTTGATTCTGCTGTTGATCTCCCCGATACCCTGAGTGCTTCCAAGACATCGACTCTGGCTGTTGAGCCACACTGGGCAGGTATGAAGGAGGAGAAATCTGATGAGCCATCACACGGTGCCATTCACATGAGCGTGCACACAAAAACACACACACACTCACAAATGGTGGAAAACATCCTGAAATAAAACCACAGGTAGCAGGTCTGATTTCACAGGATGCACCAGGTCATGTGAGACAGTGGTGGAAATACAAATTGGGTTTACATGTATGCATGTTCCACTGGAGTTTATCTATTAGCCTCATACTAATGTCTGACCTTTAGGGAAAAAAATATATAATGTCATTTTCTAAAGATAAACCATTAAATCTATCCATGTGAAATCTTCAAAATAAAAACTTCAGCAGATAAGTGTGCTGAGACAAAAGGGACCTGTGCTCTTCCTTTCTCCAGCGATCACCGAAGAAAGGTACAACATTTCAAAATGTAAAAACAGCACAGAGCATTTCCCTGTCAGTGACATCAGTCACAGACACAAATTTTAAAACTCAACAAAATCTTCAGTTTGTCTTAAGAGAAAGCTAATAAAATGATATATTAAAAAAATGCTTACAGATGGAAATGTCTCAAAATGAGTGGTATTAGAATCTTACACTGAATCTAGAGTAACATCTATGTAACTCTAGATTCAGTGTAAAATTCTGTAAATTATTTTAAAAGCAACAAGATCTCAAAACCATACACTTTGTGAAATATATCAGGTGAATTTCTTTGAACTAGAGAGTGTAAAAAGACAACAAAAAAAACAGCCAAAACCTAAATCAACCCAAACAGTTTCTTCATTGGTAACTGAATAAAATGAGAAACGTCTCATTAGGCTTGTAAGTGATTGCAGCGCTAATTAAGTGCTTAAAGATTTGTATCTGTAGGCCCACTAAACGGTGTTGTGATGCTGAATGTTCTAAATGAGCATGGACATGATTTAGGAAGAAAATAATTAACATAATGCAGATTGAGTTCAGTAATAAAATTACAGCAATGTTAAGTGATACAGTCGTTCGTGTCAACATTTGGGACGTTCCTGTGCCTTTTGCAGGATATCATCTCTCCCGGTGAACTTAATGACGGCAGCTGCATAAACCCTGATCTAGACACTGAAGTGACCACAGGGTTACACCAGAACATTAGCGGAGCCTCGCAGAGGAATTAGCTCATTAATGTAATGGTAACAAGATGGAATCAGACTCCCTGGGGAGAGATATGGCAGGAGCATCTCGGCAGCTGCTTTTTCTTTTTTTCTTTTTGTGAATCACTCAGCTTATCTGGTGGGAGGAGGTGATCAATATGGCAGCATCACTGTAAACAGATAATGCGGCGCACTCTGGGGCTTGTGTCTGTATAGCAACCCATTAGGCCACACAGCAATCCAGATGACAGATCGTGATAAGCAGACGGCCCGGCAGCGTCCTTGTGTTGCATCTTGTCATGAGCTGCACTGACCTTACTGACACAGGAAGACCGTAACCTGTCCTGCTTTTTACAGTAAAGGACCTGATCACACTGGATAGAGATTCAAATGTTCCTAAAGAAGTTTGAAAACAAAAAAGAAAAGAGCTCAAAATAACGGCCGGTCAGGACAGAGGCCTATGTTGGCTTAACAGAGGGTCAAGGGATGAGCAGTATCAGGGACACGGATCAAACAGGCGGGAAAGCCTGTAACTGAAGTTCTGAGCCATCACGGCCCTGTAATCACATCAGCCGATTTAAGAGTTTGCTCAAACCATAAGTAGAAAACAGAAAACAGTGGGCCAAAACTTCTTTGCAAAGACGCAAACCCGTCATGTGTGGAGGTGCACACAAACTCTGCAAACACTCCTACTGTAACAAAGATTCTCTGTTTACAATGATATTTTTTCAAATATAGTCTGTTTGAAATTTCCTCAGACTGGAATGACTGAGAAAGAGGGACTGCAAAAAAAGAAGAAAAAAAAATCAATACACATGCAATGCCCTTTAAAAGCCTTATAAATATAAGAAGCATTTGTCCATTAGCAGAGACTTGGAGACCAGTAAATGCTAATGAATGGGAGTGCAAGGCCATTCGAGTCCATTACAGAGTCCCACTTGTGAGTACAGAAGCCCCTCAGAGGTTATCTACTGGCAGGCCATGCAAACGATAGACCCACAACTCAAAAATACTAAGTACTCTAAATGATAAATGGAACGCACCGCCTTTTTGTGTTTCCAGAGAAAGGAATGAACACAAATTGATTACAGATATGGAAATGTTTCCAGCTTCTTGGAGGCTAGTGCTGTTACACATGAATACATTTTCAGAGAATTTATTGTGATGAACCACCTATAAACAGTAATAAAGTAGTTCAGTGGATATTAACTCACTGCCTTTGTGCTATTGCAAAATTAAAATAAAACAAATCTGTTGATGAGGTCAAGGAAAGGATATAGTTATAGAGAAGACAATGGAAACAAGGGCTGTAATTATAATGAATACACAAAAAAGAGATGACAAACAGACTTTTTTTTAACCCGATACTGATGTCTCGACAACCTGTGGTCAGCGTTTCCAAAAATCAGACTGAAACACATGATAAGAGACAGCTCACCCTGCTGGCTCCAAACAGAAACTTGTCAAACTATTATAGAGTTAAACTTGTTCTGCTGACTAATAAAGAAAACACTTCTGCAATTATTTGTTTACTTGTGTATCTCGTAAACGATGAAGTCAAATATTTCATTGTGGTGGTGATACTCACTTGAGAGGAATACGGGGCACTGCAGTGGGAGTGGAAGCAGCAGTGATGACCTGCAAAATCTGTTCCAAAGCGGACAGGCCCCCGCCCACTTGGAAGGCCACTTGGTCTGCATTGTTCTGCCGAGACAAGGACACAGGGACAGAAACAGAGGAACAGTCAGGGGACAGCGAGCAGCCGGTGGACAGGGGATTCCACGGCTCTCACCAGAGAGGGAACCTTTCTCTCAGGGACAGAGGCGAGGGGCTGAAATCTGAAACAAAGTGATCCCCAAAGTATTCCTGTTTAATCTCAAAAGTGCACAGGCTGACTCCGCCCCACAACAGTCAAGTTTCAGTTTAAGGCAAATGGTCTGTAGGCTCCAGTTACTGTGGCACCGGGGTGGTCTTAATGGATGACAAGAGAATAAGTGAAACTGAGAAAATAGCACCATGGCAATGCAAGAACAGAGCAAACTGGGAACTTTCCAATCAAGGCATACACACGGATAGAATAGGAACCAGAATAGAATTTTTATTATGAAAAACCTAGTTTAATTTCCTCATAAAGTTATGTCTCACACTTTGGATATGGCAAAATATTCAGATAAAAGGTGGTTTGAATGAAATCCAAGCTGTTAAGTATTTTATTGATCGCTATTAAACAAACACAAGTTTAAAGGCTTTCATACCAACATTTTGTCATATTCATAATAAAATTTGTATCATTCCTCAATCAAATAATCAGAGTCAAACTGCTCAATGATGACTTCAAGGACCTTACTCTACATCTGAATCATCTTTTGAAGCTGAGTAGACTATTTTGTATTTAGTTTAGTAATGGAATCAACTGGTATCAACAATAAATTAAACTTTAATGGATACTGTCAGACACCTGTGTTCCAATAGAAAAAGATTGAAACTGGAGTACAAAAAATGTGGACGAAAAAGAAAAAGAAAGAATAAACAGTGAGACAAAACAGACATGTTCACTACAAATAAACAATAGGTGCCTGGTTGTGCCTGTGTAATGGTGGGCTAACCGTGGGTTTCTGGATACTTTTGCCACAGTGTGATATCAACAAGTAAAAGAAAAGAAAAAAAGGAACGCGCAGACAGCTGATGATAGAGGGCCACCCTCTCACAACTGCAGAGGGCTGTGTTACACGGCAGGTCACTCCTTTACCTAATGAGGTTACAATCACTGCAGCGCTGTGACAGCACTAAAATCCATCCACTTCTTACAGCTTTTGTTCCACTGATGGGAAGTTACTAACAAGCCCGGACGCATTGAGAAAGAAGCGCTTTCCCAAATTACAGATAAGCTCTTCCTCTGTCATTCATGCTGCTGCTGAGGCTATGGCCCCACAATGCCTGTGTTAGACTCCGAATGATTGTTCAGTGGGTCTTCTGTGTGTCTGAGACAAAAAAAAACATTAAGTAGGGTCAAGGCCTTTTGCCTTAAGCAGAATGAGAAATGTCTCAAAGACAGTCTCAGAAGTCAAAGCAGTGCTTGCTAAAGACCTTATTATGACTCCCTTCTATTATAATGCCAGAAGTTTCCATGTCTAATCAATTAGATCTCAATCACTGAGCTTCGCCTAACCCTTCTCCTAACCCTCCCATCAACACAGCTACCTAAAAGGTTCTAGACTCAATGAGGGGGGGAAAAGAAGGCCAGTCTTTCATAGCAGCTTATCACGTGGTATTAAAGGACACAACTGGAACTTGCCTGGTCCTGATTGTCTCCTGCAACAACAGACTTTCTTGCTTGCTCATTCCTTTCCTGCTCTGCTGACAGATTTATCTGCTGTGATGATGGAACAACGAGGATGAAGAGGGTAGCTTTAAACTAACTGACATTTTAACTTATGGTGGTCTGTATTAGACACCCTAAAATAGGACAGAAAAATGGTTTAATTCAACACCCCTCATCTTTTGGGTGTTCAATGTCAAAGGAAGAAAAATCTGCTTTTTGTTTATGCATTTATGCATAAAACAACAGCATCAGCATAAAAATATGAATGTTTGGGAGATCATTGAGGATTTGCAGATGAGACAACTGGAATAAATGAGCTGCTCGGTGTTAGAAGGTTGTTTTAAAGATAGCCCAACACTTTGGGAAATGCAATGATTTGTAGTCTTACCCAAAGTTAGATAAGATTATCAGTTTCCTCCCTTTGCATTTAGGATACCTTAGCTTACCGAGTGGACCAATGGAAAATAAATCATTTTTCCTTGTTGCTTTAAAAACCAAATCTTAAAACATCGGCCATAAAGTAATGTTGCAAGGTTTGTGCAGAACTGCAGTTAATAAATCCAAAGAGAGTTCCTGGAAGCTGAAAACAGGAGTTTTATCCTGTTCCTGAGGATATTTATGGATGATATGGTTCTAAAGCGAGTTAGTGGAAAAATGCATAAGACTTAAAGCAGAACAGAGAGAAGTCTGTGTCCAACAGTTCGTGGCCAAAGCTTGCTTGCTTGTATAGTGCGCTGACTTGTCCGGATGAGTCCCTAAATGGTAAAGTCGTGTTACTTTTGCTGATCTTGGCTTCTTGGTGCAAAGGCCAAGTTTGATAGCATTTAAATTGATGCTTCATCATAACAGGTGATCTTCCTTTAAAATCAAGTTCATGTTTGACATTTTGGGATCACTGGATTTTTTTGGGACTGTAAAGAGCAAAAAAAATGTCTGTAACATCCCCCCCATTTTCTACAACCAAATACATCTCAGACATAATAATATGTGCCAAAAAAAAGAATGTAATGTTTCTCCAAGATCTGATATTTCTTTCTGAGCTATGAGGATGTGAAGCTAATTTCTCTCAACAAGACAAAGAAAGGAAGACAGTGAACATCAGGAGCTCTGAGACAATTAGCTGTTGAATTATACAACAGGGGCAATCTTATCCAATTATTTTTCAGGGTGACTATTGTTACCCCAGCTGATGGAAAGGCACAGGCAGCTGGTAATTCTTGCAATAGTGTCCACAGCCCGGCAGACCAGCCAAATTGCTGAATGTAGTCTCCTCCCTCCAGACACTTTAATTAAAGCAGAGAGGAGGGCACAGTCTCAGTTGTCCAGCCCTTCAAACAGATGGACAACAAATGGCAGAGTTCATTAAGGACGCAATGCCGCTTCAGATCAGTGCTTCTGTTCTGTAAAGCTAAACTGCAAAAGGCCTAGCACCGGCCCCTCTGCGCGCATGAATTTCATTTTTAGAAACCGTAACCCGCAACAAGGCTGTACACAGTACAAAACAGTACACAAACTCTTCAGTATAAACACCTCTGTTTGGAAAACATGGCTGCACATTGTCTGAGGCAAAGCAGAATGATCATTTTCAATATTTACTCTATGCTCAGAAACTGTGTTTATTCTAACAAATTAACCGCGATTAATGAAAGGCCGAAGCGGAGCGAGATCAAACCTGCCACCAAAACCGCAGACAGCCCCTAGTCATAACCAGCAGACCCACAGGACCAGAACAATTTCACTCTCGGCTGGTCTTGTGGTAAAGAAACAAAAATGAGCCTATAGGGAACAGATTATGGGCTGTGATTAAACCAGCGACAGAATGTTTCGACAGCAGTCATTAAATAGTTGGTGAATATAGGTGTTACTAATTAAATTAAACAAAGTTCCACAACTCAATAAAAGATCTCCGTATTAAAATTGTGAACCTGCAGAGCTGAACGGTGACTTTAGCATCCTCCACCATTTAATAAAGAAATACAGTCATCTGTCAATTTGCTATTTAAAATTCAGAAAATTTTAGACACGTTAGACAAACAGGGAATATGGCAAATAAAAGAAACGTATTAGTTCTACAATTACCGGTATTCTAATGATCGTTATTATCTCTAATATATATATATTTCTTTTAAAGGGGGGGTGGCTGGGGTGATATTCCAATTTGAACTTCTGCTCTTTTTTATTCATGTATTTATTTATTTTTACATAGTTCTGACATGGGCTTTTTCTGTCAATCCGCTGGAGGCCCAACCATGAAACCCTCTTATCTTGCCTTTGCCCTTCACATTCCCCCATGCCCTTTGACACAACTCCCTTTAGCCAAACCAGGTTCTGACAGCAACTCACTGAAAATGTAAATACAGTCTGTAGTCTTTGGCTCTCAGAGCACTGTGTTGGTGACGGTTTTCTACCCGTCATACACGTTGCTCCTTTCTAGAAGAGCATTCGCTGGAAGCAGTTGTAAGCGATTAGGCCATAAACACATAAAAGATCCTATGGAAATGATGGTGTAAAAAGAAAGAAAAAGAGAAAGAGCAGCACACTGAGAGACTTACTCCCACGGAAAAACTGCTTATCTCAATGAACAAAAGTCTGAGGAGGACAAAAAAAAAAAAGAAACATCAAGTTTGACACAAAACAAACCATCAGAGGCCACAGAGGGAGACACGCACTCGGGTCAGAGACTAGACGTAGCGAAGGAGGAGGGAGGGGTGGGACGGCAACAATAATGTAGGAGGGGAGGAGTTGTCTGAGGAATTAGGAGAGAAAGTGGAGACTGAATCAGATATGTGGGAGAAAAACAAATCTCTAGGTGAGTCAATGACATGAGAGATCCTTGTTAGGTCAAATAATTTAAATGGCCTCGACATAAGGTGACTCTGGGGCCAGAAAGCCATGCTGATGGAGACTATATTTATTTGACTTTGTCAAGGGATTAGAGACGGAAGTGGTGCCCTGGTTGGCTCAATGACCAGCCACAGTCTGCACAAGTTTGGGCTTTGAGTTGACATCTCTGTAAGACTGTGGTGAAGAGGAGCTTAAAAATAAGAAAGAAAAAAAATAATCAGCCTCAACAGAGCAAGAAAAACAAAACAAAACCGAACGGCCAGGACAAAGCCTTGATCTGCCTTTCCCCCGCGACACGACTGTTGAATGGAGCACATCTCTTGTGGCCCACTGACCTCTGACCTCCCACTGGGAATGTGTGGAGCTGAGGGGAGGAGCCCTCGTGTAGTAACAGCTTGTGAGCTACTCACATCACACTCGTCTCCTCCTCTTTCCTTACAGGACGCGGTGCCACCCACCTCTGTCAGATCTTTCTTTGCCTCTCTGGGGAAATCTGGTAATGGCCTCTCCAGCCGTCCCCATCATTACTGTTGGGACACCATAATCTCTCTATCCTCACGCCCAGAGGCATGCACACAGGGCTGTTATGAAGGCTCAAACCACAACTTGGCATAAAATTTATGCCTTGTTACAGGATGCTGGCTGTATATTTTCCTCATCATAAACATGGTGGCAGGTGTTTTAATCCCCCCCCCCAGTTCGCAAGGTTAAAAAAACAACAAAGAAAGAGAAAGAAATTCCTGCAATAGAAATCTATCACTTATATGCTCACTTATAAATATATTTACAAACATGAATATGCATGTTCTTCAAAGTGAAATATCTTTTTGAGCCCTGTTCGGTTGCGTTTGCAGAATAAAGTATTTTTCCATCATTGGCATTTCATCTGGAAATTCAATTTACCAATGTTTAAAGTGGTGACATCTGAGTTGTGCAGACCGCATAGACAAGACAACGTTTCGGCCGGTTCTAGGAGGCTCCTATATTGGTAACATGTGGAACGTGAAAACATTGTTAATCTGGTTTTCATTAGCAAATATCCAAAGGCAAGTTGGTTAAGAGTAAGTGATACTCCAAGCTGGGATGGTAAGAAAAAAATATCGCTCATCGTTAGAGATATGTCAGAAGAGCCTGCCATGGCCTGAACACTTTAGCATGCCGTAGACGTAACAGATTTGTAAATTACATTCACTGTAAATTCTACGCTCATATTTAAGAATTTTAATTCAATAACCAAAAAAAGAAAACTTTTATCCTAAATCAAACTGAAGGTAGCATGCATGTGACTGGTGTACCTGTTTCTCCAAGATGCGGGAGATCTCTCCCAGGGTCCGGTCCAGACTTGACGCTTTATTGTTGGCCCACTGCCCGCTGTCTTGGCCCTGCAGCTGTTTCAGAAGGTCTTTCACCAAACGCTGCAACCTGAACACAAAAGTCAGAAATATCAGAAATTTGCTCAAAGAAAAGTTTAATAAAACGAATCAAAATAATTAATACAATCTGTGAAAAGTGAATATTTGTCAGCTTTCTTTGTCTTTTAGTGTTTCAACACTTTTTGGACCTCTACTTAATTTATTTGTTTGTTTTTGACAGGATTCATTGAAATAATTGAGAACACGAGCATTACACAATTATTATATTGCAATAAAACTTTCAGTCCAATGATAATTAGAAAGACATTAGAAACACGAAAGAAAATAAACATTTCCAATTAAGAACAAAAGAAAAACCCACTTAGCCTTGTATGGGGATTCAGGGACCTGAGACTTTGCCTCCAATGATGTCTCATATTCCTTTGCCCTGCAGACAAAAAAGTACAGAAAAAGGCTCTTAGGACAAAATGTGTTTGGTACATCTGTAAAGGAAGCAACGGATCAAAGTGCAAAGAAACAAACTCAAACTGACTGCTTATTTTGCCTGTCGCACAACTTACTGCAAAATAATCAGACAATGTGTCCAAAGGGACAGATGTTTTTTCTACCGTCACCTCATTTCATGAGAACTTTAGTCAATAAATTCTTAAACTCTTTATTTATTTAACTTATATTTGACATAACAGACGATCAAATTATTCAATGCAGTCAGATCGAAGAGGAGCAAGACACAAACAACTAGTACTGCAAACTGACAGGTCATGGCCATAGAATAGTCCTTTTTATAGCAACACAAAAAAAAAGATGTGTGAAAAATATAAACAAATTTTCATGATGCAACATCCAGGCTTCAGCGTCTCAATGCCTTACGCTAACAATCAGTTTGGTTTGTGAGTCTTTTCTATCCGTCATTGGAGCATTCTCAAACATAATAAATTAATCTGTCTGATGGAATCACAAACTTCCTGGAATTTGACATTCGATTTGTCCCAGCAAACCATATCTGAACCAATCAAAAGTGGACCTACAATTCACAATCCCTTTCGCTCAAGAGCAGTCATTCAGAAGACTCTGGTGAGCGATCTCAGAGCAGGGCAAGGACAAACCTAACAAGAAACACTCACTACTTGTATTTTGACCATCAGAAGAGTTGCCGTTCATTACTGTCTTTTTCTTTTTTTAAGAATACAAAAAAAATTCATTTATATAAATGTTTGTTTAAATTTAATGCCCTTATATTTTTTCATTACCTAAATAAAAGAACAAAACAAAAATCATTATCCTATCATTTATTGGAGAGAAACAATTTAACAACTTAAACTTCTGGCTGTGTACTAAAAAATAAAAACGTATATTAATGCACTGACAGCTCAGTAAGACCATGTAATCCACTTAGCCTCCACGTGCATTGTAAAAGCTGTATCATTTACATTTAGAAATAGAATTTTTTTTCTCCTAAATATGAGACAGCAGGTTTGCAGCATGCTTACCCTTTCATACTGTAGTCTTTACAACAGAGCCTTTGTACACACCTCTGCTATCACAGTTCCACATACACACCAAAACACACTGGCTAGTCTGTTTCCCGCTCACTGAACCACAAGCGGCCGTTAAAAAAGGCAAAAAGCTTCTACCAGAGCGGAGGCTTTGGTTTTTAAGCTAAGGGGCCATTACCAACATAAAATGATAGGTTGGTTTGTTCATGTTTCCTTTTTTTTTAATACATTTTTTTGGGTAAATTGCAAAAAAAACACCCAGACACACACACACACACACAAACACTGCATGTCCAAAATGTGTGTGCACTTCTTTATGATACACCAGGGATGCATGATAGCTCTGTGAAAAGCGCTGTGAGAACCACTCACATTTTACAGACACCAAGCGCTGTTCCAATAAAACGGTTCATTTCCACCCAGCGGTGAAGTGGCTCACCTTTATGTTTACGGGGGCTCTGCGTTATTTATGACCTCTAAAGGCCTGTTGGCTTTGAGTGCTGGTCTCAGCGGGACTGCTACGCCACTGATGGTGAACAGAGGCGGATCGTGTTGTCACTTTCGCAGCACCGCTGAGCCCCACAGAGACAAAAGCAGCAGGACTAAGAATAAAGCGGCAAAGGCATGTGGGTGTTTGAGCCTGTATTAGTGTCTGCTGCCAACTGAAGAATTAATACTCTCTACTGAAAAGCATAACAACAATAAATTGTCTTTGAGGAAATATCATTCATACGCATAAGTTAATAATAATAATGAGAAACTGGAGAGGCAAGTCTTCCAGCATTTACAACATCACCATGGACCTCTGGGATACAAAGGAAGAAATGTGCTCCATTTTAATAGGAAAAAAGCTATTTTTAAAAAAAGAAATATGATTAAATGAATAAATGTTCAGATGAGGTTATTAAGACAGCGCATCGCTCATATGCTCCTAACAAAACGGCTGAAGAAAATTCCCAGCAGTGACCATAATCATTTTTTTCATAATAATCGTTTGTACCATTTGTACCCTTAATAACGATGAACGAATGCTCACTCATTTCTGACCAATCGAAAATATAAAAAGCACCCTCCCTTGATCCACTTGCTGTATTTTTCTAGAAAACCCAGACTTAAAAGTCGGTTTATTGAAGCATTTTGGGGTCAGTAAATTCCTGAGGGACCTTTCCCTGAAAAGTCAGCCAAAACCAGTAACAATTTACTTGTAAAGAACAATTAGTACGACTTTGCCGACATATTTCCTAACAAGCAGCTAAGAGAAGGACAATGGTAGACGTGTCATAAGACATACAGGCCAAATGTTTCAATGCAAAAATTAGCAGATGTCAAACGAGAAAAAAGTTGTGATCCCCCTACAACATTTCAACCCTAACCCTACAACATTTCAACACCTGAAGTTCAAAAGTGAAGAAGCCAGATTATAGAGAAGTCACTCACAGTATGTCAGTCGACAATACTGCATACTAAAAGGAACCAATATGATTCTCACATTATATTGATATCCTGTGATGGAATCTTGCAAATAGCCAGCATTTGTAAAATCTTCAACATACTGTCAACAATGGGCCTGTTTCCACTCTCCTCCTTCCCTGTTGGGATATTCTGTTAAAATGAGCTAAAGTCCAGGTTATGACATAGAGCGCTGTCGCCTTCTATTTGTTGATTACTATCGATTCTCTTCGATACGTCATTTAAAAATCAATAACTCCAAAGAAGAAAAATAGCCATGGCTCATACATACTTTAACACATCTTCTACACCAAAGGAGACTTCAGATTTGGCAATGCCATTCCAGCAATTTGGAGAAAAGCTCTTTAAAGGGGAAAGCCGGAGACCTCCGGATCGATCTGTAGCTTTGCTCCCCAATCACAGAAAGTGGTCATAAATTAAGCTCATCAGTGTTACCTTGTAGACAGCCAGGATGCAAACAGAAACTGCTTTCCGCCTCATTGTCACTCCAACAAAAAAAAAAAAGTTTTGCCATTTTTGTCCTCAGCGCATGTGTGGGTAAAATGAGGGAAAAGAGGAGAGAGTGAGCAGTGGTATTACCTGGAGTTCATCCTGGCGCGGAGTTTCTTCGCCTTCTTCCTTGCTTTCTGGCGCTCCTCTCCATCCTTCACACTCTCAGAGGACACAGAGCTGTCCGTCAAAACATCAACAATATATTTCTTCAGGGAAAGGTGCTCCTAAAGTGGAAAAAATAACAACAAAGAAATACATTACAGGTGTTATATGGTAAATAGACTTGCTCTCATATGGCGCTTTACACTACATGTATCACACACACACAGGTGGATACACTGTGGGCAACTTGGGGTTCAGTGCCTTGCCAAAGTACTCTTTGACATGTGGCCAAGGGGAACACTGAGTCAAATAACTGAGCTCTCAATCATTAGTCAACTGTTCTTTCAGCCGCCAATACCTGCAGGACGATTACAAACCTTTAAATCAGCCATGGAAGTCACAAATATGTTCCCACTAAACTGTGGATCAAACCACTTGGACTTGTTTTGTGTATTTTAAAAGCTTGCAACAGTACACTATATCTCAACAGCAAATCTTAGGATTTTTTCTTTTTTCTAAAAGCCATTTAAGAAAAGACATTCCATCAGCCTAAAATATATCAAGCTCCAAAGCAGGTAAAGCAAAGCATGCTAAGTGCACACTTAGCAATATTATGTATAATTTTGTATTTGTAAAATTCCAAAACTAGAATGGGATATTTATCAGCCAGTAAAAAATGCCATCCTCATCTTAGTGAGTTTCTGGATAGATTACAAAGACAACGGAACGCAAGAAAATTCCTGTTAAAATACTCCAGCAAATACCAAAAAATCCTTGTCAAACCAAAGAAGTGATACATTTAACACATGACACTGAATATACTGTGTGACACCTCTCAATAGTACCACTGGATCCTGTAATTACCTACAATTCTCCACCCTCTTTTGTGTCCACCTGCCCACCCATAGACATGCTAGCAGCCTGGAGGTGTTGCCTTCTGTCTGGCCCTGTCAGATGATTCTGATATTTCCACCAAGAACAAGGGGAATGTAACTCAATTTGATGAGCATGATGCATGTGCAAGAAACCAATTACCCAATTATGCTGTCATGCATTACCCCAGAGAATAGGCTGGTCCTCAGATAAAGGGTTTCCATTCAGCAGCTAAGCTAACGCGTGTGTGGGAAGTCATACCCTTTGGTCAGTATTGGCCCTGCACCTGCTGCTTGAATAGGGGTCTTCACTAAGAGGGGCTGTAAAAACCCAAAACGTGCAAAAATGAATCACTGCCACAAAACTCAATTCAGTCTGCTCGAAATATAAAAGGTTTCTCGAACATATTTAACAAGATTCCACAAAGATCTACTTTGTAAATCACATCTCCACCCAAAATGTTGCAGTTTCACATAATTTATTTCACTGTATATATTTTTTATTTTATTTGCATTTATATATGTTTTAGTTGGAGTTGTAAAAATTTGGACTGTGTGAACACATACAAAATGTTCAAATTTAAGCAAAACCTTGACGCATATGTTAATATAATCACGAGGATAGTACATAATTGGTATACTTAAATGTTTTGTTTGATGGGTATTTCAAATTTCTTTGTAGAGAAATCTTATGAATTAACCAAAACATTGCAGCATGATAAAGCTTATGAAAAAAAAATCTAAATAATTTAGTAATTCAGTTTAATAGTACAGGGTGGATGACAATAACTGATTGGGAAAATCTTTCATGAGTGGGAGTTACTTCCTAGCAGGTGTCTATATTTCTTATACGTGTACCCTTTAATCACAGATATTACAGGTCAGTCACAGCTACTGTATCTGTCCTATGCCTAAAAGCAGCTGCTCTGTAATATCTCTGAGAGCTTATCTGTCACACAAGTCGCTAACTTAATGGTATTGTTTCAGTGTCACCCATCTAAAACATGATCTGTTGCTAAGTAGCAGTGGGTTTATAAAAGATATCCTAGAAAACAGAGTACAAACAAACTACTATCTTGTTTTACTTCTATCTTCATTGGGACATTTTCCGATTTTAAGTGGCGAGACTGTGGAAGTTTTACCGGACTTTAGATAATTGAGTGGTTTACAATTGATGACCGACAGCTGTCAACCACTGAACCATAGTAACAAAGCAGCAATGACATCGCCCTAAGGGCACCCCGAGCAAAACAATACTACAAATTCCCATTGCTGGGAGAAATGTGATAGCACTGTAAACATCCCTGCCTTTCCCTGACACTAACTGATCTGTCACAGATCTAAAAGGCTGCCTATACAAATAAACTTCAATGAGATATGTTCATCCAGGGCTTTTGTCACATACAAAAGCCTGAATGGTAGGCTTCCAAAGCGGTATTTTATGATTTCCTCAAGTCCATGACACAACACTACAAAAGATTACGTTTCCGAAACTACAATAAGTTTAAATAACCTTCATAAAAACAGCAACTTCAAACTACATAACAATGTAGGTTGCGAGAAGCTTAATTCAGCATTGGGATCCATTTAAATTTTCCATCTATCAATGATATAACAGTGATTTATAGTTTCATCAGTATAGCTGCTGCAAATTCAATTAAAAGTGGCCAAGTATGGAATTAAAGATGACAAGGACTCGTGTCTCGGTGCCTTACTCTTCATGGACCCCTCTGCAGTTTATTATGCTGCCTGTGGTATTTTTAGGCTACGACCTTTGGGCAGTAGGTTAATCAGCACTAGCCAAACACAGCTCAATTTTTGCAGGGAAAACAAATACATAGTAATTCATACAAATACAAATAGAGGCTCTTAACATTTTACATCAAAATTGACCAGGTAGCATAAAAAACTATTTATTTTTTACTTCAGAAAGTAAAAGAAGGAGTTGTGGGGGCCAAAGGTGTTGCATATAGCACTCACAGTTGTCAGCCTAACAATGAACACTGCTGGGTGGCCAATCTCATGTTGCAGCCTTAGAGGTTACCTTGCATTAACAAGCTGCCCTCCTATGGAAAGCTACTCCATGACAACAAAAAAGAAACTAGGAACAAGAGAGTGATATCAATGATCCACTGAAGCACTGAACCTTAACTGTGTACATTTCAAGGCTCATTTGTAATCTCACAAAGCCAAAAACAGAGCTATGGCAGTGTATAAAGGGACGCATAAACAGTAATAATGACCGTGTCATAAAAGACAACTGCTACCTCCCTTTGTCCATTTACATGACACAAGCGGCAGCAGGGCAGTAGTCTTCGACAGAAAGAGTGGATGTTTGCTCCCAGCAGGGTGTGGGTTATACGCACCACTTCCTCATCAGACAGCTCCCGTCCCTGGATGCTGCTACTGTCTCGAACGGCCTGTTGGTGCCTCTTGCCCTTGGTGTGGCTGAACAGGTGCACCTCTGAGGTGATCTACAAACACAGTGGTCAGAGGTCAGCGCAGCAGACACAATGGAGACAGGAGGCAGGAAAGGGTCAGCAGGACCCAGTGTTACCCTGGTGAAACGAAACACCACATGGACGCTTTCAGTAGAAAAAAAAATGCATGACTTCCCTGTCCTCAGCCTCATTTTAAAGCAAACAATGGCGAAAATAAAGGGGTTGGTTTCTTAGGTTGCATTATAGACTGTTTTGCCATCAACTTATATCACTTTACATTTTACACCACATTGGTTATATTAAACTCTAATTTATGAGATTAATTCATATGAACACACCATGTTCTCTGAATTGATTTCAGCCCTAAACAAAAGGTTCAACATCTATAAAGAAAATGAACAAACAAAATGACCTAAATATAAATAATTTGTATATTGTTAGCTGCCAAATAGAGTGACTAATGAGAGATGTTTAAATAAAGCAGCGCAGGCCATGACCAGAGGCAGGTGTATAGCAGGAATTGTTTTTATTCCATTTCTGGAAAGGAGCCCGTTTGAGACGGTTTGTGTTTAATGTCATTAAATAAAGTGCTTGCTGCTGACCCATCCATGATCTCTGGTGTCGGATGTCAGCCAAGGTCATCTAACGTTTTAACAAGATTCCCTCTTTTGCCCTCAACCCTGCTTTTTTTCCCCTTCTTTATTTTTTATCTGATGCTGGTTTGAAGATTCAAGGTGTCCCATCCTTGTTGTCATGGAAGCCAGTTAATCAGATATAAATGTGCCTGCTTGTGAAATTTGTTGCCAGATGTAAAAAAAAAAAAAAAAAGAAGTAAAATGCATAATCATATCCGGCCATAAATCGGTTTAATCAATGAGGTTAAATCCTCATTTAAATTAGCGTTCCTTTGAAAATCCTTTGAATCACCTTCATATCAGCATTTTCTGGTTATATAATTATATAATCTGCCAAATAACACAGAAGAGATGCTCTCAGCAGAGCAACTAGGCTATAACATTTAGGCCAAAAACCACAGGTACTTTACTGTGGACAAAAGCAAAAATCTAAGTTTTTTGTGCGATTTACAAACCTTAGCTGTGCTGCCATCTCCACTTCAGAGAACTTTCACTGCTTCCATACAAAAATAATCCATATTTTTGCAAGCTCCTAAATGAATTGTCGCATGCTAACTGGGGCCTGTAGAATTTTCACTTACAGGCCTAATCTTTGGGGCTAACAACGTGAAATTTCCACTTTTGGGAAGATTGGGGATTTCATTAATCAATTTTTTTTTGTTATAGCATCTGGTTTCCATTAACACTTCTATTTCCTGTTTACAAAACACATGCTTTTGCTTTTGTGCTTAATGTTATCATAAACCATACAGCATGCAATGTGTTGCTCTGAGGCTGTAATCTACTTTTTAAACCTTGTTCACAGTCGTGTTATCAGAATTTTTTTTATCAATAGATAAAATGAGTTATGAAAATAACATTTAAAAAAAAAAGTATTTAAAAGTTGTTATTTTTTAAAGTCTACATACTACGACGCCGCAGAGCGAGCACTGTTTCTTGCGTTCGTATGGGGTCAGTTTGGGAGCGTAGTCTGTGTTAGCATGCCGACCACTACTGAGCTCAGCCGCCTTCTCCTTCCTTTGCTCGATTTGCTCCATATGCCGGCGGCTGCTCTCGTCATGCTATAAAAGTATAACCAGAAACCAGGAGTCATTTGGTAATCAGGGATTCCAACATGATGTCTGCTGAATTCGTAGGGTGGCGTGCTATAAACTCACTTTCATCTGAATTTTCTTCTGCAGCTCCTCCATGGCCTCTTGCTGGGCAGCACTTAGAGCAGCCAGACGCTCCTCACGGTCTCTTCAGACAGAAAACAAAAGCAGCGTAAAGACACTGATAACTTAAATGTAAGCATTAGAATGAGTAGTTAAACAGACATAGTGCAGTAAATAAAAAAAGCATTTCCCTTTCAGTGCTAAATATAGTGTTACAGATTTAATTTTTTTCCTTTCAAAATTCACTATAAAATAGAGCAAATGAAATAAGTTATGGGGCCAGAATCATTCTCAAATCCCCCTCCCAAACCAATACAAAGGCATCTGGGGCAACAAACCTGGCCCTTTCCCGCGCTGCATCCTCTCTGGCTTTCTCTTTTTCCTGCCTTTGCTGTTCAATACGAGCCTCCTGCTCCTTCCTCTTTATTAACAGCTCCTCCACTCTCGCCTGCCGCTCTGCTTCCAAGACCCGCTTGCGTTCCTGGTGAGGGAGCAAGAAGAGAAGCGAGACTCAGTCAGCTGTGAAAAGTTAAGGGAGGAATAAGAGCCTGTGAGCGTTTGTACCTGAACAGCTTCATCTCTGGCCTGCTTCTCCTCCTGTCTCCTCTGTCTCTCTTCCTGCAGCTCATTAAGGCGCTGTTCATATTCGCTTAGCTTGGCCAGGGCATCATGCCTCTTATTTTGGGCTTCTAGAGTGTTGATGAAAGCTATTTCATTCACCTGTTTGGGAAAATATACATGAGTGTAGGAACACGCTCAATATAAATACATTAACCCACTTAATGTGGGTTATTGCTGGCCGATCACATGCACAAGTTTCAGACGACTCCCGTCTCTACCTTGGCCTCTTCTTCCTGAGCCTTCTTCACGATTGCTTGGAGTTGTAACTCCCTCTTAAACTCTGCATGCAGGAGCTTCTCCTCCATCATCCTCCGACGCTGCTCCAACAACTCTTCTTTCCATTTCCTTACATCCTTCTCCTTCAGATGTGAGGACAAAGCAAAGAGTTAGGTAAAACTAGAGGAATATAGATTTTTAAAAACTAAACTGAATTTTTAGTTAGCACCCTCTTATAGGGAATACACCACTTTATGAATATTTGCTGTCAACTTAGTATGGCCTCAAGTATAAAAGACAAACTCTATGACGGGCTGTTGATTTTGGCTGGAGTTTTCTCTTGTGACTGTCTGCAGGCAGCTGCTGTAGGTTTGACTGGTTATAATATTTTGCGATTCCTTCGAGCCGTGTGCTGACAGAAGCTATCGTTGTGAGCCAGACCGGGCTTGGCTTGGATGGAGTTCTTTAGGTTTCGTCAGGTCGTCACAGCTTTCTTACCCTCTCCATGAGCTTCTGCAGTTTGAGTGTCTTTTCCTCACGGAGTTTGTCTCTCAGCTGCTGAGCCTTCAGCTGTTTCTCCTCATGTTTCTTCTTTGACTCTGCAATGGTTCTGTCAAAAAAAAGGAAACAAAATGGTTATCTTTTTTCCCTGCCTTTTCTTCTTTACAACTTGCACAGCAATCACTCCGGCTTTTTTTCACACTAAATGGTAACTCGAGTAAAGAATATTTACTGTTTTTCAAAGTGGGAATGGATAGACATTACTGTTTAAAGACTCTACATGTCATCTGTTAAATCTACAAGAAAAAAGTAAATAAAAATGAAAATGTGTAGGACCTTTTGCGTGATGGTGAGGACAATTTCTCGTGCATGTGGATTCCATGTCCAGGGGGACGAGAAGGTTCTTCTTCTACCATGTCTCCCCAGGAGGTGCTCTGACGCCACGGTTCTCGAGCTACAGAACAGACAACCATTCACAACAAATAAAGCAGGGAGCAACGTTTTCCCAAATACAAAAGTCTTTTTTGGATGTTTCCTTCCTTACCATCAAAATCTGCCAGCATGTCACTCCAGTCCATATTAACGCCACAACTTCCACTGCTGATGCTAGCCTGTGGTGAAGATCAGTTTGCATCTCCAAATTACTTTACAATTAATGCAAAAATACCTAAACATATTTTTTTCAAATAAATGCAATGCAAAGGCACCATAAGAATGGACCCATAAGAAAGGCCAGTCTTACAGTGAAGTCACTTTCATTGTCAGTCTCTAGATCGTTGTTCTCTGCCTGAATCTCTCTATTCAGCTGCTCCTCTTCAGCAATGGCACTTGCGATTGCCTCTTCATTGGCCTTTTCCAGCCGATCAGCCAGCTCTTCTTTCTTGGCCAGGACCTCTGCCATTGACTGGGGCTGAAGACATGAAGACTTTTAACACTTCAGAAATGCTGTCATTAAAAAACAAACAAATATTATAAACTATGTGACCAGAAAATGGAAACTCCTGTCCCTGTGATACCATGATACGCTTGTAATGTTTTTGTAAAGGTTATGTTAACATCATTATGATGTTTAATTCAATATTCATCCCCTCCAAAAAGATAAATTAGTAAGTGAGATATTCTTAAGGACTTCGTAGGCGTTTTACTTCTCTGGTCACTTAGTAAATAATACCAGCAAATAACCCATCATTGATTAAAACAAGCCCTCAAATGACCTCTGTGGAATTGTAAATATATAGATTATTTTAATTGTAAATATATAAATGATTTACAATCATTTATATATTTACAATGATTTTACAATTCAAAGGATTGTCACATAAACCCATTCCATGTTTCAACCACATGACCACCACAGGTAACACCAAAGAGGAAGCGTTCAAAAGGTCATGCATGTCACAACAGTGAGGTTGAGGAGATGGTGGAAGGAGGCAACTGGTGGTTCACTTCTTGAAACTGATGGTTTACTCAGTGGTTTTAAGGATGTTTATGAGTGTAGCAATGCAGGACTTGCAGATAACTCCAGGGCAGCAGGTGCTCTAGATCAACTGCAATAGTTGTGTGCGAGTTTAAAAGGGGATTTGTATGACTAGTTAAATAGTATTGACTTCTACATTCTTGGCCTATGATTACCTAGATGTAACCATAACAGTTAAAATCAAGATCAGTGATTCTTATAGAACATCTAAAGAGAGAATGCAACATTAAGAATTGTTAGCTATTAAATTACATTAGTGCACATCCAAGTACTACTTGCCTGAGTACAAAGCCAATCTACTCACAGCTATTCTTAACGGTAAATGGAGCTATAACAACATTACTCAGAGCTGTGCAGTCCTGTCTGCACATTTGGTCTGGAGGTTTCTTTAGATCGACTTTGTTTAGACGGTGAGGGACTCTTGGGGATCCCTGCCCTGTCAGCCCTCCCCTCCCTCCGCTCCTCCATCTCTCAGCACTCACAGTGGAAAGCTCAGTGGGATCCAGCAAACTCTCCAGTTTCACCGCTGCCATGGGAGTCTCCGTCTGTCCTGGAGCAGATGTGGCCATGCCCTGTGACGCGCCTCCCTCAGCCCCAGTGTCCCCAAAGGCCAACAGAGCACTGAGCTCGTCCGTCTGGGGCAGGTCTGTGGATGCTGTCACAGACAGAGCGGGAACTGGGACTGATATGGTTATGTCTGGTGGTGGGACAGAGTCTGTGGATGGAGAGCGTTCTGAGGCTTGGGATGAGGTAAGAGATGCTATGGGAGGAGGAGGAGGCGCGTCTTCGCAGGGCGCGTCGACACACTGCCCTGAGTCTTGTACACTCTCTGCAGGGGGCTGCACCAACAGTCACACACAAACTTAAGTAAATACATGCATATTTCAGGCAGTTCGTGACAGCAATTAAATGAAAAAAAATTGAGCAGTCATTAATCAACAGATAAAAACACAAATCATGCAGGGAGGCTGGTATAAACATGCTCTAAACATCTAGGTATGATCAAATTATGCAGAATAAGTTGGAAATACAAATTTGCATATCTTTAAACAGCCAATGGCTGCAACACACTGTCACTCAAGAGTGTCTTGATGCATCTGTGTGTTTTTCATGACGATGAAAAGGGGCCTGTAAGCCTGTGCAATGTCAGCGCACAATCAATTGTTTCAAAGCTGATATGCCTGTCTGGAAGGTATCCCTATTAATATCATGGAGCTCAAAACAAAAACAAATGCGGCTGATAAAATGATATTGTGTTGCACTGATCCACGTGAATAATTTATAGCCAGGGACTGCTCAGGGAGAGAGACGTCACAAGGTACTCAACATCAGTACCTCCATTATGTGTCCATTCTCTGGACGTTCAACCTTCTCAGGGGGGTCAGGCTTCGCAGAGACTTGCTGCCCAGTGTCAGTCTGGGTCACATCCTTGTCCGGAGGACGCTCAACATGAAGCTGGCGCTCTGCCTGTGTCCTTCCATGTGACTGGTTATACTTGCCGCGGTCTTGTTTTGGTGCGACTCGAGCCAGGTCAGGGCTGACCTTAGCAACGATGGCAGCTGAGCGAGGTTTGGCTGTGCGTCCTCGCTGCACAGTTTCCCAACCCTCTGCATCTTTTTTACCTGGAAAGTCGTGAGAACTGGTTTAGACCACACTCTCTTTTAAGTTCCTGAATGGGATTTAATGGGAATTTCTTACCAGGTTTTTCTGCATTGAATGCAATGGGTTGACTGGGACTATGGACTGACTGAGTGCACTTTACTCTGTCTGCCCAGCTAGGGCCTGTGTGGGTGAGCCGAGATGCAGCCAGTGTTGCTGGAGGACCACTGCCAAAGACACATCCACACACACAAAATCCATGAGAACAAACGAATGAGCCACCTGTGTGGTGATGCCTTTACTGTCAACAGGTGGAACTTTAAATCTTAGTGATTCCCATTTCTGAGCTGTTACTATTGTACCGCCTGTCCAAAACAGCCTGCTGAAGAGAGTCTATCTAAGCCCTCCCAGTAGGCTCCACTCTAAGATAGCATGGAACTGTATTGTACAACAGGCCTCAGTCATGATCAATATCCATTTCCTGCAGCATCAGATTACAGAGTAGTGCACATATTGAACCGATGTTTCAGCAGTCTTTAACCAACACTTTAGTCTACACCTTCAATGATTCTGTGGCCCAAGAACGAGGGCTTCGACAAATTGAATTAAACAAATGCTCCTCCATCAGCAATCACTGGCTGTCCTGTTAGATTTAGTCTGCACTTTTTAACCCGAGACAGCAGATCACATCACAGGAAACAAAGTGTAGCTCTTGGAAAATGTGGATTTTTGGAAGAAGAAAATAAGGACACAGCTCTTACCTGAAGTTAAGGGCGCGTCGTGCACCTGGAGAGGGTACCATTCTGTCTGAAGTTGGACTTGGCATTACATGTCGTCCTGGAGACATCTTGCGCACCTCCCAGGCTAAAGATGTTGGCCTAAACAAAGTGAAAATGACACACACTACTTAAAACTAATTAAAGTTTCTGTAGCTAAACTAGCACAGACTTGACCCACACATCTGGCACATGGGCAGGGTGTCTGATGTTTGCAATCGATTAAACGCTACAGTTTGAGTTGTCTTATTGATTAACAGTACACTTTAAATGAACAAACTGGGAGGTGGCACTGGGAATTTAATTTCTCAGTCAATTTACGGCAGCAGTGGTCACTGTGTTAAAGAGAAGCCAATAAACTCATGGATCTCCTTGAATTAAAGCCAAGACTATTGATCCACTCTGTTTGTGACTCAAAGCCAGGGACCACCAGTACTTGCAATTTTACCACAGGGAGCCATTTAAAAAAGAGAATGAATTAAACTGAAACAAAAACAGGAAACGGTGAAAAGAATAACTTAAGATCACCTGTTCTGGGCGTCTGTTTTCTCCAACTTCTCCTGGAGCTGGATCCAGTCTATGAGGGCCTTGAAATCCCGAACGTAGTTGTCAAGCATCATCAACACCTCCTACAGACAGCAGAATTAAAATTGGAAATTAGAACAATAAGACAGTACTATATGTATATATGGTTATATATACACACACTCAAACAACAATACAAAACAAAACACAATCTTCAGTCAAATAGAAAGTGACATAGAAAAAAATCTAGTTACAAATTTCACTAGTTTAAAAATTCTTGAGAAATCAGTTCTGCTTCAAAGGTCTCTTGAAAGCCCTACATGTCACTGATCAATACAAAATGACAAAGGAAATTTCTAGACGTGTAAAAGTTCTGCCTAAAAGCAGGAGCAGGGGAAAAATCAAACAATCCACCGCTGTGATGAAGAACAGAGAGGGTACATTCTTCACAACAAATGCCTATTATCCTATTATACCTATTATCTACACTTGGACTGAGTCACAGAGTTGGTTATGCAGACATAGTGGGCCGAGAGGAGCTTTTTCCCAGAGCTCTAATGAAACAGACACAACTGATTGATGGGGAGCGTGGAGGGAGTGGTAATTGAGAGTAAAGCTTCACAGTGCTTTTAGTTAATAGACAAGTCAAGCCAGTGAAAGATGTGTCTAGCAGCAGGTCTACTGATTGGGGCTAGTTAACTGTCACAGTCCTCAGCCCTGGTCCAGTGTTCATTTGGTAATGAAGGCCAAGATGGAGAGAGGCTTGCTGACCCTTGGACAGATAAACCAACAGCGAACGACACAAACAGTCACAAAGGGATGTTCTGTATTTTAAAAAATATATAACCTATACCTAACACATCATGGGGAATGACTGATGAATGTTTAACCTTCAAGGAGGCATGGCCATAAAGTAAGGTGGATAGTAAAAGCCTGTGGTTCATACATTTAAAGCACAAATGAACAGCAAAGCCATATCCAACAAAAGGTGAAAGTTATTGACCTCAAGTAAATTATTTACCCTTCTGTATTTTCCTTTAAACCACCTAAGACTAAAATAACCCCTTTTGTTTAATTTTAAAATGGCATAATGCCTTCGGGCAAACAGGAATTCAAAGATTTCCCGTCTGTTCTGGGTTAAAAAGAAAAAAAGAAAAAGAAAAAAAAGAGGGCGAGCCATTATTGAAAGGAATATATGATCCATTCTGCTTTGTGGGCAATTTTGCTCTAAAACAGAAAACATAACAGGTCAGCGCAGAGCATCTCATTCACAATTATATAATATATTACAGTAACACAGCCTTGGCAGATAATTAGGCATCACTTCCTGGCAATGATTCCACTCATACATTTACAGGAGGAAAATGGTGGGCTGTTTGTGTAGAAGCACACAACGCAGTCTGCCCACAGCTACACTGGGGGATTGAGGCTGGGGGCAATCAAAGCACTCTGCTTCCCCTCCTGATGACTCCATCATTTATCAGTGTCCATTAAGCACAAGCTGGGTGGGATAGGGGATTAAGAACAGCACCCGGCTTCGTGCCCATTAGACAGCATTAGCGTTTAAAGAGATACAGTGGTATGAGGGAAGAAAAGGCCGCCTGTTGTCTGAAACATGACAACCGACAGCATGCTTGTAACACCACAGGGAGCTGCGCCGTGGCACTGACACCAAATCAGCCACCACCACTGGGAGCTGGGCAACAATGTTGACCACAGGCCATCACCAGAACCATGCTAAGCATAACACAGGATGGCAGATGAGTCAATAAAACACTGGAAAAGCGGTATCATGTCAGAATGCCCTGCAGCAGAGTCAAAGTATCACTGTATGGCTTCACCGAAGCACAATACACGCTTACATAAGAAAGAAAATCAAGTCAGAAATCATGTGAACCTCCATTCTTTTTCCCAAAAAAGCCTAACAAATAGAAACAGTATGATCCAGTCAGTGGGCCCAAAGAGAAAGGGCTGTCCTAACTACGTCACCAGTAAGCCTTTGGAGAGCACTTCTTACACAAATGGCAATCCAGAAGAAATGGATTTGTGAGTGAGAGATTCTGTTATGACGCCAAGGTCTCCCTCTAGTGTTTATAAATCAGGACTTCTCTTGACAAAAAAAAATACAAAAATACAAAAAAAGATTTGGCTCAGGGTATGAGCAGATCTATCCTGAATTAAAACTCAGAATTCCTCTGGGGAGGTTTTTTTTATTTTTCTGTCCTTAAAAAAGAAGGGAAAAAAGACCAACCTTGCATTCTAAGACACTTTGATCAGATTCACATGTGACATAAATCTCGTCCACAGCCCGACGCAGGTTTTCGAAGAGGAAAGCCCAGTAACGTGCTCGTAAGTCCACTTTGCGGGGCTGTCTGGTTTTGGTGGGGCTCTTATCAGGCCCCTTATCTATTAAGGCTCCAGCTGAGCATTTATTTTCCACTCCGGCATTCTGTAAGCACAAAGTACAAAGCTATCATTATGCAAACAGAAACAGACATTTTGTCAGTATGCTTTGCCAACTCATCAAAGACTCATATACATAATAAAAGATCCTTCATTCATAGCTGTCATAGATACACTTGCATTAGGTTTGTTTTGTGAGGGGAAAGTGTGGGGTGGAAGAAAAGGATGTCACAGATTGGTGAAGAGAGACCTCTAGTGGTAGAGTAAGATATGCCTACCTGCTTTTTATTCTTCTGCTGTCCAGAATTGATCCTCTGAGACCGGGAACCACCACCGGAGTTGCTTTTGGCTTTTACTGTGTGGAGGAGAAAAAAAGTACAAAAACATACTGATTAAATCAATAATCAAGACTTAAACAAAGCTACAACATCTGTCAAACAGAAGCCTTCTGTGCTGAACCCTGAGGTGGGTCCAATGAACGTTTTAAAGAAAAAAATAGACACTAACTAAATTAAGAAGTATTCACACAATGTAAATGCTGCACTAATGGCTTCATTCAGGCAAAAATATTAAATTCAGCTTTTCTCTTTCTATTGAAGAGAAGGAAAGAGCCAGTGTGTGCAGGATATTTGCAGTGTGTGCACAACTGGACAGTACATAAAGAGAAATGTACCATGACAGTTAAATCTTAACAATCTGTCATATTGCCCTAAAAGTACAGCTTGGCATGTGGCTCTACAAAAACACTGCAAAAGAGGACGGAAGAAAATAGGTTCCATTACTTTTATAGTTGGTTTGTAAAAGTGAACTCTGAAGACAGCCTCACTGTATATGCTCATGCACCAAATAACATCACGCAACAAATAACATCACGGTCCAGCTTTTCATTGAAGACACTGAACGCTGAGCGTCCCAGACTTTCTTAAAAGGTGCGTTTTTTCAGGCTTGACCACATTAACTGCGCCTCTACAAAATACTGTATATGTAATCAAAACACACCGAGCACATCAGTGAACAAACCTTTGTTCAAAAGGATTAAGGCACTGAAACCCTTTACAACTTTATCTCCGTCTTTGTAACGGACATGTTGAAAAGGAAGCTGGAAAAGAACTCACCTCAAACATAGTGAACCGATAAGGCCTTTTTTTTGTGAATGGCTCACAAAAGGTTAGAGAGGATTAACACTAATTTTAATCAAAAGTAGCCAGTAGCAAGTCGCTTACAGCAGACAAACACATCAAGCACGATTTAATTTGTCATATAAAAGTGGTCTGAGAAGGCCATCTTTATCGTCGTTAATGACTTTGAGTATACGTCATTGGACATGATTTGAATGAATGCTTTCAGAGAAAATTGTACAAGTAAATAAATAAATAAATAAATAAATAAATAAATAAATAAATAAATAAATAAATAAATAAATAAATAAATAAGGAACATTTCCTATTTCCACCTTACTTACCTCAGTGCCCTAAGGGTGTCTCAACTGAATTAAACATGAGCAAGAAGACCTGCAGCTTAAAATGGACTAAACAGAAGATTTGTTTTGCATGCAGCAACTAACCTTCCTCCTCTTTGTTCTCAAGAGGAACACTCCAGGCGATGAGGTTTCGAGCAGCCCGGCCCTCCTCAGCTACAATCTTTCGCACTTTGTCATGGCTGTTGGAGCGCTGAAACGAAGCCTGCAGGACAAACAGCCGGACTTAATATTAATTATGGGTTCATAACGAGATTAAACAATCAGAAACAGATACAACTTGTTCATTCACAGTTACAGGAACTTTGTTTCTTGCCACTACAAGTTATTAAAGTTATCTTAGGGCATAAACTTGACATAGTCCTGTGTAGTGAGCATTTCCCCCTAAGTCAAATTATAACAACAAAGAGAGAAAACAAAACCTGCCAATCACACTTTAATGACCCAGACCATTAAATGACTAAGACTTTCCTTCAAAATGAACAACGTGGTTGCTGTGCTTCAGCCTGGGCCAGGACATTATGCTCTCTTTTTGCTCACACATTCCGTGTCTCCAAAGCTTTAAATGGTTTGACTTTTGTTAAAAGACAGTGGCCCAGTTTTAGCAGTGTGCATATATTACATAATGAAAAGGAAAAGAAAGAAAAAACGGAGAATGCTCTGTATAAAAATAAAGATTACTGATTGCTAGCCTTCATGTTTTTGTTTTTTCAATAGTTGTTAGAGTGCCAAGGAGCAACACAGCCTGCAACATGAGAACTGTTGCTATGGTTACCTCTATTTGAATACAGTTTGTACAGTAGTAAAAATGTAATGGGCTGCTGTAAAATGTGTTTTAATAGCACCGACAATGGCATGCACAATTGTGTAGAAAGAGCAGAGGAGAAAACTTTGGTTGTAATCAAAATAATGTTCGAATTAAGAGAGTGAATCCACAGACTTTCACTTCAAGCCATGCATTACATAACGGGGTTTCTGCCGAATCCCTGCAGTGATGTTGTGAATCAGGACGGAAGCAACAACTCTGCAAGACTGCAAGTATATGAGAGAGTTCTGCTAACACAAGCTGGGGCAGAGACAGCTACGGGCAGAAGCTCCAAAGCTGCTCTAAACTGGGCATCATCATGGCTGACCTACACATTAAACAGGCATCAGTGAACTTGAGTGTAACCTCGGGTGAAAAACATACCGTGAGCAAAAATAAATATTACGAGACTGCAGCTCTTTATCTGTGTCACACTGAGAGGATTTCTGCAGAAACAACGCGTGTGCCTGAATCACTGCTTCACAGTGTGGTGTTTTTATTTCAGCTGCAACCTTTTTCCTTTTTCAATAAAAGAAATTATCTAAACAAGAGAAGAGGATGGAAAAAAATATGAGATTAATTTCCACAATGAGTCAAATCTGATATACCATGTGGTTCATTTGGTACAGTCTCTCATTATAATTTTGTGTCACAAAACATTCTGACTCTGGGGAATCTAATTACATGACAGAACAGAAGCAAATAGCCAGAGGCTTATCATTTTGGATTCTCTTTCCAGCGTGTTCCCTTTATAAGAAAAAAGGGGCATCAGCAACTTCTGCACCCCCTTTCTAAATAATTCAACATAATATTAACTGAAGTCCGTCCAAACTGACCCATTCTACACAGCTATAGTGAAATATGTGTCATTTTATTAATACTGCTACCTAAAACAAATATCAAACTAAAGAGGCATTTCTCTATTTAACAGCTAAATGAGTCATGGAACAAATTCATCACCCCTTTTCCGGGCTGTATCTCAGTAGAACCACCTTTCAGACAGGCAGTCACAGAAGACTTATTCTCCTACAATCCTTCATGACGAAGAGATGCAGGAGATTCTCTATGTCCTATCAGAAGCTTTGGGGAAATAAAGTTTTAAATATGTATAATGGAGTCTTATATTTGAGGCTAATGTAATCAAATAAACAGCTCATTAGAAGGTGCACATGAAGGAACAGCATGCGTGTTTGTCTAATACTATTTAATGTCCCTAAGGGAGATACACAGCTGACCTACTTTTGGTGGGCAAAATTCTTTACATGTCAAGTGGCCTGGCCTGGCCTTTATTCTGCCAAGTGGAAAAAGACTAACCAAAGACAAAAGGACGCCAAATACAAGTGCATCAAAATGAGCAAAATGTACCACCTAAAACCTTTAAATGCTACCTCTGTGTTTCCTGAACTGGTGCACAACTGCATGACTGTTCCGAGAATACCTTTCCTACTCTACTGATGGCTATCTGTGCAGGAGTCTAAGGCAACAGGGCTTAAAACATTGTCTTGATCCACTTAATCAGCAGCAAACAAGCTGTTTCCCGAGCTGCTCTATGGAGAGATATTGTGAAAATCAACTTCTGCCATCTTACTAAGCCAGGCAGTCTGCACTACAGAGCACATTTATTTTATAGACATCACTGAGTCCCGGACAAGTGTCAGGTTTCCCTCTAGACAAGGTTTACAGAGAGACATAAGCAGCAACAGCAGGGAAGCAAGAGCTGATTAGGACAAAGTGAACATCAAAATGTGAATGGATACATACAGAATAGAAGTAAAGTCTGTTAGCTGGTTCCTCGTCTCTATCCACTCCCGACATACTTAGCAGCCCACTCCATGCAACCTGTTCTCCCTAAACAGCACTGCCATTTGTCCAAGGTGACATCGTCGTCTGACAGGAGGCCCAAAATAGACTCCCACTGTGAAGTCCACACTGCTATAGCAACTTGCCCAGCTGTGTCAACTCCTTTCTCAGAGGCGACAGTGATAGATTCAATGGCTCGTCACTTGTCCCTTTCACTAAAGGCTACTCTCTCCAGACCTCCGTCTCTGTAATCTACCCTGAGTCTTCAGCACTCTGCTGAGTTAGCAGCCACTTCTTAGGCCCGGCGTGTTGCCTGCCACTCGCCTCTTCTTGCCACTGTATGCAGCTTCCTATATTTACAGCTCCTCTCCAATTCTCTCCCTGCTCTGCATCAGAGCCCCCACTCCCTCCCCTTCTCATTTCTCACTCTGCCACAACACTGCACAGTCATGTGCACACAGTAGGCCTGCCCCTCTGCCCCCCATCCTGTGCCGTCAGAGATGAGAGAATAGCTAAAGGGTACCACAGAGAAAGTGATAGCTAGCATGTATAGTGATGCTGTGATTCAGATGGGAATGATTGGTTGTACTCAGATGATACTGAGGACAAAAAACATAAAAATGCAAATTAGAGAAAGCTGACTAATGCTATTAAGCTTTCTAAAACTGCTTCGTGAAAAGTTATATTGTCTTGAAACATTTTCTGTAAGGCTGTGATTTTCAGTTTTTTCATTTTAATGTTTTCTGTATGTGTACTTCTTTTGTTTTTATTAAATCTATGGAACAATTGAATTGCCGTTTGATGTTTCATTATGCATTTGGTTAAATTAAGCATTGTTATATATTTGGTGATATCAGTTTAGTGATTTGTGTATGGTAACATTTTGTGTTTTTTGTTTTATCATTCACCAAAATTATGTTTACAGTTTACCGTTATGATTTCCTATGGTTAAGAAGTGAAATGTTGTTGTTTTTTAACTGAAATATCTATTTTTATTGCTGTGTATTATAGTTCATAGATGGAAATGTATAATTATCAGGTATTTTGGAACAGGACACAGAAGACCACAAGATTTAACTCCATACAACTCCAAAGGTATTCTACCAGAAGTCCTTTCAAACATAGACTATGAAAAAACTCTACGCTGATTTAAACGAATACATACTATAATCATGAAATGTCAACACAATTATGTCCAAGAAAAAAAAATCTAAGATTGTTTTCGTTTTACAAAGGTGCCTGTAGATGAAAAAAGAGCTAAGGGTGGAAGTACACAATGGTCGATAACAGCACACCTATGGTACAAAAGGTAAACATAATTATTTATTTTCTTAAAATAGAGAGAGCTAGTGAAATAGCATCATTCAATTGCACCCAGCTAGCTTAAACTGCATAGCATATCTGTGTTAGTCAACATTATCTGCAATATTTAAGCTATTGAAGTGATGTCTTGCATACCTTCGTAGCGGATGCATTCTTGCTTTTGCCTCCTCCGTGCGAAGAGCCAGAGCTGTTACTACCAGACCTTTCCCTCCCGTCACCACCTTGGCTAACTCTCGGCCCGAGACGGTGCTGCACGGTACCACGCCGTCTGCCATCGTGTCGGTTGTCTTTGGACATCTACCCACCTCGTAATAAATTCTCTGTCACTGAAAAATACAAGTCTATGGACTACGTCTCCTTGTTGTCAGCGAGGATGAACGAACATGTCAAATAAATACAGACATTGAGGAATACCTAGTGAAGCCGGAAGTCTGTTGAGTTTACTTTTGTGACTGGCGTTGGGCTTGTCCAATAAACTGACAGTAGCATGGCCACAACACACGCGCCAACCAGTCACATACTGTACAATTTGGGTCAAAGGGTGGTACCTTTCTTTTCTTGGGCGGGATTTGTATTGTCTACCATGGCAACCATGAAGATCGGGCGGGAGGTTCGTAAACGGTTGGTTGAGTTCACAGTGTGCGTCAAGACGTCATAAACGTCAGGAGGATCACAAGAAACCAGCCTTCAAAGTGAAAGCATGTGGGGAAACATTTTGAATACAGCCATCCATTTTCTGTACTGCTTATTCCCAATGGGGTCGGGGGGGAATGGGGCTCATCCTACTCACTACTGTCTTTTACATGTAGTCGTGTTAAACTGTCTGCAACCACTTTAGTACAGCCAGTAAAACGTCTATTTACTAAAATTTCAAGCAAAACATTTAAGTTGAAGTTTTGACCGGAAATGTCCCTCTCTGTTTGTTAAAGAGACACTTGTGTCAACAGTAAATCGGAAAACTTTACACAGCAATGGCATTTGCACTTTTCTGTTCACGGTATTTGTTTAGTTTGTCGTAGTTGTAGTGTCAGTATCATGTTTGTGCTCTATAAAACTCGCCCTGCTTTTTAGGCTAACGCTGTCGGTGTTGTCCGTGTGTCTGCATGTTAGAAAATCAATGACAGTTTTCAATGAGCAATTATTAACAACGTCCCGTGTGTTTTACTTGGCCTGTTACATTTCAGTTTTTTTGTTTGTTTTTAACCAACGCTGCTGTAAGTGGCATATTTAGTTTAAGTTTTTTCTTTTAGCTTCCACCTGCTGGCCACCAGATAGCACAGTTGCATTGGATATCAGTCTACGGTGTTTTCATGCCTTTATTATATGTTATTCTATCCTAATTAGATGTTTATTAGTCCACAGATGGCATACATTACATTGACTGTCTCGTTGCTTCTTCGGTTTGGACTTGGACATGGCTCCCATAATCATCCTCACGATGATCATTACATTGGCCAGCAGCACAACCCCGAGCATGATATGGCCATGCTGCTGGGAGATGAGGTGGTTTATTTTACTTTTAGTCCTTTTTAACAGTCCTCAGCATCAGCTCTCGCTTCACAGTGCCTATTTTGTTCTATTTTAGCACACAGAGGAGATCAAGGATCTTAGCCCATCAGAGCAGAAGAAGAGGATGATGGAAATTGTAAACAAGATTGATACCAATGGTGATGGTTTTCTTAGTGCAGGTAACTTCATTTTTCTCACAAATAAAAGCAAAGTTACAGGCAGTGATGGCATGTTACTCTAAATGTGCTGGCTGCTTTTTCCCCAGAGGAGATCACCGTGTGGATTCAGCATGTCTACAGGAAATATGCTCTGGACGACGCAGCAGAGCGTTTCCATGAGTTTGACATTAACAAGGATGGTGTGGTGACATGGGAGGAATACAACAGCATTGCTCACGATCAACTTCTTAGTTTTGATGACAACACCATCCTGGAAGATCCAGAGCAAGAGTCTCTCAGACATGTGGGCAAACTTTAACTCCTGTGTTAACACTCGTATCACAGTCTGTTGTTACTGACGTTAACAGATATTTGTTTCCCTATAAGCTCCACCTGAAGGAGAAGAGGCGCTTTGACTTTGCTGATTTGGATGGTGTACCGGGCCTCAGTGTAACCGAATTCCTTGCCTTTACCCACCCATCTGAAGTGGATCACATGGCTGTGAGATTACTTTACCCCCTATATGATAATGCTTTATTACATTCATTACTATCGAGTTGAATTGATTTACCCTCCAATAGGATTTTGCCATTGAAGATGTCTTGAGTGAATACGATACAGATAAAGACGGATTCATATCGCTGAGTGAATTTATCGGAGATGTGCGTGGTGAAGGTAAGACTTTCCGGGTTGTGCAAAATCAGTGGCTGTGTTTGTTACTCGTCAGTCAGTTTTGAACAATTTTTTTTCACTCATGCTTAGTTTTTTCTTTAACAGATGATTCCCCTTCGCAGTGGGAGATCGAAGAAACAGTGCGGTTCAAAGAACTGTATGACCAAGATAATGATGGCAGGCTGAATCGTGATGAGCAACTGCGTTGGGTCGCACCTAACAGCTACGGTTCAGCAAGAGAAGAAGTAAGATTCCGCAGTTCTGTCACAAACATCCATCCATCCATTATCGTTTCCGCTTCAGACTAAACTGAAAAGCAAACAAAGAAAGTTACACATTTCATTATCTTCAATGCTCACACCCCCAAGTCATTGAATGCAGCCCAACAATGTTTGGTAAAACCTTTTTGTTTTAAGTCACTTTATTTGGAATCGGGTCATTAAGTTGGCACAGAGGTAAGTCTTTCCTAAAAAAAAAGCACATTTTAAACATTGCTTTTGTTAATGCGGACATTTGAACATTTAACAGACTGTAATATGTTATGCGGCTGTTAAAATCTCCTCACTCTTCTCCTCTTCCTTTATTTTCTTCCCTGTCTTTAAACAGGCGCTTCACCTTATCAAAGAAATGGACCAAGATGGAGATGGGCAGATCTCAAAGTCAGAAGTTTTGAAAAACCAAGAAACATTCATGAACAGTGAAGTGACAGATTACGGCAGACAGCTGCATGTGTCACACGATGAATTATAGCATTTCTAAAAGTTTTATATATTGAGCTATTCCCTAATTAGTTTTTCTGTGTAGATGATGAGGAATTTTTTTCAGCTAGAGGTTGGGTATTTTTTTCATTACGGTACTTTCTTTTGAAGTTAGAAATCTTTTCAATTGTAATTCTTAAGATTTCTGTCAATGGTAATTTGTAAAGTACAGAAACGGAAGTACTTGCAAGCAATGCAATATCCTCTAAAATGACTCATAGATTAAAATCAGAAGAATGGCAAAATAGTACATTTGATAGCTTTGTAATGGGTTGCATGAAATGGTGGAAACTCCTGTTATTGTGCCGTTTCTACACTTCTTTAAAATTGAGATTATGAGAGCTTCCTCTTGAAAACATATATGCCATTTTACTAAGAGCACACAAAGCACACTTTGTTGTATTTCAAAAAGACAAGAAATTAAAAAAAGGAAATGAACTTGTTTTTATATTTGTTGAGTTATTTGAAACTTTCAGCTCCGTTCTTGCAACTGTTGACTGGTTGCAACTCTTCCTCATTTAAATCAAATGAGTGAGTGAGTAAGTGAGAGTTGCTGCATGAGGGCTTATTTCCTGAATGTGCCATGATCCGTTTCACTTGCAGTGTAACACAGCCTGTTAAGCTGTCAGGTACTATTACAAGTGAAAAAGTTGAGCTCTCCACCAAGGACTGTTTTTTTTATCATGTCGGAGATGACTTTACATTTCAAAGATGCATTCTGGGTACGTTTTCTTCTGTCTTTTTAACTGCCTTTTTTGACACTGTTGAAATTAACATTGAGTCTTACTTAACTGTGAAGTCAGGTATGCAAACAGTCAAGTGGATTAAAATGTGTTTGTGTTTAGTTTTTTGTAACGCAGTATGTTTTTATTTAACATGTACAAGTTATGTTCATGTTATCTTGACAAAAATGTAATTCTCTCTTCCTCTTAGGCTTTTAGGTGTGTCTTTTACTTTTCTATATCTCTTAACGAATCTCTTAATTGTGTCACTGCTCTGTCTGTGGTTTAGTTGACACCCATTATGTCATACAAAAACACAATGCTTGTCCGACTTTGGATAGGTGATAATCAACTGCTTTGAATCAGTGTCAGTTATTTCCTGTTAATAATTCTGATTGTGAAGATTCACACGCGTACGTTTTTTTTTTGTCTCCACAATTGTACTCATCTTTGATGGGTATCAGGACCTGGGTGTTCAGAAAAGTACTAAAGTTATCCTCAGTTATTTTGGGGTATGAAGGGTTATGCTTCTCTATTGCTCAGATCTCTGTTTTCATATGGAAAATTACACCCCACGATGGTTTACAAGTGGGGAATTTTCAAACACCCTCTTCCTTTTTGTTTCCATTCATGACCGGTTTCTATATTACACAAATAGTATGCCATGATTCATAACATTGAAAGAATAAATGGCTTTCTTATCAGCTACTGATGCTTCATTTTAGATGTTGAGCAGGAGAAACCGTGCATCGACTGAATTGTAAAAAGTGTAGAACTAAGGTATTTTTGGACAAGTGTTTAAATGATGGTGTGGTGTGGTGTTATGACCACAATGCAAGAGGATTCCTGGTTTGAGTACCTTCTTGAGTGGTGTCTGCATATTCTTCTTCCCCCAATCAAACATTAAACTAATTTGTCTTGAACTGGATGAAGTGGTTATAGAAAATGAATGACTGGGTGATTTGTGTGTGAGCTGTGAATAAAGTATTTCCTGTTTAATGTTTCTAGGGAGCTGAATTCATCAGCAATGTTGGTTATGACACCATCATTCAAAGACTCAGCGAAGGTCGGAGAACATGCAAAGACATGGAGGAGATCCTAAAACTGAGGTTTGCTTTTTCATTTCTGTTTAGCCTTACCCAGATTTATATGATTTCATCATTAAAACAAGGTCAAGTTGTGTCACCCTTCATCTTCAACGTAGGGCATCGGCTGAGGATAAATATGGGAAGGAGCTGGTGGCAATTGCTCGCAAGGCGGGGGGTTTGTCTGAGATTTGGTAGGTGTGTGGTTGTGTTGAAACAAAAAATGTTTAAACTCCCAGTTCAACAGTTTCCCTTTATGGAGGTTAACCATGCAAAGAAATGTTGTGTTTTGTGATTAATTTGTTCATTTTGCTTCTGCAGCACTTTGAGGGTATCGTTGGATGAAATGAAAAAACGTAAGAATGAGACACAACACACACTCACTGATTCTGCCATTTCTGTTTAGTTGCTGTGCCTTTATATGTTGTTGGTTTTCAGAAATTGAAAACATTGGCAACCTGCACATTCAGTTGTCTGGGCTCCTGAGGGAGGAGGTGAAGAGAATGGAGGAATTCAGAGAACGACAAAAAGAACAGAGAAAAAAGGTACCAATTGACTTGCAGCTGTTCTTTTTGCACAAAGAGGAAATAAAGTTTCTTTGCCTCTAAAACAACTGTCTCTGCCAAATAGTTTGAAGCCATCATGGAGAAAGTCCAGAAGACAAAGGTTTCCCTTCACAAGAAAGCGATAGATGTAAGGATCAAATTCATGTTTTCATGATGATTGACATCAGAGATTCACTGTAATGCAATTAGATTATCGTTTTATCTTAAAACCTGAATATTTAGTCTTTATTGATATTACTGTTGCAGTTGTACACCAAAAACTACAAATGTTAGTTCTGCCATCTTCTGCTTATATTAATGGAAATTACCTGAAATACTGTGGGACTTTTTAAAGTGAATCTATTTTCAAAAATATGAACTTGCATTGCTCTGTGTTTTCTGCATTTCAAAACCTAAGCATTTTTCTGCTGAGAGGAAGGAAGTGACTGATGTTTTTTTGCTTCTCTGGTTGCACATGCGTGTCATCTTTCTCTTTCAAAGCAAAGTGCTCATGAACAAAGCATGGATGTGTTAGTTTCAAATGGTGTTGCTTTCTGCACTCAGTCTAAAAGATCCTACGAGCAGCGCTGCAAGGAGGCAGATGACGCAGAGCAAACGGCTGACAGGTTGGGCAACGCTCCTACAGCCACCCCTAAACAGATTGAGAAGGTACATGTTCGTTGCTGGTATGACTCACCAAATAAAAGACTCTTCTGTTTCCTCTTAAAATCTAACCCGAATAAGGAAATATTTATCCATCTTTGAAGATATCCATCTTTGTGCTAAAACTCAAGTTTTAGCACAGAAGCTCACATATCTGTAAGTGTAAGCATCTGTAAATGAAAGTGTCTTTTTTAAAGACTTACAATTTTACCCGTTGAAGTTCCCTCAAGTCTTTCTCAATCAGCGTTCACAGCCCTGCAAAGTGTCACTAAGGAATAAGCCTCGAATTAATCAGCAACAACCTAGTTAATGAATTCTTGAATTTAGTGCTTGCAGAATAACTCAGAATCATCAACTATTTATCATTCAGTCGAGAAAAGGACCACGCTTTAAATGAAAAGGTATAGGTAGTAGTTATAGGAGTGGTCATGCACCTCACTTACCTTAAATGCCTCAGGTAAGGCATTAACTTGTAACTTATTGATTTAATTAGTCACCTATGGTTGATTTCAAAACATTTACAAACCAATCACAGTGCAACATTTGGTTAGATTTGTGTCACTGGGTTTTTTTTCAGGTCACCATCTGTTATTTATAATTAGCAGAAGTGGTCTCTATTGCTGTTTCTATTGGCTTGTCAGCATTAACTCTAAAAACCAGCACGCTAGATTTATTGAAAGTTATTTGGAGGTGGAGCATTGATTCAGATCACCTCGTAATATTATCAGAGGATTGTCTGTCATACACACAGTCAATGTTTGAAAGTTAGTTAGTCAGTCTGAATTAGGAAACGGACAAAAAACAGACAAAAACATTGTAGTAAAGTAAGTTTTGCAGATGTCACTCAGCTTGCTTTAAAAAGTCTTGTGTCAAAATCTTACACAAATAAAACTAGTGTGTCATTTTTTTGTCCTCGTTTCAGCTGAACAACAAATCTAAACAGTGCAGGGAGGCTGCAGAGGAAGCTGGTGAGGATACATAAGCTGTCCGGTGATACACAATCTTTGTGTTTAAAAAAAAAAAAAGAAGTTTCCTGTACCCATCGGCTGGGGTTTACCAGAAGTATCTTGGTCAGAATGCTGGTTTAACGTGTGTGTTACTTTGTCTCTTGTTAGAGAAACAGTACAAGTCAAACATCGAACAGCTTGACAAAATCCGTCAAGAGTGGGAATCAACACACATTGAAACATGTGAGGTATGACACTTAAAGCTATATTTTCTCTCTTTATTTGTTTAAATGTTCTGACAGAAATCAAAAGCAGCAACGCCTCAAGTCTGTCCTGCCTGCGAGAATCTACTTCCTATGAGCAGACAGATTGGGCATGACTCATCTAGAAAACTGTTTCCAGGCAACAAAGTATTCCTTTATGCAATGTTATCAACAGATGCAGGCATTCACTGAGGTTGAACGTCTGTTTTGGGTCATTTGATCTGTTTGCAGGCAAAGACAAAAACTGAAAACATGAATACAGAGAGAGAGACACAACCACACTGGCATATCTGAATGAAGTGCTAAAGACTGTGGCTTGAAACCTTTATGCCAACAGAAAAATAGCTTGTGGTATTTGGACTACAACATGTTTTCAGCACTTTCTAGGGTTGTTACTAGCCTCCTGTCAAACTTTTGTTCTAAAGATGTTTCAGCTGCAAGAAGAAGACCGCATCGGTGTGTTAAGGAACGCCTTGTGGGTGCACTGTAACCATTTATCAATGCAGTGCGTCAAAGATGATGAGGTGGGTGTTGTTCTACTTAAAGATGATCTGGACAGATAAGTCGGAGAGGGATGTTTCAAATACGCTTTGGATTAACTGTCCTTTCAGTGTTATGAAAATGTGAGGAGAATGCTTGAAAACTGTGACATCATCATGGACAACAATTCCTTTGTGGATTTGAAAAAGACCGGCTCAACACCCCCAGGTAAACCCTCACCCTCCTGGCTTCCTGATTAAGATTTGAATATGTTCCATGTTGAGAGATCATTTAAATATAATCTCACAGCTGGGGAGTCGTTACCTCTGAAAAGGAAGTTTGTTCTCCTTTACTGAATTTCAATGCTCTCTTCATCTTCTCACAGCTCCAATTGAGTACCAGAATTACTATGAGAGCAATGCTTCATCCGAGAGGAATGGCAGTGCTGGATTTGCAGGAGGAGTCATTAAAAGGTTGAATGAGAAGAAATAATCCCTAAAAATTCAGACTTTTATAACTTATATACTTTTTGCACTTCACTTACTGAGACTTTTCCTCAACTTGTAGGTTTTCAAACTTTCTGCAAGGGAACTGTACCAGTGGCTCCAAACAGAACATTAATGAGTCACTTCCACAATCTGCTGGTACTGTACCAAACCTCTGCAACAAACACATATTTGTAGATTACTGATGAGGCTTTGAATGCATCATGACCCTCACAAATATATGAATGCAAAATACAAAGTACCTTCTGTAGCTGTTCCTCTTTTAAATATTAAAATGTGCATTTTTTCATTTTGAATGCAAAATTTAAAGACAAAAACTGATGACCAGATACTTCCTCTTAGAAAAACTGTTTTTGTTGATGAGGTCATTCTTTAGATTACCTTAGAACACTGTGTGCTCACATTAAACAGAAAGGTTGGGGTCTGATCAGGTGTTTTTAACACATCGTTTGTGCTCTGGTAAATGCTGCCCACAGTAACTGAATGTCTGTCCTCAGCAGGAACATCAGATGGCGTATATGCTTCCATTCCTGGATTTCAGGCACATACAGTGAGCACTTTGGAATACAAGGCTGTGTATGCCTACACTGCCCAGGTCAGGTTCTTGACAGTTAGTAGATGAGTCAGGATGTCTGTATTCACATAAATTATAATTGCATTCAATCTATTGGCTATTTCTGTCCTTTAGGGGGAAGATGAACTCTCGCTATCTGCTGACGACATCGTGACTGTCATAGACCAGGGTGAGGATGGTTGGTGGATGGTGCAGAGAAACGGCTCTACTGGACTGGTTCCAGGTTCTTATCTTGCAAAGGAGTGACTGTGCCTGACAGCATCATGCAGGAGCCAGGAAAATTCCATGCTTCATTTGTAAATTTTGCTAAGGCCTATTCATTGACAATAACTCCTTATTGGATGTATTGTTTAGTCCCCTTTGAGTAGGTTCTGCCCATCTCCAACTATGAAACATGGTGGTAGCAAAATAAATGTCACACTGGACCTCCTCCAAGCCACAAACTTATCATGCGTAAACCTTGTTACTTTTTCACCGAATCATGGCACTAATGTTTATCCAGACTGTGGTTTTCTTGTAAATTTGTAAGTTTTAAACAGCTGGGCAGAGTGTTTGATTTCCATCGTTGGCCTGTGTGTTATTTATAAGAAATTAATTCAAGCACTCTGAAAACATTAAAAGAGAACGCTATTTAAAGCTTTATTTGTATATGTCAAGTGTTTGTTTTTTTGTCTCCCAGGTAACAAACACATCAACATCTTTATTTGTGTTAAGAGCAGCATATATTGAAGTGAAGGATATTTTTACATGGATTATAAAAAGGATTTATCGGGCATGATGAATCAGGTGCCTGAGAACTCTCAACAGGTATCAGGTTACTCTGAGAAACTGCTAAGTTTCCACTGCTCAGCCACAGTGGAGTCATTTAGGGTTATGACTCTGTGGAGGGTAATTTAAACCTTTCTAATCTGTTATCTTACTGGGAATCTATAAATTTGACGACAGTTTGTTTTGCATTTCTCCACTGTTGAAATCTCCCAACCTCTCTTTTATTTCTCACTGATGACAGTTAATGATTATAAAACAGTTTGTGTCACAGAATGATAAATTAACAGAATAAAAAGAAAAAAAAAACATTTATTTTCAAACCTACCTTTACCTACATATTTATTTTTAACCACATACACATTACCACAACCTTGAGGCTGTTCAGACTGAAACAAACAGCTGTGAGATAAAATCTATTTTGAGATAAGAATGCACTGCCACAAAAACGCACACATGAATATCGGGTTTCTTTTTTTTTTTGTTGGTTTTAAATAAAGACTAACCAAGTAAAGGCTGGTTAACTTACAAAGAAAACACACAATGACATGCAATGACATTAAAATGCGCTGTAGTCTTTTTCTAATCAAAGTTTAAGCCATTACAATGAAGTAGTCATATTGTATGGTTGTAGCAAGAGTTTGAACAGTGAAAATACAAACTATACTAAGTATGACATTCAAGTAAATGATGGGTTTGAAAATAAAACTGAATGCATAGTGCAAAGTATCGGGACAAATTTACCCTGCCCACAAGTTTGAAACTGGTAAGAGTGAACTACAACATCCTCATGTCAGGCTGACAGTAGATAAATGTTCTCTTATTCAGTAACCTTTAACAAAATTGTCCAAAAGCTTTAAAAATTTCAGATTGAAAAAGTTATCGGAAATAATACAATAATGAATATTTTTGCGGTGGTTAGAGTGCTATGGACTTCCTGGTTAAAGATTAGTTTATGCTGTAGCCAATGACGACTTCTGAAATGGGTCTAAGTTGAAAACTGCATGTGAGCCTTTATGCAAGGGTGCCTCCTGTAATAAGAGGCTCATAAGGAGGATCTCTGCTCCTGCGGCACAGCACCACACCAGCACACAGCATGCCCAGCATCTGGATGGGGAGGGGAATTAAAAAAACACAAACTTCATAACTAAAATATCCTATCACATTTCAGTTAGCTCCCCACACACAGTAAGGCCTCGTTGTGCGGATTTTTAGCTAATTCAGTCAGTAGTAGTACATTTAACTTAAAGCTAAAACTTTAAGTTCCTATGAGTAAGATGAAGCGCAAAATAGTTGTGAAACTGTGCACTTTGACCAACTTGACACTCACTGCCTGTGGGAAACAGATAGCTGCAAAAAAAAACAGTTCACACCAGACTGGCCAGTGTTAAGTTTGTCCCTTAACCATGACGGTGCTACATGGGAGAGCGAAGAGTCTGTGCAAACCCATTCTAAGAGAAAAGACAATGCACATACCTCCCAACAATTTTGCTGATCTCTTCATTCTTTCTCCTCTTTGGATACATATAGTGAAAGATCGACTGTCTCAAGCAGGTAAAACAAAAAGTAAAAAGCACCTGTCTGTGACTCACCTGATTGCAAGTGACATACAATTTACAACAATGGCAGCACTTTAAACAATCAAAATCAAATACTTGCAATTGTGACTCAATCTGAGAACCTGTGGCCATTTTCTGTGGAGAATCCGATGCTAAGATAATGAGTTTTTAAGCTGGGGCCTCCTGCAGCTGTCACCTTTTCCATCCATCCATTTCCGTTAGCGCTTATCCCCCAGTGGGGGACCTTTTCCACGTAGGTCATTCAAGATGAAATGATGCGGGCAAGGCCTAACCTACCCTCCACTCTTACTACATCAACATTTCTATTTGTCCGTCCTTTTCCTATGCTGCATTAATGTTTTATTAAATGAAATACCTGGATGGCAGCAAATGTCAGTGCAGTCCAGATGACATACATCATGATCTCCTTCAACTTCTTCACAACTAGAGCCTCGCAACCCTACAATCACAAAATAAATCAAGCGTGTGAACAGATGAGAAGTCGTTCTTCTTTTTTTTTTAAATTACAGTTTTGGAAGTGGTTTACTTCTTGGTAGAGATCCTGGGGATGAGAAAGGGATCCTGTGCAGCCGGCAGCGCTAGCGTTGCAACAACTGATGGGCACACTGTTGTTTTTGGATTCTTCATACCAGTGCGTGTGCTCCCAGTCCGAGTAGTTGTGGATCCCGCAGCACTGAAGCTGTCCATGAAAAAGAGACAAAGTCAGGAGCCGTGTCATTAAATGGCCTCCAGTGGCAGGCGATGAGCAGAGGAGCGGGACTGTCCTCACCTGTCTCTGAACGTAGTCGATGGCGCGGCTCTGGGCGTTGCTGTTGGTGCCATTGTACTCACCATAAACCTTAACAATGGAACCATTTACTTCATCTTCAACCTGGAAAGGGGGACACCAGCCATTACTGCAGGATACATACCACTGGACACAAGCTCGTGTGTCACGGAGGGTTAAGCAGGGGTTATCAAAATGAGCAGCTCACCACCTCAGAAGAGTCCAAGAAATACAAACACAACCATCTTACAGGCAACTTTCTCACCTTTTCTCTGTAAACATAGCCAAGAAGAACCACTGCCATTTCGGTCATGAAAACCAGCAGAAGAAGGACGACAAACTGACAATTGAATTAGAAGACAAAGGAAACGTGAATAGCTGACACTTTTACCTCCATCTTACCGATTTTACGTTCATTTCTACTTAAGAAACATGAGAAAATGCTTTACGTGACTGGAGATTAACAGACATCTGCACTGCCATAATGCAGCCTGACATTCACATTAAGGCTGTTTGAAACTAAAGCCGAGAGGCGGCTTACTGACCGCTGTCAGTCCACAGTGGCTCTCTCTCACTGTGGCGCAACAGCCAATGAGCCCAATTATGAACAGGAGGGCTCCCACTGCGATGATGGTCACTGCCGGGATGAGGGTGTACACGTCTTCGAAGAAGTGGTCGTAGTCGTCGTATGTGATGAAGACGTATGCCCCAATATAGCACAAGATGCCAGCAGCAGCCTGTAGTGAGCAGGAAATCAAACCAACAGCATTAAACACTGAGAGAGTAAAAACCCACATTTCTTTTTTCAGCCACAGGTTTAGGTGACGGTGGGGATTCTACAGCAGAGGCTTTTTAAACCTCTCACCGACAGCATACATGATATACCATCTCAGATGACCCACTCATGGAATTCATTTTTGGTGCTGCGTAAACCGTTTCAGGATCCCAACATTTTCCAGGACTGCGTAGGGCCATCTTTACAGGAACCATTCATTTGAAGCTATTGTAATTTTTGGGGGGATATTTTCAAGTCCCTTTTAGGGATCTGCTGTCAAAGTTTTTTCACTCACTCAATTACAAATAGGCTTAGAGGTCAAGGGGTTTGAATAAAACAGGTCACTCCAGAGAGAGGGAAGTTTAAAGTTACCTCATCAGGAAGCCTGCTGCTACCGTTCATAATTTATCAAGTAAATGTCCCAGTATTTCTACCCATTTTGTCCGTTTATTTGAATCGAGTTACACAGAAAAAACTAAAAGCCCATTGATTACAAAATGCATGTCATTTTTCATCACTCCAATGGAATTTATTTACACATTTAACAAACTGGATGACCTTAAAAAATATACATTCTATCACTTTACTTCAGTCTTTACCGAAACGCATTGTTTAGCAGTAGGATTAGTAGGATTTCAGTGCCGAAATGCTTTGCCAAGTTCTCACACGTTTGCCACATGTAGCAGAGTTCAAACTGTTTCTTCAACGTAGGTTTCTTTTCTGTTTTACACCCACATAAGTGGCAGCGCAGGTATGCGTCCGCTCGTGACCGCGGAGTGGCATTTAAACATTTGGTCGCGTAAAATAACTGGAGCTGGCACCGATAGAAAACAAGCTCTCGCAACTTCTTTTAACAAACAGAGCTCGGCCTCATTCTGAGATCACAAAAAAGTCGCTGTAGCATTTTGCTGAATCATTTCCCCCTGCTGCTCTGGGCTCGAGAGATCGACTAATAGCCTAACTTTAAAAGGACCTCAGGGTCGTATCAAGCGTACGCGTGTCGTAACGTGCATCCGTATTTACATGGAAATTAGCCTGAGTTATGACATGCAATTCCATCATGGGCTGTTTATGAAAATGTTAATTTGGTAATCTATTACTTAAAAAAAAAAAGAACAGCTGCTTTAGCAGAGTGAGGTCGACTAGCCGCGGTGTGCATGACGCACATCTAAAACCACCGCAAACCTCAAAACATACCCAAAATATCAGGTTCAGAAATACCAGGGCCGTCTTCGAAGACGTGAGGCCGCACGGCCCCATCTTCAACACGGGGCTTCAGAGATTCTACTGACAGGAAATAAAGAAGAGCTCTACTGAGACATGCCCCTGCAAGCCCCGCCGGCGGTGCGCCATTTCTTAAGTCCGGCGCACCGGGCGCACGACACGCCTGCACAGCGGGGGCAGCTGCCAGGGGAGGAACAGCTCAAAACCCCCGAAAAAAAGCCTTCACGTTCAAGCCAAAACTCACTCTAATGCATTTTGCTTCGCTGGCGTATTGCAGCAAATGTTTATATAGGGTATGTTAGCAGAAAAATAAAATAAAAATACAGAGGGCAGTGGAAACGTGGAAGAGGAAACTTTGTGGACATCTAGCGGCAGAATGCACACTGACGTTTTAAGCTGTTGTGCATAAAACATGTGTAAAACAACTCCAAATTGATATAATGTACACCACCAAAAAGAGTATGAGGAACCTTAACCCTGTTTTGGTTTAAGAAATTGGACTTAATTGAATTTTTATCAAATTAGAGTGGCAGAACTTTTTTGTTTTTAATGTGGTCACCTTATGTGTGTGGCATAACTGATACTAACCGTTTAAAATGGATACTAAAAGATTAAATGGATAATAAAAGACATTATGTGAGATATATGCTTTTATTGGAACTATTTAGATGGTGCATTCTCTTCAAATGACAGCAAACTCACGAACAGAATTGGGATCAAACAACCCACAGCAAACAGATGTTCAGTCATATTTAAAGGACAAGTGTTTATGTTGTAGGACAATATTCATAGCAGCCTAAACACTTTATCTAAGTGCTGTCAAGTGAATCGGCATTTCTGGCAGCGGGGACGCAGAAGTCGGCGTGCGTACCACAGATTTTGTCCCAGTGACTGAAGTGTGGAGCAAAGTTAGTGTTGGGTCTCTGATGGTGCACGTCATGTTTACTCGGGCCTCCGTAGAGGCCAAATGGTACCAGGCGGGATGTGGACCAGGGAAAATCATACCCGCAGTGATCCTCCACGGAAACATACACATGCGACACCATGAAGGCCCACGTGGTGAGCAGATGGCACCTGAGGACGACGGGATTCAGAGTGGTCCAGATGCCCACCGTGACCAGCTCCCAGCCCCCCAGGCACTGGGTGGCCAGAGCAAAGGGAGACGGGTATTTATGGTGGATGGCGTGGAAGGTGACGTACAGCCAGCGGACTCTGTGGTGGAGCAGGTGCCAAATGAAGTACTGGAAGTCAAAGAGCAGAAGGTTGCCCGTCACGCCAGCAAGTAGGTCCAGGAGCGATGGAGCCCGGTCAGGAAGGTCCACAGGCGGCCGCCAGGCCCACTGGGCCACCGACGCTGGAAGCACAAGAAAGACGTGGTTGTACAAGGTGACTCTCCCACAGTGCAACAAAGCAGAGGCTGCTGGCCGACGGCCGGGTTGGATCTTGTGCCGCAGGAGCCACGGCCACTTTTCCCCCATAATGTCACAGATGAGGAAGGGAAGGCAGAAGACAAAATAGGAAGGGCTGGTCAGTATAACGGGGAAAAGCGGAGATCTTAAATAGCCGCTGTAGTTTAGCCTGAGGTTGTCCCACAGAGGCTGCAGAAGAGAATTGTTCTCCAAGTAATTTGTCCAGCAATCTAATTTCCAATCCAACGTATGCATCCTAAAGCAGTTCGAGGTCAGTCAATGTGTCAAAAACAGCAGCTTTGCTGAACCCTTCATCCCAAAAGTACCTGCTTGTGCAATGCTCTCGGTGTGGGGCATCTAGTGACACCCAGCACCACAAATTATTCATTCACCCCAGTTGTCTGGTGACTTGAAACTCTCTTTCCACTCGATGACTGGATCAGGATGGGGACGATTTTAGAAACAGACCCCCGATAACGCCCTGTTAGCACAGTATTAGCTCTCAAGGGGCTTTATTTACTGCTTCCAGGCATGCACAAAACAAGACAGAAAGAAAGTTGGCCCTGATGGGTCGCTGTCCTATCCCTCCCGGCCGATAGAGGGAGACAAAGAGCGAGCAACATCCAGAGCACAACACGAGACGTTTGACATGCCGCGAGCAAAAGATCGCATCATAGAGTCGTTTAGCCCCACAAAGGATCCGATTTCTGCATATCTGAGGTTAGTTGTGGGTTGGATCAGCGGGAGGCACGCGTGGGGCTCGCGCGTGTGTGTGTGCGTGTGTGTGTGTGTGGGGGGGTCAGAGGGTAGCCAAATAGCCTCATTTTGCCTCATAAAGGGGCTTTGTTGTGAACTTAGCGGTGTGTTCAGTCACACCACGGACCAAATGTGAAACATGACACAACTCCAGAGTGCCGCCGACGTCGAGGCTTTGATTAAAACACTGGAGGGAGAGTCGAGGACTAAGTTTGTCACTTTTTCTGTGGACCGACATTACAATGACAAAGGTAAAGAAACGAACGCGAATTTCATGCATAGTTGCCCACATCAATCTGGGATGGTGCCAACTTGAGTTGTTTTTCATGTGTGTTCATACTAAAGCTTTTTTTAAAATAAGAAAAACTAATGATGAGGACATGATCACTGTGCTGTTGCCATGACATCCGTAGTTTAACCACCATCTCATTTTTTTATCTGGACATTATTAACTCTTCTGGCATCCAATTAGAGTTGAGACTTTTAATTAAATAAACATCCTTACCTGAAAGCAGTCATTTAATAAAACTGTTTTTCATTGTCATCATGTTTGTACATTGTTTTGTTTTTACAGCCTCTTTTTTTCTTTGCACAGGGGTAAATATTAAGAGAAATTTTATTCACAGGGTTTCATGACCCTTTTATGTCACATGTACTGGGGATAAAACCAGCAAATGCAAATCCATCTCTGAGACAGGCGGGAGACCAAGAAGACCAAGGGGCACAAATATTAGAATTAATGAGGGATTAATCCAATCCAAGAAAGGGAGATGAGATGTAGCTCATTCCATCATGTGGAGATGCGAAAAGTGGAAACGTCATAGATTTAATAGAAGAAAATAGTCACGTTAACCCCCCCCCCACACACACACACACACAATCATTTTGCTATCATAATGTACATTATACCTTAACACCAATGAATAAACCAACAACGGTTGTGCATCATTGGTGGTATTTGAGGTATAAAAAAAAATAAAAATGAAACTTTTGCTTGATAAGTGTTTATAACTGTGTATTAGTCAGTCAATTAACGGATCCCTTCATATTGATACACAGATTGGCAGCCCTTACCTGTGAACCGGGTGCACTGGCAGTGGGGGGGCGGCGCCGGGATGCCAGCCATTCAGTTCACCGGGAATCCCTTCATGTTTGTCGGGTCGAAAAGGCTCGTCTGCCATCAAGGCAAGGACCTCGCCGTAGCCCAGAAGAGGAAGTATTTTGAGGAAAAGGCCAAAAAAATGGTGAGTCTGCTGAGACAAGCAGACGAGACTTGCAGGACAGCAGGAACATGCAGAAGCTTTTATCAGTTTGTCTGATCTGTCTATTTCTAGGATTGTGTTTTAGTTTGAGTTTTTATTCTATAATCTTGAGACATTTCTGCCAAATTCTTGGCAGCATTTTGTCTTTCCTCTTCCCTATGTTGCTCAATCCTTTTCATATTTTCAGTGTCAGTGAGGACCCTGTCTGCAAATATTTCTGAGCCTCAGTGAAAGTTGCTTTGACAGAGCGCAAATGTGAGGAATTCTTCTTTTCTGTTCTAATTTCTCAAATAGTTGGAGGACCACAGTTTTGGCCCCCAGAAATTCCGTCGACCTTCCACGAAAAAGGTGGGATGCCCAGCAGCCATATCGATCAGCAAGATTGCAACATTTCCAAAATTCAAGGTTGGTGGATTGAATTGCTCCGCCTGAGTGATGTGAGGGGATGTACTCGGTTGTGAATTCCAAACCTTATGAGAGCCTGCGTTTAAGAATAGAGGAGCTAAAGAAAGACTCAAATTTAGCTTTTTTTGTTTCTTGATTGCATGTTCCTTTTTTTTTTAGAATATGGTGACAAAAACATGTTTCAGAGAAGCTGGCCGTCATAAAAAAAAGTCTGGGAATGACGCTCTCGAGCTACCGTGATTCTCTGGGTTAACCAGCCTTGGTCACATGTGGCCCTGGACGTTGTGTGATGTTAGATGACCTTTCTCTCTATGATACTCTTTCTAGGTGGCAGAAAATACAAAGAGGAGTAAGAAGACCGCCTCTAAGGCTCTCAGAATGGCCCTGGAGAGAGATCCAGTGGTTTGGGAAACACGCTATGCTGTCACACATTCAAGCGAGCATGCTGGCCATGCAAATGGAAGAAACGGTAACAACACTGACAGTCCTCATGGGCCGATCTCTGTATGTCCTAAAACGCATCTGAGTAGAACATGTCCACTCTCCATTTGTTTACAGAGACAGATGGGAGTTCTCAGGGCAAACGAGCGAGGAAACAGGACCTGAGGAGGAAATGCGTCAAGCTCACCAAACAACTTCTGGACAGTCTACAGGGCATCGAGGACCAGCACACGCTGGAGCAACTTTCACAAGTTCTGAGCACCCTGATGAAGGACCTTGGCCCCCTGATTAGCAGTGCAGAGGGGAAGCCGCTCCACCTGGAAACCAAACGGGTCAGAGTGTCATCGGCCCCTCCGACGGGATCCTCGCAGAGGTGCATCGGAAGGCCCGTTCCCACGGATGTGGGCCCCGCTGGAGCTCATGCAGAGACCACGCAGGACCTCTCCAGTGAAACAGGCCCAGTTCCTTTCACAAACCTATGAACTGTTTCAGGGTTACACATTTAATTATGTGTTGATTTTAAAAGTAAAGATGTCGGAAATGTATTCAGAGATTCCTTTATATGCTGGTCTGTATCAAAGGTAGCTGTGATCATATTTAATAAAAGTCTTTTTATAAACATTTAGATAGGTCATCTTTAAATACTTGCCTTAAATTGGATGAACGGAATGTGCCATCTTTCAGCAAGTAATATGTATCTCCAGCAATAACGTCAACCTGGTTCGGATTGATGTTTTGTGCTGTGGAGGTTTTCTGAGTTGGTGTAAGTCTGAAAATGAGCTGCTGGAAGTCGGTAACAAAGATTGTGTTTGTTTCCCTCCTGGTGTCACACAAAGCAGCAGCCCTAGTTGAGGTTGTTGTTACATTGATGCCTTATTTAACTTCCGGTTTGTCATTTGGGTGGAGTACATTGAAGAACAGCAGCCACTGTAAATAAATGAACGTTGAACAGTAGGTGGCGCTGTGCGGCTCTGGTTTGAAGTAAATCTACAGGTCAAGCACCAGAAAAGAATCTTCTGAGCATGCGCACTGGAGGAGCAGAGAAGAAAATCCTCAGCGATTTTTGATACGTTATGTGGCTGTTTTGATCAGTCAGCTGACTGGCAGGAGCCAGAAGTCCACCTGTACAGTTTTGGATATTTAAAAACAGCCATTTCGTTTAGTCACAGCAAAAAAAGAGCTTTACGGTGACGCTGATATTTGAGGTAACGACTTCTTTTCACAGAAACTCATTTATTCCTGAATGAATGAACCAACTTTGGGTAAACTTAAGTTACTTTAGCCAGGTTAATATCTTTTTCCGGTCAGACCTCTAAACATCTGATCATCTTGGCGTCTTTATAGTTTCTGGTTTGAAAATTCGAGTGAGAGAACCCTTCCGTTGTAGACGCCTTACCCTGAGATAAAGGGGAATAAGGGTAGTACAGGAATTGGTCTTAGCTGTGCTCAGAAGAAGCCAGTCTGTAGCAAATGCTCTTTGTAGGCAGAGTGATGTTTTAAATGAGCAACGCCTGCCGGTTACACCTGTAAAAAATGAGTCGATGCTTGTCTTTTATCTGATCAATAAGTGGTACTCTCTTCCTTCTTCAGGTTCCAACAATGGAGACCAGCAGCGGAGAGGGAGCAGAGGTCAGATCTGGGTCAGTGTCTCAGACACAGCCGCTCTGCCGCTTCTTCTCACAAGGAAGACATTGCAATTTTGGCAAGAAATGTAGATTTCTGCACGTAAGAGATGAGGCGAGAGCTCAGGAGGGGGAATCCGGTCAGACGCCCGGGCGTCTGGACGCCACGCCTTCCGGCTGGCAGGTCACCGAGGCCCACAGGCCTCCGGCCCCTCACAACCCCAGGCCGGCCCCTCACAACCCCAGGCCGGCCCCGGCCCGCCGCCCCTGTCGCTACTTCCTCTCAGGCCACTGCACCATGGAGGACAGGTGCCGCTTCTGGCACCCTCCGCAGCTGCTTCTGTCGGACGGCCCGCCCGGGCCCACCGGTCAGACGGGGGCCGCGCCCAGGGGCCCGGCGGCGCCCCGACCCGCCGGCCTGCAGGAGGTCAAGCTGTGCGACATGACGGAGGAGATGGCCAAGCGGCTGCGGGACACCGAGATCCAGCAGCTGAAGAAGCGTTTTCCCAAAGACAGCCTGATCATTCAGGAGAGAAGCGACGGAAAAGTGACCTATTACAGGGCCACTGTGGAGCCCACTGACCCCGACTGGGTAACGCTTTCTTTCACCTTCTCTCACATTAGTATCTCTGGAATTTAGTGGCACATATACTTACTGCCCAGTTTTAAATGTGTGAACATGACTGAAACACAAAGAGAACATGTAAAATCCACAGATTTTATTATTTCTTTGGATAGACAATTTCTAATTATCATTCTCCCCACACTCTACACTCTATAATTGGTTTGTAATGCCAGCTTTCTGTCAGGATATAAAACTATGACAGAGACCAATAACTAGCTTTTATGAACAATTTGAGGCAAGCAACTGAGAAGTCATATGACTGTTGTACCCTTTCTTTATTATTTAGATATTTTTCCAGAGCTGTTTTGCTGTGTGTTGTACTCAATCTGATGTGTTTAATTTGAACTTTCAGCCTTTTGATCTGAAAGAAATTGACATCATGATGAGCTTCCCTGACAACTACCCCCAAGAGGTAAAGACCCAATTACTCCACGTGAAAAAAAAAAAAGCTTTCTTTGACAGCCCTTTAAAACCAGAAAGAGCAGCCCCTCATCACCCTGATGCATTCCCCCCTCAGATTTTCACGCTGGAAATCCCGCTGGACCAGGATCTGCCACCAGTTATGGCAAAGTAAAAACTATTTTAGTTTTTTTTTTAAATTAACCTGTTTGTATTTTTGGCATCAGCTGTGTTTCCATTCGTTTTCTGCACACCTTTACTTCCACAGACATGTTCAGGAAGCATCTCTGCAGTGGCTTCAAGCTAAGCATGCGACCAATCAGCTGATGGGAAAGGTAGAGCTGCTTTTCCGGCCTTTTCTCCGCTGGCTGGATCGCAGCCTGGAGAGACTCTTCATCGAGGGAGCCAGACAGGTGAGACTCCGGCCTGTTTGTGCACAGCAGATGACCGGAAACTGTGATCGCATCGCACCTCGCCCCGTTTTCTTTTTTACAGTTGAAAAAAGACATTGATCTGGAAAGAGCCGGACTGCAGTTCATACCCTACCAGGAGCTCCAGGCGACGGCGGGCGAAAACTTAGATTCTGCTGATGCAGTTACAGTGGAGGAAACCTCAGATGCTGACGGAAATACGGAGAGCGTGGAGCCAGAGGAGCAGCCGGAGACTCCGGGCTGGGATGAGAGTCAGCGGCAGGAGGAGGCGAGTCACCTGGTGGAGAACGTTAAGATCAGCGACCCCCGGCGGGGCACGGAGGTGAAGCTGCTGGGCCTGAGGCTGGGGGAGAACACGGCCACGGTGGTCGCCCCGCAGATCACCGTCTGTCTGCAGTGCAACCGGTGAGCGGCGCACGGAAACGTGGCGTGATGTTACCACCAGCTCCCGCTCACGTGGGACCGATTGAGATGGGCGGGTTTGTGCCGTCCGCAGGTGTAAGGTAACGGCAGACCTGACGCTCACTGGGAGGACGCCCTGCTCGGCTCAGTGCGAAAAGTGCAACGCAGACATAAACGCTGCGTTCAGGCCCTGCATGGTCCACCACTACTGCGACGTCCTGGGATACCTGGACCTGCACAACGCTGCCCCCGCGGACCTCGTCCTTCAGGACTGCGAGCTCTCCGTCGGATGCCTCAGCTGCTCTCAGGAGGTTCCCGTGCAGGTGATCAGTCACTGAAATCTCCTTAAAGATAACGTGAACATGTCCTTAATAGCGCTGACCGTCTCTGTGTTCTCATCAGAGCATTTTCTACGGGCAAACGAAGGAGTTCAATTGTGAGCACTGCCACAGCAAACTGAGCATCCTGGCCGAGAGTACGAGATTCCAGTATATTCCGCCTCGCACCTCGAGCAAAACAGGTCAGAGCTTAGTTGTGTGTCTGTGTTGAAAAGGGATCTGCAAAATTGGCTTTCCTACCAATCTCCCATAATGTTATTTAAAAAGATGCTCAGTGAGAAAAAAGGAGCATTATGAATTCCCTTAAGTGGCACAGGTCGATGGAGATAATGGGATTCTTACACTTTTAATATGCGCAGGTTCATGTGGTCCCAATTACAAAACAATAAGAGATCCAGCTGTGCAAAAGGGAAAACCTCTGCCGGAAAAAGGAACCTGCAAACATTACAAACAGAGCCATCGCTGGCTGAGGTATCCTCCTAAATCAAATCTTATATATTCGATCATTGGACTGGGAGAAAACATGTAGAACTAAGGCTTTAAACCCGCGTTCCCAGATTTCCCTGCTGTGGCCGCGCTTACCCGTGCGATGTGTGCCACGATGAGAGCCAGGACCACCCCATGGAGCTGGCCACCAGGATGATCTGCGGCTACTGTGCCAAAGAACAGGTAGGGCATTGATTCTGAATGACACTGCAGCCATACAGTTCTAATGACATAAAATAAAAGAGAAATAGAGCATTTCATTGGATGACACTTGCCTGTTTACCTGCACAGCCATACGGCAACGGGAAGCCCTGCATCAGCTGCGGGAGCATGATGACGAGAGGCACACGGACCAGCCACTGGGAGGGGGGACTGGGATGTAGAAGCAAAGTCAAAATGAACAGGTACATCTTTCTATTCACACCGAGGTCCTCACCAAGCAGAGGTTTTTGTGGGAATCATGGCCGGCTGCTGTATTCACCCTTTGATCAGCAAGTTTCTTTCAGACCCTGAATGGTTTGTTGTCCTCTATTTTCAGGAATGATCGGCAAAAGTATTCCAACACCAACAAAACGGTTTCCAGGAAGGCAGCCGGCCTGAAAAAGTGATTGGTGAAAAGGGGCTCTGAACCACTATGTGAAGCTCACATAATGACGAGTGACGGGATCTATTTTCACAATAAATCAACTTGCATAAATCATTCATTGTTTGAGGTCTGGTTTGTTTTATGTGATGGTAAGGCCTATTAAACCTTGAAGTTCTTTTTTTTTTTGCTTAGAAAAATACTTATTTTCCGTCAGTAACACCACAGTCGTAAAGTTAAGAAGTCAAAGTGGCATTTCCTGGTGAACTTTGCCCTCATGCGGGTCATAAATCCAATGGTAATGATTGATCTGTGTTTCACATCACTTGCAGTCTAATAAAGATAAAAGAAGAAATAAGATGAATGGTATTCCAGTATTGGGAAGGGGAGCTGAGGCTCAGCAGACACCGGAGTGCTGACTCACACTAAAAAGGGAACGGGAAAACATTTGAGACGTGTTGCTATGGCCTCAGTGGCAAAGGAGGATTATGCTGTGATGCATAGTTTCAATGCAGTCATGACAGTAGCTATGAACATAAGCTGATGATACAATTATGAACTATTCTCAGTATCTGCTTTTTGTTTTCCTGAAATTCTGACTTTCGCCTTAAAACTCATTTGTAAAGGGTCCCGTTGATGATTTGCTGCATCTGAAGGGAAATCATTCTCAAACAAATAAAAACCCAAAGTAAAAAATATTCAAATACATTTATTCATCACAAAAGAAGTTATAATAAAAGCAAGAATTAATGCTTTAAAGTTCTAATGAAGACTCTTGTTTAAATACTGGACGAACATGTTGGAAATCTGGCCCGTCTTGTCTGTTGGATGCATCTTGCTGTAGCTGATGAACTGCCGGCGCAGTTTGCGCAGCTCTGCCATGTTGACGCTCCTGCTGAGCTCCACGTTCCCCCTCCGGTTAAGGACTCTAATGTGTTTGTGCCGTTGGCCAAGTTTTCTGCTTAACTCGGGAGCATTTCAAAACCAATAAGCGACCCAAAGGATTTCAAAGCTAAGGCGTTTCATTTCAAGCTTTACGGAGGACGACAGAACATTTCTGACGTCACTACAAATGCATATCGCGCCCCCGTAATTGAAGGTGGACCGGGGCAGGAGAAAATGTGCTTTCAAGTCAGCATCCGCTCACACCAACATGTTCAAAGGAGGAAAATCAAAGTGCTTGCTTCTCTGAAAAGTTTAGTTTCTCCTTCACTAGGCACGATCCGGAGCACATTCAATTTTATAACAAACAAGACCTTTAAAACAGCTTGGGTGCCTTTAAAGTTTTTAGGATGGATGCACATTTCTCCTTCAAGCCTCGGATGTCAAAGTCTCTCATCTCAGAGCCTTTAGGATCAGGAAATGATTAAACTGAGCCTAGCCCAACTGGAATTACTTGCTTATCATCAGACCTTATCTTTAAGACATTACTGGAATTGAATTAAAAGGATATCTTTTCTGTGGCTCCTGGAACTGAGATAAGATCCCCAGGAACACTTGTCTTCTGAGCATCAAAAATAGCCTAAAAAACAAAGAGAAGGTAAATCTGGGAACTACAATTAAATTCTGATTCTGATTCTGATTCTGATAAACGGGGACCACTGAAAATGATGAGATATGCAACAAGTAAAAACATCTCCATATATGATGACAAATGAGGGACACAGTGGAGCTTGTTTTAGTACTGGATAGGAGCAATTATGTCAAAAACAAATACATGAGTAGAAAATAATATTGTTCTAACAATCAAGTCCGGCTTCTCTAAAAAAACAACAAAAAAATCGGAGTCATTCGAAAACACACAAAACAAATGTGAAAACTCACCATTAACACATCTTGTGTGATTTTGTCCAATTCATACAAGAAGTTTGCAGAAGACAAGGGTTGCTGCAGAAACAGAGAGCCATCTGTTACTATTGGGAGAAGGAAACATCAAAGGTCTGCTAGCAGCACACGCCCTCACGCTCTGAGTCGACTGGTTCGGTGGGGGAGCTTTTCGCTTGAGGAGCGCATCGGAAACGGCTTCCAGTGGTAGCGCGTCGTCTTTCAGGACGGTGAAGAGCGGGCTGTCCCATCTGTTTCTGGAGTCCGGCGCTTCAAACCTCTGAACTAAAGCGTCGAAGCTTCAACAGACAAAATGGACACGGCGAGTTACAAAAGAAAAAAGCAGGGCGCCGGCGTAAAGCTCCCGCCACGGTCCAACTGTCCACTCACATGTCCTGGCTGTACTGCTCAGCAGCATCTCTGTTCACGTTCCACGATGAGCTCTCTTCTGGCGATGTCAAACAGTATACCTTCACCAGATAAAGGGGACATTTCTGAGTCTGAGCTTTTAAAGAGACACTTTGTGGGGATAAGTCACTACTTCCTATATCTTACTTACCAGGCAGTGTGGCGTCTGTGCGTGTTTGATGAGACAGAACAGTTCATAGCGGTAGCCTGTGAGGTTATTTAAATTTAAACGTGACTCAAAGCATCTTCTTTTAAGAGCCAGTAACGTACCGTTTAGTAGCCGGCGTTTACCTTTGATGTAATTTAAGGAGTCCAAAATCACAATGTCCTCCTTGTTGACCTTTCTAATCAGCAAAGAGTTTAATCAGTAAAAGAGTGTGCCACAGAGCCGGCTGGCTTCTAACACAGACTGTGTCAAACCCACCTTTCTACCTCAGCTTTCAGAGATGCTCTGACATTTTTTTCCTTTTGAGAATCTGTAAAGCATCCAATAGGGTTAGATTACATCCAGGGTTACTTTATGGAAGATACTGTCAAGGCAGAGTCTTTGGGCACCTCAAAATAATCAAATGGGACATTTACTGATTGACCACTAAAACTTTATTAGAAGCCCATTATTCTCCCACTTCCAAGACCTAGAGTGTAAGGAACATGACAGTGGGGGTTCTCCTGAGGTTGATAAGATTTACGAGTAAGCAAAGGTTAAAAAACCCAGATAAGAAGTTTCCAAAGCATCCTGGTTTCTAGTAGGGAGCAAACCTATTTAGACTGAACTGCGGAGCAGGCCACCAAATTCATTTTAAAATTACCACCAATTTAACGTCCCCAAAAACTTTGTTAAAACAGATTCAAATTAAACCGAGTCGCTCTCATGTCTTGGACATGTAGCAGTTTTAAATGGTCAAAGGTAGAATGAGAAGTCACAGCAGGTAAGATAAACCAGCTCCACCTCGCAGCGGCGAGTGAAGTAGATATATATGCAATAACATTTACAAAAATAAATAACAGCAGCTACACATTTATGAATACGAATACGCTGAAGCCCCACACAGCTAGCTAAACTTGCCTGCGTAAACACTGTTTCTGTCAGCCCTCAGGGCTCCGTCTCCAACAACATGGACCTTCCGGCCGGTGTTTTCCTCAAAAAACGCCTTCAGTTCTTCTGCCCTTCGAGTTTTACCACTACAGGGATAACCACACATCACTATTAAGGGCATAGTGAAGGCTTGCTAACACACAAATTGAGCTCTGGTGCTGTGGAGAAACACGTTGCTATATTTACCCGGATATGCTACGTGCAGTGACCACCAGGTGGCGCCATTTCCACTAAACAACACTAAACTCTAGAGGCGTTCTGCTCTGGGTTTCTCAGGTGTTTGGATGTATTTTTTGTTTAAAATAAAGTGAGGGAAAATATGTGTTGAATGACATAAAAAAAGACAGGACGGACGAGGCATATAAACGAGGCAATTAAACATTTATTTAAGGCTTCTTTTTCACAAAAAGACACTCCTCCAGACCATTTTTTCCATTTTGTAGTGTACCAAGTGTTGGTTTTGGTTCATCTCAAGCAGGGTCTCCACCCTCTCTGTGAATAGGACAAATATGAGATTAACAGTCACTGACTAAACATCAACATAAGTAATATGATAATGATAATAATACTGATGCAACTGACATGTCCAGCGTCTGTTCTCGTTTTTGCTTTGCGCCTCTCAACATCCGGATGAGCAAAGTCTGCAGGTCCTCCACTTCATGCACAGGACGAGCATCTATAACTTCATAAGGACCACTCGTATTTTCAATGGCAGACTCCACAAAGGAACTATCCAAAACACTTTTCTTCCCCATGAAATGACCTATTAGAACAAAACAATCAAACACCAAAGGACATTTCCAGAAGCAATCACTACGCCAAAGCACTGTTCAGTTTTCTTACCTGTTGCCCAGAGGTTTCCTCGTGGATTCACCTTCAGCTTTGAAACCTTATTTCTCTGTTCAGTTAAGTCAAGAGTCACAGAAGCTGTCATTGCAACATAGGAGATTAGGATGAAAGAGGACAGGAATCCTCCTCTGCAGATCTTTGTCATGGTGCCTCTCGGTGAACTTGCTGAAATCTCTCCTGTTGTCTTACTTGGGGTGCAAACAGTTGTACTTAAATAGGGTGGGCTCAATATTCTAATGGGATGAGGTCAGCCATCTGTGGTTGCTGCTCACTGGATGCGTGACGCACGTTAAAGTGCCATCTGACGGCTGGAAGGTACGTGACCTCACTTCAAAACCACAAGCTGTCACATCCAAATACCATTAAGCACTCTCACCCATCGCATTCCACGGTTAAAGACATTAACGGTCACACACGACAAAAGGCCGGGCAGATACACAATTAAATGCACCAGTTTATTTGAATGTGTTTTACGTAAACTTAACAGCAAGGCACTGGGCCACTGCATGCTGAACAGATGTAATGGTTCGAGAAAAGCTGTGATTTCGATGTAGAATTGGTTATTTTATGTACACGGGTTGCTTTCCCATACAAGTTCTTCCTTTACACAGTATCAAAAGTACAAATATCTTCTTATCAAGCATTACAAAAGAGCAAATTGTGAAAAAGTAATTGTTTTCAGCCCCTTCTGGTTAAAAAGGCTGCAGTATGGTGATGCATATAGCACTTTCATAGAAAAGTTCACCTGTCAGATAAGTCAATATGACCATAAAGCCTCAATATGTTTCCCATAATAATTTATAAAATTCTATAATGTGGGATAATGCACACTTTATAAACTCTCTCTATTCTTTTTTTTTTACATTGCACTGAGATTAACAGCAACAAATCCTAACCGTTGAAATATTTGACAATCACTGCCATGTACTGTAGGAGGTAGGAACTGTCATGTGGACACACACTTCCCCTGAAATCACGTAGCAGGCAGTGATCAATCAAACACAATCTCCCTCATGTGTTGCTATTCCTCACCCTCACACCTACTCAAGATTACCTAAGACAATGTACCCTGATTTGACACAACACTGAAGTTCACGTGCCGGAAAGATACACTTCTGGCAATTTGAGGTATTTAAAAAAATAACAAAAATAACAAATCTGGGACTCGTCACTAACATATAATCTAACATGTTCCGTAGACATAAAGTCCAAGGTTTTAGAATTCGTATATAGGATTTGTTCACAGCCTGACTTTTACAGGCTTTCTTTAATACCTGTGAGTGTCTAGCATTAATGCTGGAAACCAACGTCTAAATGCACCGTGAACGATTCATAATAGAGAATATTTCGTAATTATTACTGACAAAAATAAAACACTTGAAATGCAAAATCTTTTTGCAAAAAACTTGTGGCACTGAAGACTTCGAATCAAACGTAAGAAAATTAAATTACCACTGATTCCAGTGGTAAACCACAAAAAATCACTATTACACCAACCAATGCCGGACGCTGCCTCGAACAGACATTCCTGAGCATCCTGTTGAGCGGGATGGAATTTGAGGAAAAGAAAAGAAACCAAAAAACAGCTACTTTGTGGGTGCTGCGATATGCAAAAATGCAAGATTAATACCAGCATGCAAGGTTAAATTAAATAAATGAAAACATGTATATGAAAATACTGCTCTTAATAAAGTATTATGGATCTTCTTGGATATACTGAGCTGTTTTTTAAACCCTTCATAGCTTTGCCATTAAAAACAGTCCTTGCAAAATCCAATTTGTGCTTCAACACCAGAAAGATGCAGAGCCTGCAGAGGAAACTTAAAACAGTGAGAGTATGCTTAGTTATGATTGGACAAAGGTAGAAATCCAACTAAAGTTACTGGATGTTACCACAGCATCAACAACAGAGAGCTAAACAGCCATTAATGAGGGGACTGCCGCATAGTCTTACAGTCCGTTGCATTTTATGACCTTAGACAGGGGTGGTAAATTCGAATAAGCCAGGGAACTTTGTGGACACATACCATGTGGACCAAGCACGCTCAGTTGTATATTGTGACGTTTCTGGGAAACTGCATGCCACGATGAAGTGAAGTTAACAACATAGGCTCTTTGCTGCTCTGATGTAGACGCATACATTTTGCACAACTCTCACCTGAAAACCTTAAAGGGGAACTGACACTTGAGTTGTGTTTAGATGACAGTCTGTGGCCTTAGTGCAGTGAGGACTTTCTGACACATGTGGAGAAGCTTCATTCTGACGTTCATCAGCCTCCTCTGATCTACCCTGACGCTCGTCCGGGTCCTGTCCTACAACATCTGCCTTCTCAGGGTCTCCCTCTGCTTTCGCCACCCTCTCAGGATCTTTGACTTTGTGGACGATAAAAAGATGTCTATTGAGAGACAGCACAGACGTGAAACACAGGCCACAGTGAAGGCATTGGGGAGTGTTTTCGTTCGATTTATGCTGAGGTATATGCTGCTGGAACTCTGTACTGTTAGCTGTGATGAAACCGCACTTTGAACAGCGGAACTGAGTTTTGAGACGTTTAGCCGATGGAGCCTCGAGGCCAGCCGGATCCTGGCAGGCAGCCTGTCCACCCCCGGCCGCTGGTGCTGGAACCAAGCCCTAGAAACACACCCAAGCACTTTAAATGAGCATTGAGACGTATCGCATTAGTTTTTGCGGCTTATTGTGAGTTGAATTCATTTATTCATCTTAAGACAACAAACAGCTACCTTGCCAGAAGAGTGTTTGTATTCCTGGAGGGATGCTTTGGGCATTAGAGAAAGATCTGGGTTTTTAATTCCATGCATGAGACTTATGTGATTCTTCAACATCACACTCGTTGTGAACGTTGTCTTGGTATTCGTGCAGTACCTACAGTTCAGAGAGAAACATTTATACAACACTCGTGACTAGGACAAGAGGGATGTTTCCATGTTTAGATTAGTTCTAAACGCACCAACAAGTGTAAATTCTCCTTTTCCCGTCGTGGTCAGTACGAATGTGTCTTCTCAGACTGGTGGCAGAGTTGAAGGATTGCTCACAGTGCCGGCATGGATACTTTCTCACCGACTGTTGACAAAGAATTGAAAGGGAAAATTGTAAAAAATCTAATAATAAAGGTGGGATATTTGTCCAAAGATTTAATTATGTACATACAAGTAGTTTTTCCTAATTTGTGGCATTATAACTTAATCTTTGCCGAAATAATGGTCAGTGCAAACTTTGGAGTGGATATATGAATAATTATATCCAAGTCAAGACTTTTGGGGGAACCGGTTAAATTCAAAGGGGAAAAAAAAACAAACAAACATCTAAGTACAGTCAGAAAATTGTGTTTCATTGGGTTGGTACCTCGCCACGACCAAAAACAGAAAGGACTCCATCATCCAAGTATGATAAGGGATTTGTTTACAAATAATCCTTAAACCTGTTCAGTGATTTACAGACAGAACATCCTATTTTTGGGGAAACATTTACAGCAATACATCAACAAAAAAACATGAAACCATATTCAAATTTTCCAAATGATTGTTTCATGTTGGGTAATTTATTCTTAAATGTTTCCATTGTTCTCGTTACTGCAGTAATTTGTTCACAGTTATTTATGTCCGATTACTTCTTAACCTATTCTTTATTGGTTAACACGCTCTGCTGTTATTTTGGCCCATCTAAAACACTACACCTGATGCTCCCTTACCTTTCCGTGGTTGACCTTTAGGTGAGAGGTGTAGGATTCCCGCTCGCTGAAGCACTGCAGACACTCGCCACACGTCCAGCCACTGGGTTTCACACGAGGTCTGCTGGTCTGCTCTGACTTTTTTCTCGGGCTCTCTGTGTTTTTACGGTGGTTGGGGCCCTCCTGCTTTTGAGTGGAACGAGAATCTCGGTGGCGGTCAGCCTTGTCTTTATCTTTAGTGTTGCTTTCCGTCTCTGCTGCAATGTTTCCTGTGTGGACAGCCTTTAAAACACAAAGGGAAAGGGAAGAAAATGGCAACCCAAAATGCATCACCTGTAACTCAGTGTTCTTGAACTCTGACAGCAACCAAAAAAACATCATTATTGAAATCAATCTCTGGCTAACCTTGAAATGTTGCATCAACAGCCGCTTTTGTGGAAAGACGGAGTTGCATTCTGGACACTTGAATACGCATGTGACTCGTTTGTTGGCATTGTGCTGGAAATGCTGAAAAAACAGCTGCTTTTTCTTGAAAAAGCTCTCGCACGAGCACTTAAAGACCAGCCTGGAAAAACACAAGAGAAGACGGCTATAAACAAGGGACAGAAATATGTTTTGGGGATGCTGGCAGACCCCATGCGCTGCACTCACTGAGGCGGCTGTTTCGCAGCACTGTGTTTGTTTTTCAAATGCGCCTCACAGCTGTCGCAGGTCTTGAAGGCCACTGGGCAGACGGAGCACTTGTAAAAGACTTCACAGTGTTTCTCTTCGATGTGACTCTTCTGTCCTTGTAATGTTTTGAACACCATATCACAGTGAAGACACCTGGGGGGCAGGGGAATAAAAGAGCGTGTCAGTTGGGATGAATCCCCCCGCCCGGTGCGCTCTGCGGGGTTACTTACTTGTACCAGGCCTTGCGGGCGTAGTGCAGACAGTTCTCCCTGACGTGCTTCTGGACGTCTGCGGAGCGGCACAGGGCGCCGCACTCGGGACAGCAGAAAGGGGACTTGTGTGAATGAATGCGCTGGTGAGCTCTGAAGCTGCATTTGTTGGGCAACAACATTGAGCACACTTTACAAATCTGTATCGGAAAAAAAAAAAAAAGTTAAACATTTTAAAAACTTTTCCTAAAACACAAAAAAAAAGAAGACGCAAATTTTAGATTTAAACTTACCAGTCCTTCCACATCTTCTGACAGCTTCTGGTAGTGGCCTGCCAGCGCTTTGTGGTCAGCTACCTTCTTGTTACACTCCACACAAAAGAGTCTGTACCGAATGACGTTGTCTGGATACAAGGGTAGGACCGGTTCACTTTTACGTGCCAACACTGGCGAGCCGTGGGAGCTCTCGTCCACTGGGTCTGTGCTCATAGGCGGAAACATATTCTCCTCGGATATGGGTTTCATGTGGAGCTGTGTGCACTGCATGACCATGCCGCTGTGTTTGTGCTCGCGTGCATGAGCCAACAAGGCGCACCTGTTGAAGAACACCAAGCTTTTGGCACAGTGTGTACAATCTACTTCTATGTGAACGCTCCTCCTGTTATAATGATAAGCAAGACTCCTCTCCACCCCAAAGGAGTCCCCGCACTCCAGGCAGCAGTAGCCGCGTGGTGGAAGGCTGATGTTGCTCTCCGGAGGGGGGCTCAAGTTGGGCACATAAACAGGGACGGGGTTAGCATTGTTTAGGAGTCTGTTTAAGCTTCCTGCGGCTGTGTTGGGGACCGAGGGACGGGCAGAGGTGCTGCTTGGCTTGACCTGATGCACCAAGGGGACGGTGCTGCAGACTGCAGGGGAAAGCGTGTGGCGACTCTGCTGGTGGGAGCCGGAACGAGCATTCACTGAGGCAGCAACGCTGTGAGGAACCAGGTTCAGACTAGCTAAGTGCACTGCTTTTGGAAGAAAGGTTGTGTTGGTCGTAAGGCCCGCTCTTAATGCAGCTCTCTTTGGGTTCTGCCCCTGACGGGCTGAAGATCTTTTAACATGACGAGCCGTGTTGTGGAATACTGTTTTAGATTTCCTTTTTTCCTCAGAGTTTACCTTGGACTTTCTGGGTAAAACCTTTGCTGACGATCTGTTTCGAGCCGAGTTAATCTTAGTATGTATCCCCACCACGTAATCACCGGGATGAGACTGATGAGGAGACACGTTGCAGTAAGAATCCTCGCTGATCATACTCTGTGATGGAGAAGATTCATAAGCAGAATGAAGCTCATCTGTTTCAGAGTCCGGCAGCACGCTGGTCACTGTGCGCTTGATCTGCCCAGACATGGTTTTTATTGTCTTTATTCTGACCCTGGGTATAGCAGGTGGGGACCCAGACATGACTGCTGGGGATGCTTGCCCACTGCTATCACTGCAGATGCTCACGGGGCTATCGCAGGGTTTTGACAAACGTTTTACCGTTTCAAGTGGACTTCTGGGGCTTCTTGGGGACATGGGCACTTTGGGGCTCGCTTTTAAGCAATCATTAGGAACGCTCAAGCATTCTCTGGGAATACTCTGCTCACTGGGATCATTTCCAGAATTCAGGGCGACTAGAGCCTCTAGGCAAGGGGACAGCTTGGATGTCTGACAGGTGACAGGTGAATAAGAGGCAGAAGCATCCACTTTGTTCCTTGAATTGCAGTTGGTCTCGACTAATGGCTGGTTACCGTTTGAAGAGGGACATGAGTTGCTGTCTTTAGACGTCCTCTCAATGGTATTACTGACACAGATGTTAGGGCGATCCTTGGTTCCTTCAGTGTTCTTATGACAGTTATCAAACATTGAAAGGTCCATTTGGTTTTGATTCTCTGGGACAGAAGGTTCCACTAATACCGGAGCTGTAGGAAAACTGGGTCTCTCTTGCTTTGAAAGCATTTCCCCTCTGCTACACAGGGTCTCCTCAGAATCAGAGCTGGAGACAGGACTAAAAGGGGAATGTGGGAGTGAAAATACTGGCGTCCCATCAGGTTTGTGCTGAGCAGGAGCCTCTCCAGGAAGCTCTCTTGAACTCCCCCCATTCAACACAGACTCAAAGGATTTGGGAAAGCCAGACTCCACAGGATCACCAGCCTCTTGTCCCCCGAATCCATTCTGCAATGCTGGTTCTGAGTGCAGCCTGTCACTGAAACCTTCCAGGGATTCTTGACGACTTGTGTTTTTTACTATAACGCTAACAACAGGGACATCTGATGCAGTGACAGATTGGTTGCCCAATAAGCTGTCATCCAGACAAATCCCTGTGTGTTTCAGTTGGTTTTCTGTCTCCTCATGGCTCCCCTGGATAGGCTCTTTGGCATCCAGTCCTGTGGCATCTGGAATATCAAAGGCTGCCAGGAGATCATCAAAATCTGGGGTTTTCATGTCACCCATTGCTGCATATTCTCATAAATCTGAAAAAACAACAACAACATAGTGTTACAATAACACGGTCAACATCTACGCAGTATATTTACTCCGTTCCTTGAAGCTTGAAGAACTATTGTCACGAAATACTTATTGAATAACGTCCTCACTGCTAACGTTAGCTTTACCTAAACAGCTAAGGTTGCTGTGTATTTCTACGGCTAACGTTTCCACTTTGCGGCAAAACATGCATCAGTACTGAACGCAAGCAACGTTACATTTCATGCAGACTTTTAAGCGGTTTGCATGATCAAATATCAGTCCATCCACCACCACAAAGTTGTCTGAGCTGCTAGTAAGGAAGCCAGCTAACATGACAGCCACACATATCGGAGCCATGGCAAGTTAGCAAGCTATCTTTGCAACGTATCGCTCAAATTATTTAGCTGAGCTAAATAACTTGGCACTTATTCATGCACATGGTGCTCACCATTTGATCCGGCAATGTTTAATTCTTTAATAAATTAGTTGGAGAGCTACTTAACTGTAGGCGCAAAGTGCGCATCAGTTAGGTTGTCCTGCTTAAAGGTTTCATAGCTAACCTAGGCTAAAGGCTATGCTAAAAGCTACTAACGTCAACTTGGATTTTCTATTTCCTGTACTTCCTGATTTTAACCCTCGGCACTGTCTTACAGGCCCGACGTGCTGCGTTTCACCAGTGTTGTAAATAAATGCTACAGTGGGGTTTCAAGCTGTCACGGCGAAGAGCTTTGAAGTTAAAACTTTCACTTGTAAATGTCAGTCTTTGACACATTGCACTACTGGCTCTGAATTAACAGGGTTAAGAATCCCTGGTGACAAACGCCCTTCTATATTGTCTTTGCCTGCTCGGTTTAATTGAATTTTGGAAGAATTTGCACTTCCATTACAGTATATTATTATCAATCAGCAGTTTAGACATTTTATGAGTCATTGGCATCACAACACAAAAAGAAGATGACTTTAATCCTCTGTGTTTTTTTATGTAATGGATATCCTGGTAAGCAGTACTGATACTGAACTTATATTTATTTGAAGGTAAAGAGGAAATTAATTTACACAGTCAATAAATGTTGTTTTTTATGAAGTGAAGCATCATGATTCATTATCGACTCTCGATCTCCATGCTTTTATAGTTGCACATCATATGCTACATAAAGTCAACTGTTGTTAGATAAACCGTTGCCATTATTTATTAAAGGGACTGCCAAGTTTCCCCAGTATCGTTTGACAAGGAGCCACAGGTTGAGTTTTTATTTACAAAACCCATTATGACATAAGAGACCTTTATGTCTGAATAAAAAATGATCAGATCATTAATCTTTGCTAATGGAGCCATAAAGGCCATCCAAATACTAACTGGACTCCTTAAGTCTAGCAAGTGTATATTTGTTATGTTCTTACAGACACCTGAAGCTTACATTGAGTGTGATGAAGCACAGTATATCTGTATTTCCTAAGAACCATAGATTTTTATGAGCAACAATGAACAGAGAAAACAGCACACATTGAATCAATAAATGCACGATAAAAAAAGCCTAATAATAGTATTTAGACTGTTTTGCAAGAATTTAGTTGACCAGAAAACACTGCTTAGAAACCAAAGGCATTTTGTATGAAACGATCCATGTCTTTATATTTAGATAAAAAGGAATTAGTCATAAAACATCAAGTTGATTTGACACAGCTGACTCCCACTGACAAGAAGTTGTTATGAATTGTCACCATTTGTGGAATAAATGCTGGAATTGAAAGTAAAAAACAATAGCTTTGGTATTGAACAAAACCTATTCTATTAACTGTCATCAGCCCGAAAGTTATCACCCAAAAAGAATTGTACGGTAATTATAAGTCTGCCCTTTATGATAGCTGCTCATTTGCTGTCATGTTTTTGAAGAGGCTTGTGATGTTTGTTTTTTTTCTGAGAAAGATAGCCTTTGCAATCGTGGGGATTTTTATGACTTACTGGATGTAAAAGAATGGGTGGAGCACACAGGCAAAACATGAACTCATTCATGAGTTGGCAACTCTCAAAGTACAGTCGAAAAATATCTGTGATATGTTCCACGTATTATCTTTGGTTTGAGCAGTTGGTTTCAGAATTACAAACATGCTCAACACAGTGCTGAATCAGCTTTTAATTTTATATTGAAACATTTTAATTGAAAACTCTGATTCTTCCCTGTGTGATGTACTTGCTTAGGGATCCAACCATAAAGTGGCTCTGTTAATTAATGATAAGACGTTTCATAGAGGGCAGAGTATACCTTCCTGAGGTGTATTTCACAGCCAAGCATTTGACAACTGGGTTTAGGAGGACACACAATGGGTAAGCCATTAGCTCTGTTTTTTCTTGAATGAAGCCTTTTTTTTTTTGCTGTTTTGAGCTCGTTTTTTCATGTATCATTTTTTATTTACAAGATAAGACCTGCCGACACTGGACCTTTTTGAGGTTTTTTTTATCTCAGTACACTTTATCTGAGTACACTTTGGCACAGTTTACATGTTTGGTATTGCTGCACGTTGGATTTGAAGCTGCTTTTCCTGCAAACTGCGGGATAGAAGTGAACAATGGTTCTGTTTTTCAGTGGAACAGAGTGGTACGCAGCTCAAAAATGTAAGAAGCACCAATGGAGTTGGCGTTGACAACCAGGCTTTTGAAATGGGGGTAGGTGTAACCTTTGATTTAAATGTATTTTTTTTATCAGCCCTAATCTTTTTTTTTTTTGCCATGTAATGCCTTTTTTTCACAGGATGACAGCCCTGCTGAGACCAACAGCATTAAAAGCCAGCCTTTGAAGTCTAAAAAGGGATTGGGATCTTATATGAGGTCTGTCAGTTTGAATGATCTCTGCCTTATAAACTAAAGCATGATTGGTTTTATAAGTGGGTTGAACTTGTAAAGCATTATGCTAATGCAGGGCTGATCTTCTCTGTATTGTATTATGTATTTAGTTCACTTAACTCTCACCTGTATTCCTGTAATATTTATGACCGGTGTGATTGGACTCAGCATTGATTAGATTGCATGCTACTTTTGATTTTTTTGGGGCTCTTAATACAAAATGTAGTATTTAGGAAAACATGTTTAATATGTAATGACAGTAAGATCTCTTCTGAATCATTTGTTTTGAACTACAGCCAAGTTTCCACGCCAATTAATGCAGCTGAAAATTACATGAAAACTCACTCTAAAACTGTGAAGTACATTGTCCTGGGAATACTTGGAGCAGGTAAACATAAGTGTTTATTCACCTGTGCTTTACACACAGAGGTTTTCAATTTAAAGGCTGTAAAAGTTCTTAGTTTGAAACAGTAAAATCCAAATGTTCCCTTTCCCCCCTCGGCAGGTTATGTGGCATACTTCATTGCAGCCTGCGTACTGGACTTTCAGAGGGCTACTGCTCTTGTAGTCCTGACCAGTCTGGCAGTTGTTGCTCAATCATATGAACTACTAAAGGTACACAAAGGAGAAAGCATCAGTCGGTGTTTCAGACCCGCATTGAGATGCTTCAAATCCAACTTGAAATGGCTAAAATGGTGAGTGGACTTAATGTTTTCACTTCCACTGTCTTTTGCGTGACATCCTATCATTGAACACATTTCTTTAATAACCAGTGGAGATGTGTTGCCGTTTTGTACTTTTCAGGGTTTTCATTGTGGTGGTTGTGGCCTTGCTTGTGGCGTGGCTTGTCATAGACACGAGGAAACGTCCCGAGCAGCTTATCTCATTTGGGGGTGTGTGCATGTTCATTGTTCTGTTGTTCCTCTTCTCGGCACACAGGGCAATGGTGAGTTTTACACGGAGTCAAGCACTCATTTCCATTACAGCTCTTGTGCAACATGTTTTTTTTTTTATCTGCCAAGTTATCTGTAGTCTATTTTTGCTGACACTTTGGATATCATTTGGCCTTGCAACCTTATTATCTTGAGATCTAGCTGATGCGTTTCCTTGTAATAACTGACTTTATTGAGACTCCATGACATAACTACTCTACATTGCAGATTTCATGGAGGCCGGTGTTTTGGGGTCTTGGGATGCAATTCTGTATTGGCCTTTTTGTCATAAGAACAGAGCCTGGACTAATTGCTTTTGACTGGCTTGGAAATCAAGTGCAGGTATACAATAAAATCAAAATCAAAGATACCATTAAGATAAGTCATTGGAAGGAATCATGTGTTTCACCCACAGTCTTGGCCCTTTTTAAATATCACCAGATGTCCACCCTTAATGAATTAAAGAACACATCACATACTAATCAGAATAACTGAAAACATTTGCTGTGAAATTGTTTTAATAGCTAATTAAACTATGAGTGTTTTATCTTTAATTATATTATTTTATTTTTATCATTCGTTAATGGCTCCAGATTGTACATTACATTTATTAATGAGTAAATGAAATTCTTTTGAAACACCATCCTAGATATTCCTGGACTACACCAAAGCGGGGTCATCATTTGTATTTGGGGACCTGATTGCAGATATTTTTGCATTTCAAGTAAGTGAGTGCGATGTGAAAAAAAGTTAGCTCTCGGCTATATTGTAGATGATTTATCTTGAAAAGGTTTAACTTCCAATTCATGCATTTTCCTCAGGCGCTGCCAATTGTTGTATTCTTCAGCAGCGTGATGTCAATTCTCTACTTTTTGGGAATAATGCAGTGGCTCATTTTGAAGGTAAACACGAGTAACGTACATGCTCTTGTGGGTCTAGGAATATAACTTGACCAAAAGCCATATGTTTTTTGTCCACACAGATCTCATGGCTTATGCAGATAACGATGGGAACTTCTCCCACTGAGACCTTGAGTGTGGCAGGCAATATATTTGTCGGCCAGGTACTTTGCATAAAGGCCTCACAACCCTTAAACACTTTTAATCTCTTGAATGAATCTTTTTGGAATACAAAGAATTCTCTAATTTAAAAAAATAATTAATTGACTGTTTTTATGACATTCATTTGTGTGTTTCCCTGCATGTCAGACTGAAGCTCCACTGCTGATTCGGCCTTATTTGAAGGACATGACTAAATCTGAGATACATGCTGTTATGACTGGTGGATTTGCAACGATAGCAGGAAGTGTTATGGGGGCATTTATCTCCTTCGGGGTGAGTTATTTTCATAAAACGTATGATAAGCGAAGATGAGTCACAAATTAAAAGAAAATAACGATTATTCTGTTATCAGTTCTCCGTATCATGAGAACACTTTTCCAATTTGGTTTTGGTGTTGCCAGTTAAAGAAACCCTTAAGAGTACCATTGAATTACACAATGTACTTTTTCCATAGTGGTAAAGAAGTCAAGTTATTCTTATAAATGGTATAGATAAAATCATACTTGTAAAGGATGGAAAATAAAAGTTAACCAGCATGGGAATTTTGAAGAATGTGTTTTATAAGTGATTAATCAAATTTAGGTAAAATTGGGGTTTCCATTTAGTCAGTTTGATACAAATTTTGTGTATTTGTTAGTGGATGCCCATAAACTGTGTGGAACAGTTGGTTTAATGAAGAACTGTGGATTGGACTGACCCTTAGTACACGGTGTTATCTTGTGGCCGAAAATAGGACTATGATTTGAATCACACGACTCATCTTCTTTTCCATGTTTTGACATATGCGGATAAGGATGATACTTTGAGTTACTGAATACTTTTTTCTTTCAAAACAGTATCTTTTCAATGCCAAGGAATTTTCAGCCTAGGTTTTGAAAGGTGAAGAACATTTAGAACTTATCAGTAGCATGCACATACTGAGAAAAGATCAGGACGGATTCCTCTAGTACAGTACAAGAAACATTTGTTCTTCCCTCCTTAGAGGAAAAAGAGGACATTCAGATTAGATACAGCCTAAACTTGTTGGAGGCGAATCCAGTTACCTTTTCTTTTCAGAACTCATTAAATTGTGTTTGTAAAATAACAAGTAAATTGTGCTACTGGCATCTGATGTGCTTCTAACACTCAAAAGCCATTCCCAAGTAGTTTATGAGATTTACTAATATAGTTTCATTATGTTCTTAACAACTACAATGAGGAAACTGAAACAAGGAAACAGATCAAAGGAGCAATAAAAATAGTCCTTGGCTGAAAGACATGCTTTGCACTTTATTCTATCTTACATATACTGTTTAAAGTGAGAAAAAAAAAAGGAAACATTTAGAAAAATTGGGAGAAATATTAATGGTGGCCTTACACTCTTAAACAAAGATGGTAAGATGGCCATTTCAGCATACTACTCATATAACATGTCCCTTTATTTTTCTTGCATTTTCTCAGATTGATGCATCTTCCTTGATATCGGCCTCTGTGATGGCTGCTCCTTGTGCATTGGCCATCTCTAAGCTGTCTTATCCTGAGACTGAGGAGTCTCCTTTCAAATCAGAGAAGAATATCAAAGTGTCTTGTGGGTGTGTGTATACTCTTTTTAATTACTCGTCACTCCATCCGTGATTTTGTTCTATCTCAGTCTTTTATCAGGCCTTTCTTTTTTCTCCAAATTTTAGTGATGAACAGAACATTTTGGAGGCTGCTAGCAGTGGGGCATCTGCATCAATAGGTCTTGTTGCGAATATCGCAGCTAATCTTATTGCTTTTCTTGCTATCCTGGCGTTCATCAATCAGGCTTTGAGCTGGGCAGGCGGCATGGTAGGATATCCTGAAGTGACATTTCAGGTATGTTAAACAAGACAAAAATGACTCATGAGCTATTTTGACATTTAGGTGGTAGTAGTAACAAATAGTATACAATTTAAATAGTAAAATGTTATGTTACTTTTTGCTGACAAATTTAGTCATCATTGAACTTGGAATTGATCATTTGTGTAAGACAAATCCCCATAATTGCATATTTTTCCTATCTTTATAGTTACTGTGTTCCTATGTGTTTATGCCCGTGGCCTTCATGATGGGAGTGCCTTATGATGAGAGTTTCATTGTGGCTGAAATGATTGGCACAAAACTCTTCCTCAATGAGTTTGTGGCATATCAAAAGTTATCTGAACTGAAGACCAACAGACTTAATGGACTCGATGAAATAATTGGGGGTGAAAGACAATGGATATCTGTAAGTAAAGGTTGTGATTTCAGGCATTTTAGGAGTGCAAAAATCCTCACAACAACACATGATAAACAGCCTGTTTATTCTTTCAGGTCCGGTCAGAAGTAATCACTACCTATGCTCTTTGTGGGTTTGCCAACTTCAGCTCTCTGGGAATTGTGATTGGAGGCCTGTGTGAGTTTTTCTTATTTTCGTAACAGTTCTTCCTTTATCCAGAGTTCTTTCTTTGTCACAACAGTATTTTCCTTACTCATAGCTTCTATAAGCCCATCCAGAAGAAGTGACATCTCATCCCTGGTGCTCAGAGCCATGATCACTGGGACTTGTGTATCTCTTGTAAATGCGTGCATTGCAGGTAAATCTCAAGAGTGTGTGTTTCATGCATCTATGGAGCATTATTTTGTGCTACTTAACTGCAGTTCTCACTTTGTTTTTTTCAGGAATCCTCTTTGTTCCTCCACTTGACTGTGTGGAGCTTTTTAAGGTTTCTGCTTTTAATAACACCAATGCAAACATTCAAGCTTGCTGCCAAGACCTGTTCAAAAGGTATGCATGCCATGATTCATGGGATGATTCTTCCCGATAGATCATTTAACAGAGAGAGATTTTTACAGTGTGCTTTATGGGTTACTGAACTACAGTGCTTGTACTTACTTCTGAAATGATCTCTTTTGCAGCACTGTAAACAATGGGACTGTCTCATTTGAAGGATCGTGGACCTCAGTTGCAAACGTCACAGTGTTTTTCTCCAAATGTTGTCAGTGTTGTGGTCTTTCTGATGTGGCGGTATGTATGTAGCAAAAAGAAATGCAACAGCTGGCCTCAGGCAAGAACATATTTACCACTTTTTCTTACTTTTTCAAATTGTGTCAATGTTTTATAACTGGACAAACAAATACTTGTTGAATTTCTTGTTATATGCATAAGAAGCTAAGGAGAGAATGGAACAACTACACAGACACTAAAGAGAGACCGCTACAGCAGATGGTGCAGGCCATCAGTACCAGACTGAAAATGCTTTGCAATGGTGATGAATTAAGTAATGTGTCAAGGAAATGAAGTGGACAGAGCAATGTGGAATTCATTGCCATTCATGTCTGTATCTTCTCAATTGAATGCAGCTCTATCAGGATTTCAGGTTGAATGTGTGCTTTAACCACTGTGGACCCATAATGCACTAGACTTTGGGAAATGTATTTGCAGTTGAAGGTACAACAAAGCTGGAAAACCTCACAAACCCTTTATTTAGCTAAATTTAAGTTCTTGCCTGAAGCCCTGTGTCTGTGTTTATACATTTGTATATTTGTGTCACGTTTCATGTAAAATTGTAAAGCCTCTATCTGTATGGATAAATGATTATTGTATCTACCAGGTATTCTTTTCTAAATTATTTTAAACATTAACCTTAATTTAAAGTGAGGACTGAGCTTCAGAAACCTAACTCAGGAATCACTCAGACATTTATCATTTGACTAGTGTAAATACTGAAAAATAAATATAACTGAAAAAATGTCAGTGTTTTATGTTTATTGGGAAATAGGATCAAACTTCAAGATATATTTGGACACAAATTTGATTTTACATATTTATTTAAAAAAGGCAGCTGACATGGTGCAACATACCAAATAGAGCACACAAAGGCTCTCATTCTGTCATTCACACACCCTCCCCCTCGAACATTTTTTTTTCCTACAGTTATTTAGTCCTCTGAACTTCTGTGCACATAAAACAGCAATTTCACAGTAAATAGCATCACGTCAATTTGTTAGATATTCTAAGGTTATTTAGAATATTTCTTCCTGTCTTTCTTTTTTGTAATCAATAAACCTCATTATAGTAAAGGAAATCATCAAACAGAGGCTTATGAGTGACTACTTTGAAGACTGTCATTAATCATTAACAAAAAATCCATTCTCGAAATTCCTGAAGTTTTCTGTTCTCCCCCAAGGCTTGTTATTTGTAAAATAGTTGTGACCTGAGTTGGAATTTAATCATGAATATCTATGCTGGAAGATGAGATCTAAAAGTTTTTTGTTATCTTAATGTTCACACATGTCCACTGTGAGGTGCTAAGTGTGCTAAGGATCGGTCTGTTTAGAAAACTCTCTTCTCTAGCTATATCGTGTAAGCTGAGAAAAAATCCAGTGAGCTGATTAATTAGCCTCTGAAAGTTCAGCCAGCTCTTCCGGGAGTGTTTGCTCAGTGTGCATCATTCTTTGTTTGGAACATATTTTGTGAGTGTTCATGAATGTAAACCAACTATGAATCATGTTTTTACACTCTCTTCTCTTAGCTTTGCCAACTCTACTGACCAGACCATCTTCTGTAAGAGGAGTGATTAAATATTCAGACAACCTCCATAATAAATAGACACAAAGTATTTAAAATCTACTGAAAACTATTTTAAAAACAAAGTGCACACAGACATTTGTAACCCCTAAAAAATGGTGCTGTTCTGCCACAGCATGAGCTCAACTTTGCTGTGTGACAAAATTCTGCAAAGGCCTTTGTAAGCCTAATATAGTCATTGTCTCTAAAATAATAGAGTAAACTTGTTGCTCTACACACCTTCTGTACATCACAGATGAACATGCAGTGTTCGCTAACAATGGTGCCTACTAATACTACATCTTCACTGTCTGTGGCTGTGTTCATTTACAGCTTAAACACAACTTACAATTCAAACACATAGATTTTGTCATGTCTCTATGATCTATTTGGCATGTATTGCTTGGAGAGTTGTAAGTCCACTCATGGAGCTGATAAGACTCTAATACAAGCATTTGAAGTTATTTGATTTATGTCAATTCCAATAAGTGTTTTCATTTCAATCTCTGAAAGCAGTTTGGCATCTATTTTGTTGTCATAAAAACACTCCTAACACTCTTTTAAATGTGCAGCTCTCAGGCAACAGAAATTCACAGCAATTTCAGGAGCAGTTAGGTTGACATATGGCTCTGCTTCTCATTAATCTTCGCAGCCTTTTTCGTTTTGATGCATTATTAGAGACAGGTATTACTAAACAACTAAAATTAATCCTTTTTTTTACCTCATCTCAGCAGAAATACTTTCAGAAGGCTTGGCTTTAATGCCTGATTTACTGTCATTTGTATCCTGAGCTTTTCTTGTCACCTTTGGGCTAGAATCAGCCTTCCTAGACACCTGCGGGCTCTGTCCTTTTCTCTGGAGCAGTGGACTGCTGGATCCTAGCTTGCGGCTGAGCAGGGGGCTTCTGGAGCCCTTTATCTTGGAAGGCTGCTGCAGACTGTCAGCTTTCAGTGAACGCAGGGAAAGAAGTCCACAGTAGTAGTTACACTGATGAAGTGTCAGGAACTGATCAAATATTTCTGAAGAGCTTTCTTCAGTTAGTCCTTGATATCTGAAACAAAGAAACAGCTTTAAAAAAAAAATCCTATCCATTTTTATAGTATGTGAATAGTTGTATAATTCAGTGACTGGTTACAAACCCTTTAGACTTAGAGACAACTTTAATGTTCGTAATCTTCGAGTCAACACCTTCAGAAAACAGAACAAAAAAAGAGACAAGATTTTTTTAAAAATCCATCTCACAGATTAATCATCTTTTTCTTAATACTGTTGTTTTGTGGCTTACCCTCCATCTGTGTGACCAGCAAATTGCCATGCGTCCACTGATGGATCCAGTGCTGGAAAGCGCTGCATTTCAGCTCAATCTCTGAAACTGTTCCTATAATCAGTTTGCCTTTAGCATCCATTGAACAATACTTAGCAAAGTTGCCTGTAAGATCAGCCTCCACAGTGGCATATGGCACCGAGTTTGCGGGCCGGTACATCATGTATAGAGGAATCACTCTGCAAATTGGACAAATTGATAGTGGGATGAGGATAAATAGTCATTTGAACTTTAACTGGTGTACAGTTACATAATAGATAAGATACATACTCTAAAGTCTGCCCAAAGTTTTCTTTAAGTCTTGCTTCCGCTGCAAAGATTTTACAGTACTCTCGGATCATGTTTTGGATTTTGCATTCCTGCCAGAACAAATAATTTAATTAAGAAAAAAAAAAAGCCGTGCATAACAGTTGTAATAACTTAAAATGTAACCCTACTCACCTGCTTGGTAATGTCCATATTTTTCTCTGTAAGGTTGCTGTCCTGTTTGGTCCCAAAGGCAATAGGGTTCTTGACTTTGATGATACAAGTGCTTCCAGACTCAAATACAGGATCTAGGCCGTAGATCACTTTCACCCTGCTGGCTTTGTGAGTGCAGCCCTCACCCATATGCAGCGTCTGAGTTAAAATGCGGCCAAAGTACTTTTCACCCCAGCTGCCAGCGTCTGCCAGGCCTTTGGTGAACACCAGTGGGGTCATTTCGATCTCCTCTCCAACTGAAGGAGAACAGAAAGAGACACCCTATAAGAATCAGTTTAGAGAAATTAAAGACAGATTTTGGTATGTAGTTAAACTAAGGAAAATACCTTCTAAGTCCTCTTTCAGTAGTATCTCAGACAGAACTGCAAGAACAAAACAATAATCCAAAATGTGAGTAGGATTTGTGATTTCATATGTACAGTACCTTTGGGACTAAGATGATCTCTCCATGCTTACTGTCTATGCTGAGCAGGAAGTCAGTAGTGTCAGTCCCATAGTCATTACTGATGGTGCAGCCATACACACCACAGTCTTGGTCAGATGCAAGAACAATGGCCAGAGCAACTTGACTTTCATCCCCTCCACTTAAGGACACAAAAGAAAGGAAAAGAAATGGAAAAGGGAAGAAAACAGACACTACACATTTTAATTGAACAGTATTAAGTTGAGAAGCTAATTTGCCTCGGATGAGATTTTCCCAACAACCCACTAGGTGTCACTGTGAGACAGCTGCTCATGTTGTTGTGGGGCGTTGTGCTGACACAGCACCCATTAGCACATATCTGTAGACTTTTAATGCAGCCTGGACATGGGAATATTCTGTGTCAGGTTACAGTTTCTGTGTCTAGCCAGTGATTCACGCCTGTGTGTTACAGCTGTGCGCTTCACAGTCATATGAGCAGGCCATCTTATTATTACCAGTGATAATATGAGAATGAAAGAGAAGTATGGGATCCCCTTGGAGGCTCAATTAAATCCGTAGGGCTATATTGTTTTGAATGGGTAATCAATTCAGTTTCTTTGGCCGTAGTAACGACAATAGTAACAAACCCATAACAGCAATAAGGGAATTTAAAAGTGGGATTTACCTTCTCTTCACCTCTAGTATTTCCTCCTCATCTTTGAACCACTTAATGGTGGAGTCACTGAGCACGTTAAAGAACTGGCACCACAGCTTCAGGTGTCCAGAGGCATCTGGGAATGGCTCTCCCCTTATCTTACGGATAACCTGAGGAGCTGGTGGTAAATTAGAGGGTGGAGGGGAAAAAGGGGTGGGTGGAATGGAGTTTCCAAGGTAAATATATACTGTAACAGAGACAGAGACCCTCTGAAGTTTTCACTAACTGAAGTGTCCTGATATTTCAGATCCTATTGTTTTGTCTTGATAATTGAATACATTTTCTTCCATTCATTTAATTTCTTACCTTTCAGGGGATCTAGTTTCTTTTCAGCTGGTTTCTCCTCTGTCTTAGTGCTTGTGGGCTCTACTGGTGGAGTGTCCTCTACTACCTTCGGCACCTCCAACGTGGCCCTTCTTCGACTTAACAGTGGAGAGCGCCTCTCCAGAGGTGGGGTTTTTTGTCCTGTGGAAGCCTGCAATAATGCCGCCCTGCGAGCTTGGCTGGGTGACATGTAAGGAGTCTCCTTCTTGCCGTCAAGCAAACCAAGAACCACTCCATCTATGTCGTCTTTGGCCTTTGGGATGAAGATTTTGCGTCGAGCTCCTGATGCCAACTCCTCAGGGGTGGCAGACCGGATGAGTGTCAGACTGTCCCTTCGTTTCAGCCGGGGACTGCTTTCACAGGAGAGAGATGATGTCGGTGTTGAACCTCCACTCAGATCTTCTTCAGCCTTGTCGCTCTGACGGTCGCCCCCAGGAACAGTTGCGTTCTCGTCTGAATCTTGAGCAGCTTTGGACATAAATTTACGGAGACTGGCTGGACTTAGAGATGGATATGTTGGGGGTTTGGAACTTAGTCTCTCAACAGAAGGCCTGTTTTTGAGGAAATCCTCAAGAGACATCGAATTCTCTGTCTTGGCATCTTTTATGGACTTTTGCTTCAACGTTTCAGGGACAGTATCGTCTTCTCTTGGTTTATTGAATGATGGTGCACTGCCACCAACTTTGTGTGTACGAGTTTCATTTGGCACCAATGGAGTGTTTCCTTTAACACTCTTTTCAGATATTTCCTCAAGGTCCTGTCTTCTTTGACTAGTTATTTCAGGTATCATGGTCATGTTACTGCCAGCACCCTGCTTTGTTCCCCTTTGCGTGCCAGATGAAGTTTCTGTTTCTGTCCTCTCGCTGTGAACGGGCTGTTTAAGCCCAGAATCGCTTTCATGACAAGTTACAGAAATTGGTGGGACCACAAAAAGGGGCCCTCTTGGAGTTTCGGAAACCTGCTGTGAACACAAACCATTGCCCTCATGTGAATATTCACTCTTTGTGTCGTCTGTACATGAGATGTTGATAACAGGGATCGACGCACAGTCTGTCTGAGGAGGCGGCTCACTCTGTTCCACATTGGGCTCCTTCTGCTCACGCATGTCTTGAGCAACTTCCTTGACTTTCTCTGTCGGTGAGAGGTCATCATTATTCTGCATTCTTCCCTCCGCAGTGAACAACCCTGGAGAGTCAACCATGCCCTCATCTTTGATAGTTATCTTTGACTCATACATTGCATCCTGTTTTTGTACATTTATTGGTTCCCGCTTGTTAATTGCCAAAATAGTAAGTGGCAAACTACACTCCTTAAGTTCAGGGTCCAATATTTCAATTGTTGGTATTATAACATGTTCATTTGCGCTCCAATTTGGCACAGATGGTTCAATAATTGGAATATCTTCAATAGCTGATATTTGAATTGATGGAATACTCACTGGGATACTTTCACTGTTTTGTGTAACTGCAAATGTCTTTGATTTGTCCTCCTCTTCTATGTTAATTTCACTGCCCTGTACAGCCTGATTCCATACCTCAGTGCTTTCACCACCTACATTTGTATGCTGCTGTGTTTTTAAAATATTACACAAATTTGTCTCTAAATCTTTCTCCATGGATGAACTTTGCATCTCATTCAATTCACAGCTCTCCTCACCCCTTATAAAAGCTGAATTGGTTTCTTGTATTGGTTTACCCTTGTGGGCTTCGGTGATTTCCCCAATTAAAGAGGTAGAGCATTCATTTTGCATTTTTAGGTCACTCATCTCTAAACCCTCTGGGACAGTGGTGGGCGGAAATCCTACATTCATTTCCTGAATCAGTGTAGTACTTTTAGTCTCTTCCTTTACATGATCCATTTCTGTGCTGCATGTAGCCGCCCCTGAAAGAGAAGAAATCACCTGATCTGGTGTTTCAGATTCACATGGGTCTATTCTGTCTTCCACTGAGAATTTTGTCATCTCAGACCTGTTTATATCTGGGGATGTATCTTTTTTGAATTTCACTTCAGCTTTCTCTTCCTCACACCACCCGTTGAAGGAACCGCCTTCTTCTGTGACAGGCTTTACTTTGTTGTCCATCATATCAACAATTGTTTCCTCTGTGTGTGAAGTCTCATTGAGGGTTTCTCCACAACTGTCTGATGCTGAGACGTGCCTGTGAGGGGGAGTCTGGCAGCAGTCTAACTCCGTGATGGTGGGTGTGAGGGAAAATTCTTCATGAGCAAGAGCTTGGGCTTGTGGGAAGACAGTTTCCTTTGGAGAAGACTCATGTTTTCCAGGATGATGATTGGACTGTTGTTGAACTACCAGGACATCTGACTCCTGCTGTTGTATCACAACATTCTTTATGGCAGAAGTGGCCTCAGAGTCTTTCTTTTCACCCTGTTATGAAGTAAACAAATAAAGCATATCAGGTTATCTTTTACAACAAACTCTAAATAGGCTTTATATTGCGGCTTTGGATAATTATGGAGGTAAACATTTTTGCAAGTTTTATTCCTCAGAGTATGAACCCCATCAGCAATCATTCACTGTCAGACATAGGAGGTTATTATATTTCTAGGAAGCTTGTTAAAAAGTACTTACGGCAGTGACCTTTAATAGTGTGACAAATTTAGACTGAGACAAGTATTTCTGCTGTAAATCAACCGAAGCAAGAACATGACAGACCTTGGCACACTTCATTTTGCAAAGCAATCATTTGTCCCTGTCAGACAGAATGAGCAGTGCAGACACTTACCAGCATTATATCAGGCACAGTTGAATAGTTATTTGGTTAAATATTAAATAGTTCGAAACTATAAAGTAGGAATTCAGTAAGTCAATATGTTCTTCAGTTTTATGACCCATCAGCTTATTTCAGGAACCTTTTCAACCTCCTGTCACGTGTGAGGTAGCTGAAACCAAGTGTTTACACATATGCCAATGTAATGCTAAGAGGTTCAAATAAATAAGTTTTGTTTTTTTTATCCTGATTTTTCATAGCTTCGAACTAGAATACTCCAGATTTCAGCAGCTAAATAGCTCCATTTGAGCAAACAAAGAAAACGAAAAAGCAAACAAAGATGTTTGAAAGGTCTTATTTACTCCCCGGCCGCTAAGAACACGGACCATAGATAGGGGAATTCCCCACACATTCTACAAATATGTGCCTTGTACATACGTGCTTGCCGAACAGTGAGTACACAAAAGCTATTCTGCAGGCTTTCACCACAACTTCACACAGGCCAAACTTTGAGTTAAATAAATATCTGCTGTTGATTTTTTTCGCCACTGCAGCTCCTGTTTTTTTTTTCTGTGAACTTCATCAGAGTTTGTGCAGTGGAGTAATGCTGCAATATGGGGTGCCGATACTGCTACGTGTTTTCACGTGACAGCATGTTTGGCCAGCAGCGTCAACAACAAAAACAAGAAGTTGTTGCTTTCAATAGTACCACGTCTAAAAATTGGGCCCCAGCCATCTTAGAATATCTGTGTTTGAATACCATATGTCATTCTCATGTGATACACAATGTTTCTGCTAAACTGACTTCCTCTGGGCATCTGTGCATTGGACTTCTACATTATGGACATCCGACCACTTTGCAGAACATAGCCACTTCAGTTCCTTTTTCCACATTACACAGTGCTGCAGTTAATGATCAAAGAAGATTTTTGAGCTCAATAACTAATGAAATCTGGTCAGACTTGATGTGGTAGTGGACATCATACTTTGAAAGATATTTTCAACCTGCTTGAAATGTCTTAACTTGACACACATAATCACAAAATATTTCCTTATTCTCAGTTCTTGTACCAAATATTCTAATGAGTATCTTGGTATTTAATAAAATCAAAACTACAAGAGATAAAGTAACTCAATATAACTGAAAATACTCATGAAACAATTCTAAAACAGTGGGATGACAGAAGTACTGCGATCCCTCTTGCCTTGATGGGGAACAGGTTTATTTTAAGAAATCGGAGAGGAGCCATAGAGAGGAATCTGTCCAGTGTGACACGGCCCTCCTTTCATGCTGAAACCTGTCCCTGGATTCTCTACTACCGCTTATCCAGCCGCCTGTCAAGCAAAGCCCTGTTTGTAATGCGAGATCCTCGTCTGACATTCAGGTTTCATCATGATCTCTGACGCACTGGTGTTACACTCATTACAGCCAGAAGATATTCAAGGGATATTTTGCAATCTTACTCACAACATGGAGTTTAGATGCACAACATCCCCCACCCCCACACCCATCTACAACAACTTTTGTTCAGGTTCCTTGTTTCCACCACACATATTTTCTTAGCTTGTCACTCACTCCAGATGCCTTACATCACCTATCGCAGAACACTGAAATTACACAGTGTGTTTTAGAGAAGTTGTTTTTTTTAATGCCTCACACTGTTTCAGAGCAGCAAACCATCAAAAGTAATCAAACCCAATTCAACCAGAAAAATGCTTGAAAATAAATGTTGCTGTTTTCAAAGTTCGAACGAGAACTTATTAAGTTTTCTATTTGTACCTCAAAAGAGGTCAATATGTAATGTATTTTTAAGCTTAACATAGCAGTTATCAAACATCATTCTACTTACCTCTGTGTTAACTTCAGGCCGAGATAATGAACTGTCTTCACCTGCGCTGCTGATCTCTGGTTCCACTGACACCTCCATGGCATCCACAGCAGCACCAGAGTCCACCAGAATCTGCGATGTGGACTCCCCGACGCTTTCAGGTTTCAATGCATGATCTTGAAGCAGATCTGTGATCAAAGCAGTGTCTTCACACTTCAGTGGCTTGAGTGATGCTGATAGTGACAAGTTCTGCTCTGTAACCATTGTTTCTAGGGGAGTTTCGGGTTCATCCACTTCCATGGATACAGCTTCCCCTGTGATCTGCCCGCACAGCTCTGGATTGTTCCCTGTCCGCAGCTGAAAAGATGGAGGCATGTCCAGGTGAGAGGGCTCCTCTGTTGCATTCGAGAGCTCAAAATCTCTGTCTTCCTTCTCAGTGTGATCATGATCGTCCTTCTTACTCTTACCAAAGAAAAAATCTTTAACTGTGTGAAGCATGGAGGAGATGGAAGCCTGGATTTTGTGGTGGTCATGGTCCTTTTGTCCCTTGCTGTGATGTTTGACATCTGAACCCTGTTTTCCATGAGTTGTTGTGTGCAGTATCGCAAACTGCTTTTCTCTTTCCTTTTCTCTTTCCAAGGACAGTTCCTCTTCTATTTTCTTCTCTTGTTCACACTCTTCCTGCAATACTTTTTCCTGTACGTCTAACTTTTTATGCTTGTCTTCCTGCTCTTTGTCATTATTATCTTTTTCAACAGCTGTATCCATCTCTTTAGGTTTCTCCTCACGAGATGAAGTCTGGTTTTGCTCAGTAGTTTGAGACTGGAGGGTTTCTGCCAGAAACTGTGCTAAACTGATCCCTCCATCATAACAGTTTTCTCCTCCATTTCCCATGACGTGGCCTCTGTTCCCACCGTTGCTGCTGCTGCCACTACTTGCTGCAGCATCTACACCATTTGACATCTTAATTCTCTTTTTGGCCAAAGTGTCCTGTGATGAAGGTGCTTCATTCTCTGAAGAGTCACATGTGGCTGCCGGGGCACTTGTTGCCTGAGCTCCTGCAGTAATATCCTTTGGACCTGTAGCCTCTTTTGGCTTTTCAACTGTCACAGGCTTTTTTATCACAGCCCTCTCCTCTTGTGGTGGGACAGAGCGTTTCCTTTGAAGGTGCACTGGGCTCCTCTGTGGTTCTTCTCTCTGAATGTTTTCTTTAACAGTTGCGTTGCCCTGCTCTTCAAAGTCTTTTTTCTTCTTTTCTGCCTTTTGTTTTAGCTTGGCAAAGAACCGCTGGTGGATCTTGTACTCACTCATGGTACCGACCTCCAAAACTCCAGAGCAGGAGACAATACCTTTGCTATTGCTGGCTGAGACCTGATAGATGGCTGCATCATCCAATGTGCAACTGGAAACAGAGGAGAAAATAGAACTTCCTTTTTAATACTTTTAATGGTTCTAACAACTTCTGCCTGGCTGTCTTACATACTTGTAAATATGAAGGGTATGGGTTTTTCCATTGCGGTGGATTTCATATTTTGGTAGGCCACAGTAGCGGTCCATTTCCATGTCATCTTTATACCATTTCAGTTCAGGAGCCGGGTGACCTACAGACACAGATATGCATTTGTTTTTACCTTGTTTCTTCAGGGCAATGACTATTTCATTCCTAGTGCTAAAAATGTAAACAAGAAAAAAAAAGTAAAATACCAAAATACAAATTAAAAATAGTACATATCAGTGCTGGAACAGTGATCCAGTGATTAGAACATGTTATTCCAACAGATTTTATTCAAAATATAACATAAATCTTCATTTGATAAGAGATTGACTTGAGGTACAAGCCATTCAACGCTCAGCGCTCCTCTACTACAAAGTTCCTGTTGCATTAGACAAAACATGTGGTTTATTAGAGCTCTTTTTAATGGGAGCGTTTGTTGCTCTAACATCTATCTGTTAAAATGGCACAAATGGACCCTTCAGATAAATGGCTTTTGAGCTGCTAACTTATAACAGGCCAGATGGTTCCTCTTAAAATGTAATGTTCAGGACAGATCAGTTCTCTGGACCATGTTCACATATAGTTTGTTCTTTGGTAGACCTTCGGTATTTGTTTCAGGCAACTCGATGTGCTGCCCAAGTCCCCAAAAGAAACATTAAACAGTCTCAGGTCGAGTGTTATGCTTTTTCTTTTGTCTATAGAGAATAAAATATTTTCAAAATAGAATTGCAAGACCCTGAATTCTGTTTTCGTTTGCATTTCACGCCATGACCAACTATTACGGAATTCAGATTTTCTGTACCACATAATGTGAGACTGTTTATGCTGCACGTCATCTTAGTAAACACAGCGTACTGTACTGATGCCTTGGTATGACTGTGTTGGTGGCTGTTGCATCATGTAGTAAAGTAACAGCTGCAGCTGCTGGATGGCACAAACTATCTAATATTCTTGAAGCTAAAAATCAGTTATTTTTAAGAAGAATTACAAGTAAAACAATAAAGTGATTTGGTTGTTGCCAACAAAAGAAAGTCTTTGTTTTTAAATTAGTCACATCCTGTCTCTTCATCCTGAAAGGTTTCAGTTACTCCACAAAACAGCAAGAAGTGACATGACAGTAAACTGAGCCTACCTGACACCACACAGGTGAATTTCACATTACAGTTTTCTGACACTGCCTTTGATTTCAGCGTAGTCTCAAAGGATGGCTGAATGTCCTCAGTCAGCTGAGCCATGACGCTGCATAACGTGCTCCTGGAAAGAAACGCTGATGCATTAGAGACAATTTCAAGGTTGAAAGCGTATACCGTCTTACACATAACTTCATTCAGTTCGGTAACATTTTTAATTAAGATGTTAATGAGAATTTCTAGTAGTGACGACATTGGGAAAAAAGTTACACAGAAATTTGTGAGATATCAAGCAAAAACAAAGTTGTCAATTCAGCACTGACATCGATGTAAACCACCAAGATTCACTGGACTGGACACTGACATTACAGTTAAAGCTTGTGCTTTTTTCATTCGCAGGGGTAAACCAGTTCTTGAGGTTAACGTGTTAGTCGGAGGAGTGTTTCAAAATAGAGTTTACCTCGTTGGTCTGTAGTGAGAATACCTTGAATAGCTATTTAGAGAGGAGGCAAATGAAGGGACATCAGTGATTAAATAAGATCTACATCAGTGGAACTCATTCGATTGAAACTCTAACAGCGGCCCTCCTCTTACCCAAAAGAAGCACATATATGTTGGATTTGTTGTCAGCAGTGTGATATGCTTTTTAATATGTTGGTAAAATTCATGATTTGACAATCTTTATAATCAACCTTTTTTTGTCACATGTTACATGGTTATTTTACCTTGACCTGTCTGACCCAGATTACCTTTTTTCTTGATCTTTTTTTAAATAACAGCCCCCTTCCAAAGATTTTTTTTTGTCATACACTCTATAAGTAAAATAAGTAATAAATCAAGTAATCTACCTGTTTTCCGGCCGGACGTTTGAAAGATATGTACTGCGGCCTTCTGAACGGCCATTTGAAGAGCCGACATCCTCTTCGCTGAAGCTGCTGGTTCTCCCATTGCCAGAAAAAGAACGAGTCATTGGCCTCCTGGAAGTCATTGTCCACTGATACAGTTCACAAAAAATACAAAATAATCCGAGAGAGGCGTATAATTCACAGAGCAGTAAAAAAGGATAGGGAAAAATACTCCAAAGTCACATCCAAGGCTCAAATTGAACGAAGCTGTCCATGTAAAAGCTCCTGAGGAACAATAAACAAACACTTTAAAATGATGGCCAACCCTGTTTGATCGTAATAAATATGACCACAGAACATAAAAGAAACACTGGACTAGTACAAAACAGAGTTTAGGTTTAATAATTGTCCTCGCTGACCGAACAAAGTTCTTGCATTGAAGCAAGTTATAAATAGTATCTCCTATCAGGGTGTAGAAGAGGTGTTAGTGGTCAAATACAGACCCAAGGTTTTCTATTTATCTGTATGTAATAAGAAAGCGTCAAGATTTACATAGTCAGGAAACAAATGGCCATATTTTCCAACTTACCACTAAGATGTTGTCAGTGTTGCTTTGGAGCCAGAGCCTGTGAGGAAAATCTGTAGCCGCCTATCATAGACATGCAAGTGTTGCCAGCAGGACCCTATTTATAGCAAGCCCACAAATAGGTGCAAGAGCACATCAGATTTTCCGAAACTAGACTTTAGACTTTACAAATAAATGTATACCATAAGGCAATCATTTAAACCAGATTTCATTCTTTTTACGGCTATATTTCATCAAGGGTCACCATATAAAGCTGTTTCGTCTTTGACCATCTCTGCTGGCTGGAAAAACAATTTCCTGTCTTAGGAAGATGAAGTGTGGACTTGCAAAACATGGCTGTGGAATACGATGTAGCTTATGACAACCAACAGTCCAAGCCCTAAACTTTTCTCAAGAGTCGAAGGACAGCCCCTCTCACTTGGTGTTGCAACACATGGTCACATCATGGTGAGCCTCTTGTTGCTCACATTTCAGTCAGTCCCATCAAAAATAGTCTCTAAAATTATCTCCATGAAAATAACACAATTTTTAGTTTTTTACATTTATATGTTATTGTAAGTAATCAGACTGCATTTATGTCCTTTAAGTTTCAGATACTGTCGCGTCAACAGATTTGACTCTTTCTGGGATAACATCCAAATTTCTATTACTTATAAAATCTTTGTAGCTAAATAGGTAATGTAACGAAATACAATATGAAAATCTTGTTTGCACATGGCATCAAATTGTTGACAGTAGCTGATTAGCTTTCTAAAGTATCTGATAACTTTTCTAAGATTGTAGGTATTGAAAAATTGAATTGTCGTTTCAATTTGGGATATTTGACACCAGTGCTTGATATCAAAGCTATGGGATGAAAGCTTTGTGCTAAAATATTGGGAAAATATTAATCTTTCAAAGTCTAGTACCTGTGAAAATTAAGTGGTCCAAAATATTTTATTTTTCAAATCAGCCAATAATAAATACAGCATTTAAACTTTTTCTATAACCGTTAAACACTAGTATGAGCTTGTCCAGTTTTAAAGGCATGCATGTCCATAACAATCAACCTAACTCCATATAACTCTGACCTCAGCAACTGGCCCTGCTAAAAGGAGTCGGATTCTTTATTACCGTAATGTTCATAGACGCGGCACCACTAGGATTATCCGTGCACACACACAACCTACGCTTGGTTAATTTTTGAGATTTTTCACGATTCTAAATAAAAATTTTAGTCAACATCTAAAGAAATATCCTAATTGTGATATGCCAAAGTTTAGATTGTATAATTCATATTTTGTATTCTCCTGTATTATCAGCTTTGCGGTAATTCGTGTGCTTACGATGTGTCGTTCCGGGAAAAGGAAGAGTTTGCAACATAAAAATGAAGTTTTAGATTGGAAACAGGAAAATACACTCAGCCTTATGTCACTACAGCAGCACCACCGTTACGAGGCTGATGGCAGGTATGGACCACAACATGTGTTTTTATACACGACTACAATCAAGAACCATTTTAAAACATCTAAACGAAGGTTTTAAACAGAACGAAATTGGGACATGCACAGCAACGACGGCTTATTTAACTAGAAATGAGAAGTGAAGATTTGATTATAAACTTATCCTTGTGTTTTATTAGCTTGCGCTCTACATATCCTGTTTCACGTAGCTTTACTTTAAATCCCTAAACAGAGTGATATTCACACAGACTGAGGGAAATGCACTCATGACTGGATCCCACCAAAATCACTGTCAAACAATGATCAGAGGTTAGTAGCGTGTGCTTTCCCACTTATTCAGCGACAGTGGGGTTTTTTTTATAAGTATGTGAGATTCTCACTTGATTTGTTGTAGAAATCGTGATTGTGCGCCATCCTGTCTCGGTGTGTGTTCCTGTGAACCATAATGTGACTCTGCGGGTCTGTGCGGAGGGAACAGGCGTGCTCAGCTACCAGTGGTTCTCTGAGGATGAAAAGGAGGTATGTTGAATTTAATGTGATCACGCAAGAGTTGCTAATTCATTTTGAATATCTTATTATTAAAGAAGGACACTATGTTTATTCTGAAGGTGTGATATTGATAAGAACTTGAATCACAGCAGATTAGTTCACCTTTTTTGCCTTTTATTCTTATTGTCTCTCCCAAGGTGCTTGGCGGTACTCAGGCAGACCTGACCATTAGAGCTAAAAAAACTCAGCGCTATGTGTGCCGAGTGAATGACCACCGGCACAACTATGTGTTCAGCGAATGGGTGAAAGTGAAGGTGCTGGACATTGATAAATCAGGTACTGATACGGCCTTCTGTTTACAGCCCTGCAGTGCGGAGCCATAATCAGAGCCAAACACCGACCAAGTTCTTTGTTTTTCCATTGCTTTTAACCTCTGGCTCTGTCCTCTCAGGCTTGCCAGTGGACTGGCAGGGCGAGCCGCATATTGCTATCAACCCTAAACCTCAAACAGTCCGGCAAGGTGCAAAACTAACTCTTCGCTGCGCTGCCTTTGGTATCCCTGCCCCACACTACCAGTGGCACAGGAATGGACAGCCCCTGCTGGATAAAACTACTGACACGCTGCAGGTAAAGAAGCATGTCGAAGGCATGTCACGAGGGCCTGTGTTTGTTTACACTGTGTTGTCATTTTCAGAGGCATTTTATTGACTTTGAATGTTGCACACTTCACTGAGCTTGTCATTCTTTAGACGATGAGGTTAATATATGTCCAGAATTTGGATTTGCAACAGAGGGTCATAAAGATAAGCAAGGACATTTGTTTTGTTTGCAGGTTGATCGTGTAACAGCTGAACATGGAGGATGGTACATGTGCTCAGTATCTAATGTGCTAGAAGAAAGATGGACAGAGCCGGTGGATGTTGAAGTTGGTAAGCCCTAAGCAGAACTACTATTATCTGTAAATATCTGTCTTTTTCCACTTTTAGCTCTGTGTTTTTCTACCCCTTCACTTCCCCTTGTTTTCAAAGTTTATGAAGAAAATCTGGATTTCTTCACACTCCTTTCTCTGCTAATTTAGTTTGGAGGCTTTTAGCTGTTTCCATTGTACTGGAGGTACTTTCCCATTTCTACAGACAAAAAAGGAAGTTGTTTGACTCCAAATGGCACTTGATCCGAGCCTTAAACACACAACAGGAAAGTGATGTAAAATGAAACTAGTTCTCCAGTTTCTAATCTCTGTTGTGATACATATGATGTATGCTTGCACGTCCTCTCATGAGACGAAGTGACAAAATTTTACGTTCATATTGGCACCTGTAAGGAAAAAACAATTCTACAACTTTTGCTCACTTTTTTTTTCTTATTCTTTTTTTTTTTTTTCAGTGGAACCCGACCAGCTTCCTGCTGCAGCACTCACAGGTACAGTTTTGTGAAAAGCATGACAGTGATGGAAACTTTTACAGCCAGTATTACAATTTCCTTGTGCTGCAGTGACGACATGTTTTACTTGATCTTTTTTCCAGCCACTGATAAAGTTGCCCTTCTTATTGGCAACTTGAATTACTCCAACCACCCTGGCTTGATGGCGCCTGTCATGGACGTCCATGAGCTGGCCAACCTGCTGCAGCAGCTTGGCTTCAGAGTTGTTTCGCTGCTGGATTTAACAAGAGAGGAGATGTTGGCTGCTATCGACAAATTCTTTCAGCTCCTTGACAGAGGAGTCTACGGTGAGTTTATTCATCTATTTTTAAAAATGAGCATTAAGGCGATTGTTTTATTTCTTTTTCTCTTTGTGCTAAACTGACGATCTTATTTAAACATTTTGGCACAATGTTAAAGGTTAAGTATGACATCCTTTTACATGCTTTGTGTTCTTTATTTTTGTCACCTCACATGTCGTAGTTCCTGAATGTATGTATGGCTGAGTGGGCAGATAGGAAGTATTTACAGCTATTTTATGGCTCCTCCTGAATGCTTGTAGTGTTTTAAGAGCATAGACACAAGCTGCTCAGACTATCAAGCAAAACTCCACTAGACATATCCAGCATTGCTGTTTATGAACAACTAAAACATTGTGTTTCAACTATTGCTCATGTCATCAAGGGGAAGCAAGTCACTATTATTAACAGTCGGGATGTGAAAATATGACACAGTGTTGATGTTACAAGTAAAACCACAGGAACAGTCATGCTGATACTATATATTTCCATTATCTCCTTTTCTTGTTAATCAGTAGTGAAACACATTTGGAAACACATTTTCTTTTAAAGAAACAATGTATTCAAGTATTGTGTTGTACCTTTCTTATTTGATTACTTTTGACAGGCCTTTTCTACTATGCGGGTCATGGGTATGAGCATGCCGGGCGGAATTACCTGGTAGCTGTTGATGCTCCACAACCGTATCGAACTGAGAACTGTGTCTGCGTGCAGCGGGTCATGCGCAAAATGCAGGAAAGGCAGACTGCTCTCAGCGTAATTCTGCTGGATACCTGTAGAAAATGGTGGGTGCAGTGATCAGTTATTCAAAGAGCAAAGTGATGCATATACATTTAATTACACAGACATCAGCTATCGTAATTCTTTTGAAACTGTTTCTTATAAGGTTTGTTTTTCAAAACATTGTGTAGGTACAACCAGGATTGTGTACCATCAACCATTATGCCACTGGGGCCGAGTGGAAACACAGTGTACGGTTATGGCACGTAAGTATTTGAATTCTGTTTAGATTTAACCAAAGTATTGATGAACCAAAAAAGGCATTGTGTCACTTTTCAGATCAACAGTAACACATTTTGGGATGTTTTTAGATGTGAGGATGCTGAGGCGTTTGAGGTTCAGGATGGGGGAAAGAGCACTGGAATCTTCACCAAGTACCTGAACAAGCATATCTTACACCCCGAGAAAGTCACTCATGTATTGGAAAAGGTGTCTGAAGGTAACTATTCTGAAAGAGTTTAAGTGGACAAACAAATATTAGAGCAAAAAATAATCCAAAAATAGGCTGTTTAAAAACAGGTGTAGTGGGCCTTTCTTTTTTTGTTGTTGCAGTGAATGAATAGACAGCTGCTTTAGAGTGGATAGTGTTGACTTGAATTTATGTGTCAATAAACCTAAAGTCAGTCAAGAGTATAGTCATGTGTCAGAGCTTTAAATTCCCATAGAGTTTATATTAATGTTTTTCCAAAGCAGCAGTTGTAAAGGCAGAGTAAACAGCCCTGAAGTGAACATGTTGTTCTGTGGTGTGCTGGACAGAGCACAGATAGTTGTTTTTAACTCTTTGCATCTCTGCTTATTGATGTTTACAAGGTGCTCACGCTAGCTCTGACTTAGCAGGTATGTGAAGTTATCAAGTTGTTTTTTTCAAAAGGATATTAGACATGTTGGTAGACTCCAGTGGAATGACTTTTTTTTTCTTTCTGAGGAATCATTAGCATGTGACCTCATTCTTTGGAAATTTACACTGTTGGCTCGAGAACAGCAAGAAACCTGAGAGCCACAGAGAGCGAGACAGCTGCTCTGCCATTTGGGCACCCCCTGCCACGACTCTCATGGGGTCACTAACAAATCAGTGCTGGCAGGACAAAACACCCTGCTGACAGACCCCTTTTTGTGTCTAACTGTCTGAGTTTTTTTTTTTTTTACATTTAATAGTTGTATATATAAGTTATATATTGGTTACATACATAATTGATTGCAACTTTATACATTGGCTACGTAGCCAGTGCTTACTGTTGAATATTTCCGTTTTGTCTTTTTAACAACTTTCAGTCTTATGAAGGCTGTTCCACTCTTATATATTTTGAAAAATAATCAAACTAATGTAGGTCAATTACACTGAACATTAACAAACTTTTTAAATATTCCTAAGTTCCTCAAATTTAGCCATGTGAATATGATGAATACTTTTTAACAACTTACTCATTACTCACTGTCTGATATTGCAAAAGTCTGGCAGTCCCATGCCCAAAAAAGTAAAAGGTGAAAACAAAACAGAAGATTGACCACTGAAATATTTAAGCTGTTAATGAATTATTGGTTCACTGAAAACTATTCACACCAGTCCTGGGAATTTAAATACAAGATTATTTAGTTTTGTTCTCATATTTACCAGCACTTCCTCCCTGTCTCTTTTCAAGATCTTGGTAAAGACCCTCTGGTCACTGGCAAGCAGGCCGTAGAGATCAAACACACGATGAAGGAACCTCGATCCCTCGCAGATCAGGTTCGAACCACCGGTCACACAAGGGAACTCCATCTACGAGATGTCTGCTGGAGACAAGCAAATGGTAAGTGCGTAAAAACCCCCAAACACCTTTTTTATATATATTTTTCCTTTCATATCTAGGGTAAAATTCTGCTGACTGTAAGACCAATTAACGCCCACAAATTTGTAAACCACAATTCCATTTTCTGGTATATCATGTCTTGGATCTTAACACCTCCTGAAATACAACTTGTGGCAAACCATGTGTCAACGTTTTGGTTTAATGTGATATTTTTGGTATTGCTGAAATAAAGAAAAAAAGCCATTGATGGTTTTCAAGAAATCCTAGTAAGGAAGTAGTTTTGCATAATACATTTATTTTTCTTTCCTTTTTACCACGAATTATACGTACAAAATTTTACTTGAAATCTTTCAATTTAAAATGTAATCCTGGTATCTTTACCTCAATCAGACTAGATAAGAAATAAACATCTGTGGCATAAGTTAACTGAGAGACTGGAAGCTTCTATGTGATTTATGACTGGGTAGGCTTCAACAACTGCTCACTTTTTAATTAAAGACCATAATGATAAAACAATGAATAGGTAAACATGATTTAACTTAATTATTTTGATTGATTTTTTTTCTGTTTCCCCTCAGAGCTACCTCAAAAGACAAAGCTGATGTTTCCTTGCGGAGTAGAAGTAGAAATTAGCTTCTCAGCTTTATTCTCCAATGTTCTGGTGGCTTTTGCTACTGTGAAGACTACAAGTGACCATGCTCAGGACTACACTGTCACCTTAAGTAGCACACCTGTAAGTATGTAGAAGTGCACCACAGAATAAATAATAATTAACCATTTTAACTCATATGTAAATTCCTCAAGTGTTTTTTTTGTTTCATGCTAAAATTTGACTTGCTAAGATCTGACATGTTACGATTAGGAATCAACATTTCTTGAATACTAGAAAATGCAAGTTGTATCTGCTACACAGGTCAGATGTTGCTCATAATGGAATGCAGTTTCCATTTGCCAGCAGAAATTTCTCAATGGTTGCCACTCACACCCACGTCTCACATGTATGAGGAAGTGCTGCCCATAAATGGGCTTCCAGTTTGCTGCAACTTCACTAAGCAGGAAATGCAAGAAAAGCTTTGCTCCTCTTGTGCAATCTGACTGTCTGACAACAGAATTTTGAGCTGTGATGACACCTAGTGGTTGATTACTAATATGTTTACAGAGAAAAAAAACATTGACTACACATTAGCATTAGATTAACAGTAAGACTGCTGTACAGTGATGCACTGGCTGTTATTTCGATATATAGTTCAGCTGTAAATTTGTTTCCTAAATTCCTAAACTAAAAAGAGTGAGAATAATGATCTGCTGAATGAATGGATGAAAAAATGATGAAAAAGCAGAATAAAGCTGAAGAAGAGATGAACAACATTTAAAGAATTTGAAGGAGGACTTTTGCTGAGGCTGATATGTAATGTTTATGGCAACCTGACAGGTAAAGACTATTTTGACACAAAGATAAAAAGTTCTCATGAAAAAGGTCAAAGGTTAAATACGTCACTGCAGCACAAATTATAATCAGATCTTACTAGTGTATTGCCAGGAGAAGAAATGGAGTAGGGATATCTCATGCCGTCACTTGGCATTGTTGCCTACAGCCATACAGCCCTCCCGTGCTGGAGTCCAGAATGGAGCAACTTCAACTTCAACTTCTGTTGCATTTATTCAGCATTTCAGCATTCTCACAGCTGTTTTGCAAGAACAGATGTTTCTAGTTCTAATGTACTCTGCATATATACAAAGGATGATAATAAAATGATTTATGTTTTTTTTCCTCAGCCAATGGAAGACATTTTTTCTCAGCCTGGCAGGTCAGAGGAGATGGACTCACTACTATTCAACAAACCCTACAACCCAGACTGTACCCTTAGGCTTTGTTCTCTCCAGAAGCTGAAGGTATGTACTTGGCATATGCTTTAATTCTGATACTGTGAAGACTTTAATTCTATACATTAAACCTATCTTTATGGTCTTACCCTTTTCAGGAATCAATGGTCATCAAGGTGGAGTTACATTACACTTGCACGGACAGTATGCAGCGCCACACAGAAAGTCAGAAGATGGACATTGGAAAGCCTCTGGTGGCATCGTGTAAACTGTACAAGGGGACACCTGCAGCAAAAGACAAGAGAAAAGAATGTGTTGCAGCTCAAAGCATGGGCAACATTCTGAACGGGAAATCACAGCTACATCAGCCTTTGTCAGATCCACGCCGCCCTTATACTAGAAAAGCGGTGTGTACTGCAAAAACTGTAACTACACGGAATGAACCTGAGGAGAACGATGAGAACGAAGTGTGAGATTTTCCCTTTCCACTTTGGCATTTGAAGCCCAGAAGTTAGATGCACTCCTTGGATTATGGGATGTTTTGCTTTTGTTGGTCATATTTTTCTTGGATCTCTCATGGATGGAGATTTCTTATGGTACACATTCCCAGTTTCAATCAATCTTTACATGGGTACTGAAAAGTCATTTATTTCCAATTGTATATACTTGTAAATCTTTCCTTATGTATGTTAGTTTTTCTATGATTGGCAAGCTGGCTGGCCAAATGAACAAATAACCTTCAATAATTTATCCAATAAATACTACTACTTTCATCATTAATTTAAATTTAAAATCTTGAAAAAATATCAATGTTTTTTTGCTTTTTTTTTTTTTAATTCAGTGGTATAACTATAATGACAAATGTATGATTTACTCTAATTCACAGTGGTGCTGAACATGTGCTTGTTTAAATCACAGGATTAAGTCAATTACTTGATAAAAGTGGAAAACAAAAGTTTGTACAATAAGACATTTAAATTCCTCTATCATGTAACCATAGCTCAACAAAATTACCATGTACATTTCAGCGTGGCCTTATGGAAGTCTTTTCATGGCACTTTGGGAAAAAAAGAATTTGCTTTAGGGTGGTTTCAGAATACTTTTCTGGATTTGCTATTCTTTGACATAGTAGTGGCAGTAGTGACGTAATGGTTTGTCCCAATACATGGAATAAAAAATTACTTTGTCTTGTTGAAGAAAAAAAAGTTTAATTTTGGTGTCTTTGGTGGTGGTGACTTGTTTGTGTAGCCTTTTTTTAAAAACCTTTCATTTACACAAAACGTTTTTCATATTCAAAATAACGAAGGACTTTAAATGAGAGAGGAAAAACAAAGTCAGGAGATCTTGGAACATCGCTTATAAAAACATCAAATCAATTCAAATTCAAATCCAGTTCATGCTGGCAATGATATAAAATTATAAATATAAATCTGATGCACAACAACTGAAATAAATTTGTCATCTCCCGGCAAAAACTAGTAGGCCTACTTGACAGTATTTGGGAATAGGCTCTGTGACTCTATGCCATGTCACGCACAAAATTGGAAAAGCTATATTTTCAAACCCTTTTTAAATTTCAACTTAACATACTTTTAAAACAAAAATACTTAAAACCGTCTTAAGTAACCAAATACCTCATTCATTAGTCTATCCTGGCTTATTAAACAGTCTTTTTCAACAATGTCCTGTAGATTTTAACTTTGTGTCCACAATAAAGAAACGTTATTCCCTAGCCTTATCTTTCAAACATAATGTTAACTGTGCACCTGACAGTTATCACATTTAAAAACTGTGTGTTTCTTGTTAAAAGTAAAGATTACTGTCTGCAATGACTCAAAAATGGACTAAATAAATGGAAGAAAGTATTTAACAAAAATGGCGGTGACACTACACATTGACATGCTGTCCTCTTTACCTGTTGGCTAAAGCTGCGAACTTGAGCGACCGGTATATTTGTGAGCACAATTTGACAAATAGCGAATGGATTGTTACCGTGTAAAATATATAATATGGATAAAATGGTTGCAAAATTACGAGCATTTTGAAAAGACACCAGGAACCAGTCTCGTGGAGGACAGCGGAAAGATTTGATGCCAAAACACGCCCCGCACACACCAGCCTCGTGTAGCTCGCCGTGATCGTATAGTGGTTAGTACTCTGCGTTGTGGCCGCAGCAACCCCGGTTCGAATCCGGGTCACGGCAGCATCTCCATGCGGTAAAAAGGCGATTCTTTTGTGTACACATTTGTATATACGTTGAATTTAGTCCTTAATATCCATACAAACATTTCTAGTTATATTGACTTTACGGATATCATGACAATTACTACGTGTAAGACGATAAATTTGCTTAAACAGTACCTATACATTTTGCTCATCCCCATCTGACGCAGCTGACATCTCTGGCCAAAGTAAGCATTCTTATAATCAAAAGTTATTTCATTCATCATACTGAACGAAATCCAAATACTTTAGAGTATAGCGTTTCATTTTTATTTTTATTTAAAAGTTGCTCATTTGAATGTGTGGGACCACAAGTCTCCATTAATCTCAATGGCCCAAAGTGGCCCGCAGGTGGCAGTCCAACACCTTTACATTTCCACTTACTGTGACACAGAAACGTGAGACTCTAAGACACCTGAGGCCAGTGGTTTTAGGTCAACGAGATTTTGGCTTTTTTCCAAAGAGTGGCCAGCAGGTGAATCAATAGAATCGTTTATTTCAAAGACGTTTAATTTATCTGCAGCGTCCGGCTGTTTGGTCAAAAAATAAATCTAGAGTCGATCTCGCCTGTGATTATTTATTCATAAGCAGCCTCTCAAAGCAGACGATTCTAGGATTTCTGGAGCGGATGAATTTGAAACAGACTTGCGGACATCACCTGGTAGCTGTCCCGCAGAAACACAAATCTGTAGGAAATCCCCAGGCAGAGGCCAATATCAAACCCCTGCCCCACGAGTAGCCGTAGGGCCAGGAGGGGACTGTGGTGTGGGGAAAAAATAATATTGGGAATATCCTTAAAAAACATAGACAAGATGCCTCACACCCCCGTTGGCTGACTTTGACGTCAGTTTTCGGTGGGACCCGCCCGCCTGCTCGAGTGGCAGCGGTGAATGGTGAGAGATAATCCTCAGCTCCAGCACAGACGCGCAACATCGCCAAGCTGCCACCGGATTTGGATGCGGGCATCCTTGGCTCCCGCGCCTAAACACGACCCGCAGCGCGGAAACTTAACGGGACAACAATGGTGCAGGGCTGGGGGGCTGAATCCCCGGCTGGATGTCGTCTGGGGGAGCGGGGAGCGCAGTCAGTGTGACATTCACCGGGACGCCGGGGTTTGAGTTTATTGTTCTGGTCCCGTGGACCCGGAGCAGCGATTCTCTGAGAAGATGTTGAGCCGATTCATGAGTGGCAGCATCAGGAATCTTGAGCGGGAATACAGCTGCACGGTCAGACTGCTGGATGATACGGAATATACGTGCAGCATTCAGGTTAGTCCCCCTCATTCTAGCAGACGAACGGGATTTTTTTTTTTTTACACCTGTCGACCACGGCGGGTGCTCACTCTGCAGAGAAGTGAGAAGCGCTGCAATTGTGTCTGCTGTGACAGACAGACAGAGAGACAGACAGAGAGAAAAGCGAGGGTTTGAGCAGAGGATCCGTGCCTGGCTGCCCCACTGCTGGTGTCAACGCATTCAAACTGGAAACTCGGAATAGAAATGTGTAGTGGGATTCCAAATAGTACAAATCTGGGTCAGGGAAATGTATTTCTTTGCCTATTGCTTCAACATTGGTCGAAAGAAAGATATGTGATTTAATGACCTATGATAATGCCTTAGTTAATGTTATAAAACCTCCTTAAATGAATTACTTCAATATTTTTTCTGCTGTTCACAGAATATGCCCTATATCTACTGCAGAAACATGAGTTTGTTTTAGGGCACATCTTGTTTATTTTCGTGATACAACTCTTCCAGAATCCTTTCACATCTGCAGTGTACATAGGACATCCCACGAAACACGTTTCAAAAGTTACAGGATGTGGCTCTTCATGGACAGAGACCAAAGCATCAGCGTGAGCAGGAATGTTTGAATTTTTTCCATGAGGAAGTTCTTCAAAGAAGATAGTGTCAACTGAGGTCTTAGAAAACTGAAATGGGGCAAGGCCTTATGATTAAAGAGTATCTGCCAGCCTTTGCTTTGATGATTGTGCAGTTTTCTATTCATGCTGATTCGATGAAAAGCAGGTGAGAGGACGTGTCACTTCAAATATGCGTAAAGACAAAAATTTTTTTTTTAGCAGCTTTGTAGTTGTTGAAAAGGGAGAAATTCCAAAGAGGATTCCTGACAAGTCAGCAACATGTAGAGGTTCAAACCACACGGCATAACAAAGAATCTTTGAACCTGTAATGAAACATGAATGCTGTATGAAGGATTCTTTTCACTCTGCTGCTTGTTGCAGTATTGTAATCGCTTCTCTTCTACCAGTGAGCAAGCGGGAAACAGATACTGCATTGACTGTGGGGACACGACTGTGTGCCCTGGTTGTAAACAGACCTGCATTTCTGCTCGGAGAGCTGAGCAAGTGATGGAGCTGGGCCAGATGAACTGTGAAGCCAGCAGGTGTGCTGTTTGCAGCAGAGTCAGGTGGCTTACGTCACCGGAGTGGAAGGAGGGGAGCAGATTGAAAGGGGAGAACGCTCCCTGCTCTACTGTGACTGTCTGGCATCCTGATTATCTTTCTGTCAAAACCTAGTCCAGTGAGGGGGCAGGATAATCCACCTGACTAGCCACATTGCTGATGTTTGTTCCACATTTAGTCGCCTTCCCTCCAGGCGGCATGGCCTGCCAAGAAAAAACAGAGAGCAAGAAAAAAAAAAATCACCCCGGATATCAGGACACTAAGAGTGGGGAATGTAAAGCAAGAGGCAGGTTATATATTCCCAACACAGCCCCACTCTGTTTCCTTTATATGTTTTACTTCCTCTCTGTCCTGCTTTTTTTTTAACCTGTCCTACAATGTTTCCCAAGCGAAGCAAGCTTATTCCCACTTGTTTATCACATCCCAAGTTAAGGTGGACTCTGAAAGCTCTCGAGAGTGTCTCCATCTTTTTAATGCACTCCCAGCTTTATTGCCTAAATTTAAATGGCGATATAATGAATTATGGAGATTTCCAGCATGCTGAGGGAAGGACAAGCGAGCACTTATGTTCTCATCCTGTTGCAGGTTGATGGAAGAGCCTGAAATATTCCACTGGCCTCAGGCTTCTTCTGTTCAATGCACAGAGTGCAAAAATATTGAAAAGTCAGATTTAACATGCATAAAAAGAAAAAAAAGATCCACACCATATTCATCTAAGTCAGAGTTACCCAAGGCTGTATCAACATAGTGCTCTAATGGTTGTTTTGTTTTAGGAGATCACAGCCACGGCCTTTCAGGGTCATCTGTATCCTTACCACAAAAATAACAAAATTAGTGACCATGGTTAACACAGGCAATCCTACAGTATTATGATGCAGTGGGAACAAGCTGTCCACAACCTCTGCTGAGATCTCATGAGGAGACTGCTGGGGGAGGGTAGCCTGTGTGTATATAGGGGGTGCTTCACTTCCAAGCAAAGTACCGGGGTCTCAGCTGTTGCTACGGTGACTCCACAGTTACTCTGACAAAATGCGGGATCATTCAGTGGCCGGGATCCTTCTGACAAACCCCAGTGCCCTTCTTGGTGCCATTGGGGGGCACCAGTGTTTGCCTGTTCACACCATCCTGGATAATCACACAACCATGGAGCCACTGTGGTCAGGGTTTTCAGACCAGCTTTTACTAGACCCCAAAAAACATCTTGATATCAGCCACTTCTTCAGTTTGTTTGTAGAACATGCCAAGGGGGAATCCGATGGCTGTCAGCTGCGTGAGCCACTCACATAGAGCTTCATCACTGAGGTCCATTTTCCTGTAGTATCCCTGGATTTTCTTTCTTTTATCCTTCACTGTGACTCTGAAGCCAATGAATGACCTCATATTTGGATTTTAGGTGGCACAGCAGTACTGTGGTCACCCTTGGAAGATGAGATGATCGGTTCGATTCTTGGCCTGAACATGCCTGTAGCAACCTTGGATTTAACATGAGAAATGAAGCAGCACCGGTTTGGTTATTGCTGACAAGGTCTGATGTTTTGCAGTATATGGCTATGAAA